TCAAGTTTTCTTCGTTTCTAGGTGTTTCTTAACAATAAATAAAACTACAAACAACTCAACTCAACTCGTCCTTGGACTTTTGGTGGTCCTTCATCAGCAAGCTAACCAGTTATCAAAATTGCAGGGTTTGCGGAATTTGTTTTTTAGTTTGCCGAAATGTTAAATAAAATTGATGACATGATTTTCTGGGAGCGAAAGTTAAGTTACATCTCACACTACATTCAATTCGGTTTATTACGATGAACACGAAAATCCTCTGTCGTTGCAATTAATATGGAAAAGTCAGAGATTAAGAAACACAGAAAAACCTGTAAAACTTTTCACCAATTTCGGAATTATTTTACCAAATTAAGTTTTATTTCGAGAACGCTAAACAACTTTACCGTTTCCATAGAAACTAAGAAGAAAGTGTTATGCAGGGAGTATATCACTATTTACTAACTCTGGAGAAGCAAACAGGATGACGAAAAATCAACAACCGACGCAGAAAGTGTTAAGCAATTATTTAAGCAAGATTCTTGTGGAAGGGGGTGCACTGCATGATAAGAAATAAACACCTCCGTTGCGTTCTATATAAGTTCAAGTAAATCCGTGGATCTATCATCCAGATATTTCTAATAGGCCACTTACTACATAAGCCAGCCTGTATAAAGTTTCTAAGATCAATACTTTGAACAGCAATTCCATTTATTGAAATGGCTAAGAAAAACAATCCATTTTATCTAATTAAAAATATTTTATATATTGTGGATATCTACATATGGCATAATGATCCACCTGTCCAATTAGTTAAGTTTCAATCAATAGAAGCGGATACGTGGCTGTACGGTCATTATTTACGTCGTTATGTGGCACCAAAATGGTAAGAAAAAGATACTGCACCTGATAGTAATTTCGGTGCAGTTATGCCTGGTTTTAATCGGATTTTTCTACAATATTACAAAACTGCAAAATCTTGCATACGGTCCATCCGGATTGGTGTATATTTTACTGCTAATGTTGGCGAATGTCCTGCAATTATTTCTCAATGTTCATATATTATGGAGCACATTTGCCCGTAAGAATAAATGAGAACGTATGTTTAATGAATGCTGTACTTTGGGGAGGAAGCATACGAAAACCGTATGTGGCAAGAACTTCGATAGAAACTCGATCCTAAAGAACATTCCCGGTTCTACATTATTTGTAGCATTAATGTTTCTAGTAGCAAGGGGCAATGAGGAAATATTTGGCTGGACCAACGAATTTTTCCTATATATCTATATCATCTTTTTAATGGGCTATTTAATACACCTATGGATGCTAGGAATTGCTTTGATATTTTACGTTTTAAGAGTGCTGAAGCACGAGTACAAACGTCTGTATCGGTTAATTAGCGGGTATCAATACTCAAACAATAAACAAGCAACGATACAAAACTATATCCGCCTTTATCTAAAGTTGTTTGAAATTGTCAGTCTCTTTAACGAATTGTTCGGATTGCGATTGTTTTTAAAATTATGCATTAGCGCTATATATCTCTTTGTAAGCAGTTGTACGCTTTTGTTTTATTTAGACAGCAATAACACTGTTACAATGGTTAATATCGGACTATCTCTCTTTTTCAGTTTGGTAAGTAGTTTCGTCGAAAGAATAAATGGTTTAGAGTTTTCTCGAAGTGACTCTGTTTTCTCTATCCCTGTTTTTATCATAATTTGTTTTTAATTGATTGAGATAACACAAAATTTCAAAATTAATCAATCGAATGTATGCTAGGCCAGAACGTGAGAAACCCATGGTTTTTTATAAAATTTGATTTTTTTTTCGTTTTCAGTGTGGACCAGTTGTTACTACTGCGACTCCATAGTTAGACACAAATTGAAATCCGCATGTTTTCGGTTGGAAAATCAAAATTTGCTAGAGGAAGATAGCGCGCTGCAAAACCTTTTTCATGTTTTGGATCACAACAAAGTTTTCTTTTCAGCAGCAGGTTACTTCGAATTAAATCTTACCACGATGAGTGCCATTTTGCGTACAGTCTTTGTGTACTACATATGTATTCCAAAGCATCCGTAAATTGGAAATTAAACACAATATACGCCAACAAAATAGTCTTGCTAATACTTTGTTAAACATTACCCATAAAATAACAAGCAGTTTTTTTTCACCATGGCGATATGGTTTGTAGGAAATGCCTGGAGCTGGATTTTCATAGTATATTATGCAACAAGTGCGGTAAACGGCATTTGACTCATGAGTTTATTTGACACGAGCGAAGCGCAGCGGAGCGACTTCTTAAAAAACCAGTGAGTTAAAAAGTTTACCGGTGTTGCATACTATACTTTTTCTACGACCGTTAGTTTTTGGTTACATTTTCGCAAAACAACACCAATACATTCAATGACATGCCCGTCAGAATTGACAAACGTCAAAATTCAAAGCGTGGGAAATATCTCCAAAAACATCCCATTGATCCCAAATACGCGCGGTAAAATCCCGGAAATGTCCGAAGTGGTTCGGATTCATGGGAAACGCTTCCCGCACGCTAGATCGGTGGGTAATTAGGTATTTTACAGACGGGAGTAGAAAAAGTAAAAGTGCGGGAAGCGTCACTTTACCACGTCAGTTTCGTTTCCCATGAATCCGAGCCACTTCAGACATTTCCGGGATTTTACCGCACGGATTTGGGAGCAATCGGATGTTTTCGGAGATATTTCCCACGCTTTGAATTTTGACGTTTGGCAATTCTGACGGTCATGTCAGTGAATGTATTCGTGTTTTGCGAAAATGGACCCAAAAACTAACAATCGTAGAAAAAGTATAGTATGCAACACGTTCGATAAACTTTTTAACTCACTCGTTTATTAAAAACTCGCTTCGCTCGTGTCAAATAAACGCGTCAGTCAAATGTCGTTTACCGCACTTGTTGCATAATATACTATAACTTGACAGTTCCAAGTCCAAAGTTCATTTGCTGTGTGTTTGTGTTTAGTATTATGAATTATGCATTTTTAAACAACGTTCAGTTGTGTTTTGTAATGTCATTATGAAAATTTTACTTATCTCTATCTTATCTCTCTCTCTAACTTATCTGTCTCTCTAACTTATCTCTATCTCTAGAAGGAAAAACTAACCTACGCGTAACGAAAATGGTTAGTTTGGAAGGATTGCGGATACGCGGACTTTCTAAAATGCATTACCGCCTTTAAATTGCTAAAGAACGAATTGTTCGATATTCTTTGCTAATATTTCTCGAAAAGTTCGTAGATCAAATGTTTTGTTAAACTAGGTTATAAATAATAACTTGAAGTTTTTCAAGTCAATGTTCATCAATAGAACTGCTTCTGAGTCCTCGAAACGCAAATAAAGTAATCGTTATAAAGTGGAATGTATTTATGGCTGGTCAGTTTCAATTAGAAAATTTAGTTACACAATAAAACGGGTGACTGCAATCGATTGAGCCAGATTTTTTTCGTCTCGCCTGGCTTTACAACACTCCTCGTTTATGTGTAGTGGCGAAATCGGAAACATCGCTATGCGGTTTTAAATGAGGTTTTCAATTCGAAACGACCAGTAGCTTCGTCGATATATAAAAGCCCACTACAGGCCACTCAAAACCGCGGGCACCGAAAAAACTATTGAAGTTAATCCAAAAAACAGCATTTTGAGATTTTGCTCATTCTTAATGCTAGCCGTTTTGTTTATCTATATATGCAAGGCTGAGCAAGATTGAACAGTAATACATTACAAATGCATTCAACGTAAGTTTTGATTAGTTTTTAATGAAAATTGTCAAATTTTACATCGCTTTGGAGTAATGAAAAACTATCGAGTTTTTGCAGCCGGAATTTATTTTGCCTGGAAGTAATGAGGGAATACGTCAGTATATGCCACACTATAAAATTATGTACAACCTAAAACACCAATTCGTATATTGTCAAATTGTAAGAATGATACTGGAATGACTAAAAGTTTGAAACATTCATGTCTTCGATAGGATTTATATTTGTATTATATTAATTTATAGTGAAAAACATAAATTCAAAATGAAGATATCAAATAAATATATGTAGGTAGCAAAATATTTAAGGCAGAGTTTATTTTGTTTAGTTTAAAAGTTTTCAACTTAGCAAAATTGTCTTTCGTTTTACTCAAACCGTCATGAATTTTGTCTTTAATGCTATCTTTTTTTTGTTACTTTTGGTAAGGTCGAATTTGTTTTCTCATTGAGTAGAAATCTAGTTGAATTAGGGAGGACAAGCACAAAATGTTTTATCCTGTTAAAAAATGGTAGACAAATATAACAAAAAAGAAAATTTTGACCCAGATCCTTGAAATTCACAACGTAAGGTCTGTGCCTGATATATTTGGATGGTAATAAAGTAATATGCCGATTTAGAGTGTCGCACCTTTTAGAACAATTTCTTAGGACAAACCACTGGTTTAAACTTGAGAAAAATTCACAAACCTATTTAAAAAACAAAATTTTTACGTAAGAAGTGATTGACAAACGTCAAAATTCAAAGCGTTTCACCTTTTCCCACAAAATCTTTGGTCGGCTAGTAGTAATAGTATATTATGCAACCGCTATGGTAAATGGCCATTGAGTCACGAGACTTAAAAAGTTTACCAAACGTGTTGCAGTTGTGCTGAAATTTTGAATTAATTTTTTTCTGGTATTTTTTGATAAGGCATCGAAAAATTGCTGCCACCCCATATTACAATGAAATATTAATTAATAGCTTTTGCCATTCGAAGTTCCGTTAGCGCCTTCTTTATTTTTTTAAAAAATTGTTCAGATGTAGGCGACGTTTTCTAGCTACGGTAAACTTTATTTAGCTCCGCTGACATATTTTATATATTTGAATATTACGATTGATGATTATTCTGAAGTGAACAAAATTTAAAACAAATAGAAATCTACAAACGTTTATATCTTTTTTACGTAAATTACAACTATAAATATCAATTAAAATTTGTCCAAAATTGAACAGTCATAAAAATTGTTGAGCTCGTGGCAATCGATTTTCAGTTTCTCGAAATTTTATGTAAAATTAATGACGACCGCACTAGCTGGTTGATTGACATCCAAAAAATTTTCGCAGGAATAGAATGAAAATAAAAATTTTATCTTTGTCTTCTTCTTTTCTCTTCTTTTTGATTTTCATTAACTTTTTTTATGGCGTTATTGAATTAAACGAAACGTCATAACTAAAGTTCATCATTTTTGACAGAAACGGATGCTCCTCGAATTAGCTACGCTATGTGATTTTTTAAAGAACACCACAAAACTGGCTCTCACAACTTGGCTCATTTTTTTAATATCTTACTTAAAGGTCGAGGTTTCACAAAAAGGAAGACAGAAGACAATTTCCGCACAATTGCTTTGAAGAATACGGTACTGACTATTTATGAACATACTCCTTAGGAGGCTTTTGAAATGCGAATATGCTGTGGGCATTATAACAGAAGCTCAGTAGGACTTTCGCAAGGCAAGGGGTTGCATTGACAACATCTATACGATTTCATATATTCCATAATATTTATAACAGCAAAGATCCATGACTGGCTGGATCATCGAATACTTCCAATACGTCTATAACCTATTTTCCAGAGATAATGTTTACTACACTCTTTTAAGGTTAATATCGGATTATCTTCAGCTATGAGTTTGGTAAGCACACTGTTATACATTTTACTAGGATAATTTTTTCATAGTCTCTTTAATTATAATAATTTGTTTTGATTGTCTTTGTAAAAATAGTTATTATTTAACACAGCATATAATAATAATAATTTAATGTATTATATAATTTTAATTTTAATTTACAATAATCTGTTTTTGGCAACAAAATATTTTTGACTGTCGCTTTAAAAACCGCACTGATCAGTTTGATAACTATAAAATAAAAATAAGTAAGTAAAGCTACGCTCGAACGAAACCAAGGCATTATTTTTAATTAGAGGCTCGAACAAGTTGAAATCCGCATGTTTTCGATTGAAAAATCAAAATTCACCAGAAAAAATAGCGAATTGCAAAATCTTTTTTATAGTTTTGAATTACAACAAAGTTTTCTTTTGTGCGGCCGGTTACTTGCTTACTAAATGCCATCTTGCATTTCGTGGGTGCTCATCTACAGTGTCCAGGGTAAACTTAAAGAAGTGAATTTTAAACGTTATTTATCATAATATAGTAGATTGTACGTACGGCACTTAGGAAATATATATAAAAATAAAAACATTCTGTCATTGAAATTTTTAAATCGACTGCTAATTAGGAATATATTATATAAAAAAGTCATTGTATTCTGCGCAATAATAATTAGTTACATTAAGAAGAAAATGACAAACTAAAAGTTTTTAAAATGGTGCTCAAATCTTTGTTCCATGTACAAGGAATTCACGTGGCTACATGCTTTATTCACTGCGGTAGTCATCGATGGTGGCCCGCAACTGAATACCCCAATACGTTTTGCCTATAAAAACAATACATCAACAAAATCATATTAATTTAGTTGACGAAAAACTGACCGAAGTATGTAGAAAATGGACGGTCTTGAAGAACTGTGGAAATGCGGGCCTGCTAAAATGCGTCACCGCCCTTAAATTGGTAAACAATGACTTGTTCGATATTCTTTGGTAATGTTTTTCGCAGATGTACAGCAGTATAGTACGTAGATCGAATTTTTCATAAAACTGGGTAATAAATATATGACAACTTATGAAGTTGTTTAAGTCGCTGTTTTCCACGTCCCGGATTATATCCACCAACCATTCGAACTGCTTTTGCGTCCTCGAAACCCAAATAAAGTATACCTTGAAAATTGTTTTGGTTAGTATTGAACATTTGTGCTTCGAAATATGGAAGGTCCAAAAATCCTTGAATCTGTTTGAACAGCGGAAAAAGTCTAGGTCATGATAATATATATGCTGAAGTTCTACATCAGACCGACATTAAACAGCTCACATATCTCTTTAACGTGATATATGATTCTGGCCAAATTTCGCAAATCCTAAAAACTGTGAGACCAAAGACTCATAAGCTTAATGAATCACGCACTTAAAGCGTTCCTTCGAGTCAACTATTCTAGAATATAGAGAAAGTGTGAAGAGATTAGTTCGGCTTTATCAAAAGTCTTTGCACTAGGGAAGCTCTCTTCTCCGTGAAACTACTTGTGCAAAAATGCTATGATCAAAGGCAAGATGTTTTCATCTGCTTTATTGACTATCAGAGGGCCTTTGATAACGTGAAACAGGAACCGTTGGTGGAGAGACTACGGGAGATGGGCATGGATGGCAAGGATATTAGAATAATTAAAGACTTGCAATGGCAGTAGTTCGCTGAGATTCGTATTGATGGTGATGGGGAAAGGGAGACCTTCAGCGTATTGAAGGGAGTTCGGTAGGGATGTGTACTATCACCCATTCTGTTTAACATCTATGTTGAAAAAATCTTTCAGATTGCTTTGGAGGATGAGACACGAAGTAATAAAGTCAACGACATCCCAATAAATAATATCCACAATTCTGGCAAACAACCATGACGACCCCCAGATCCTGTTAAATAAACTAAACGAGTGCTGAGAACAGTTTGGGCTTCAAATCAACGTCGCAAAAACAAAAATGATGGTGCTCAGACACCAGTACAACACCCATCTTCATATGAATGGAACGGGCAGCAAATTTTTCTTATCTTGGCGCCTCCCACAATGAAGGGTGGGAATGCGATGAAGAAGTTAATAGAAGAATTAGCCGAGCAAAAACAACATTCTTTAAAATTATGAATTTACTCCTGCATAGAGATATACCGCTACACACCAGGATACGGGTAATTCAGTAATCCAGCTGGTGATGTATGTCGCGGAGACTTGATCACTTAAGGTATAAGCAATAAACAGAATCGAGGCATTCTAAATGTGGACACTGCGCCGATTGCTGCGCATACCCTGGACGATAAACGATAAAGTCCTAAGAAGAGCTAAAGTAGACAGGCAATTAATGGATACCGTAAATCAACGCAGGACATATATTAAGTGGGCCTCAACACTCAATACTCAGGTTGATACTACAGGGGAAAATCGACGGCCGACGAAGACCGGTGCGAAAACAACATAAGAAACTGGAGTGGTATAAGTGACGCCGCAACCATATTTCGATGAGCTGAGGAGGGCACCCTACTCATCTTAAAGTCATAATGTGCGGGATAGCTCATGGCACCCGAAGAAGAAGAGAATCGATTCCAATATATTGTGCTTTTCAAATCAAAATTTCTTTCTCTTTCATTAAATATTTTGGAAGCTAAAAGTTAACTTACTTAACTCACGTCAAATTAAAAAAAAAGTTTCATGTTTACGGTTAATCAATTTTCCTGCAGAGAAAAAGTAGTGATTTTTTTTTTCAAAGAAACTTCCACAGGCTACTGTAATACTTTTTATAAAACTTCTGGATTCCTGCTGCGTCGGTTTTTGTTGACTAACGTTTCGCCAATCATCCTGATGGTTTCTTCAGAGTTTGACTGAAACTGGCTCGTATTTTACTCTGTACCTTGTTTGTTTGAGGGGGGCGGAGCTAAATGAGGAGCATAAACACCGTTTCGGATGACTGATTCTCATATTGGTGACAGGTGAAGACCTAAGATTGTCAGGTTGCTTATAGATTTCTATAGACTCTCGGATTTTTCGTTGGTAGAAAAATTGATTAAATGCAAGAATTTTAGTTTTATCGAATAAAATTTTATGTCCGGTTTCGTTGGGGGTTCTTTCATGTTCTTTGAGTCTAGTTGATATTTTACGTCCGATCTCGCCAATGTATTCTTTGCCGTATATGCATGGAATGCTGTAAACTCCTGGCATCTCAAATGGAATTTTGTCTTTGACGGATCGAAGATGTTAAGAGACTTTTGGACAAGTGCTAAATCTGGTTTTGACGTTATATTTCTTTAGAACTTTTGATATGTGGTCAGTGATGTTTTGAATGTAAGGAAGGACAACAGTGCCAAGTGTGGTGTTGCTTTCGTTTTCATTGCTATTGGAAGGTTGTGGTGAAGTGTATTTTTTGATGGAATACCTAATATCTTTAATGTGGAAATTATTAAAGAGAACAGCAGAGGTAAGGTGTTTTAATTCTGGGTTAGTTTCACGGCTCTGTAAACAAGAGAGTTGATAACCCATGATTTTTGGGCCAGATGGTGGTATTTTCTGTAAACACAATGATCCAATGTTAAATCTGATTTTCTATTGATAAAAATATCTATAAATTGGAGGTTGTTATTAGTTTATAATTTAATTATAATAATAATTGTAATACGTATGTTAGGGTGGTATAGAGTTCAAATGTCTAGGGATTCTTGACATTAGGCCAAATAACAAAAGTAGCGTTTCCATGATTTTGGTTTTAGATGGAAGATTTCGAGAGCTTTCTTCTCATAAAATAAATATATTCGCGATGACTGGTGATAGTGGGGAACCCATAGCTGTTCCCGACGTTTGTTTAAAAATTTGCCCGTTTTAAGAAAAATATGTTCCAGACAAACATTTTTCGATTAAGGTGAGAAGGTTTGGTTCCAGATTCTCGGATTTTAATATATCTGAAATGATGGTGAGAGTTTCAGGAATAGGAACTTTAGTAAAGAGGGATTCTACGTCGAAACTAACCAGAATATCTTGTGTATCTAATTTTAATGCTTTAGTCAACAAAAACCGACGCAGGAGTTCAGATTTTTTTAAAAATTAAAAAGTGAATATAGCTGACGAAAAGCATTCAATGTGACGCGGAACTTCCTAAAATCAACAAAATCATTATATTCATTACCTTTCGACATGACATTTTGGCTTTGCTCCCCACGAATCCTACATCTTTCAATATACTGGCAAACGGCGTAACGCCAATGCCTCCTCCGATAAGAACGGACACGTCGTATTTACGCCAGTCTTGGTGACCTTCACCGTAAGGTCCGTCGAGGCGGACTTTGGATAAAGATTGCTCCAGGTGAAGGTCGGTGTCAAAAAGGTTTCGTATGTTGGTAGTCCACGGTCCGACAGCTCGAATGTGAACGGTCAAAGTATCTTCATGTGGTGCGGACGATAGCGTAAACGGATGATATTCGTGACTGTTCAGTTTGGTACAAGAAATTCGCACCCATTGGCCTGCTTTGAATTCAAAGTTATCCGGCTTGCGAATTTCCAACTTCGTAACGTCTAAAACGCCAATCTTACAGGAGCTGCTTTTTAGTGTTTGGGAAAACTCACTCGAAGGAAGGACTTCTGCTTTTAAGACAGGGATTTCGATTTTCTTTCGACTGGTACTAACCAGAGAATCCGTAACAAACAGGATTAAAGGCGCCAATATAAAATTATAGGCAAGTGGAGCCTAAAATGCACGCATAAGTATTCATAAAATATCTAAAGGCTGTCAAATTCTTCTTCGAAAATAGATATTTAAATACAGTCCAAAAATAAGTTCGCTTGTTATATACAGGTGCCTCAATTTTGTACGTTTCCGTGATCCCGTCGATATTTCATTTAAAGATTGAAGAAAATACTTATTTATTGAAAAAGTATAAGTATAATCATCAAATTCATCAACTTTTTGTGAAAGTCAAAAATTTGCAGTGTTAACCTTTCGAATTTCGATTATCCCACTGAATAGCAATCTAACCCTAATTTAGGTGTTGTATGGTACTAAGACAACATTTTTGAAGTATTTATGAAAAAATGCAAAATGATTGACACCTATAACAATACTGACTAAATCAAGTTAAACCACAAAAGCGAAAATTATGGTCAAATGGTAAGGGTATCTTTTATAAATAAAATGTGTGTATTTTGTGTGCCCAATTTCAATATTTTTTCTCTTACTCGTTTTCAAAATATCTAGAAAAATTGAAAATAGTTTTTGATATTACCACTTATCAATCATTACAAGGTTTCCGTTTTGGCCACAATTTGTGAATCACTATGTATAATTTTATAAATAAATTGACATTAACAACAGCCAGAAACCTAAGCAATTTTGCGGTAGTGGCCAGACTGACTCGATACATCAAAATGACTCAACATCCAGGGAAGGCAGCTAAATTTATGCAGCGACCATAATAATAATTACTAAATGGGTAGTGGTGAAATTATGTTTTATAGAGTTCTCCAAACGATAAACGTTTTTACGACATAATCCTCGCTTGGGTTTCTCTTAAAAAATAAATTCGCAATTCCACAATGACGTTCATGAACTGTACTTCGACTTCGTGTACACAAATGCTGAAAGCTGACGGATTTGTGTAGAGTTTCATCGGTGAGATTCCTCGATTATTATTAGTCAACGAAGTAAAAAATGTATTCGTACTTTAAAATGTTTGTTATAAATATAAATGAAGGAGTAAATTTAGCTATAAAACAATGTGAGAATATTTATAAAAAAAAGTTATTCTACATCAAAATAATCATCCCCCACATTAATAATGGCACTAGTCGAATTCTGTAAACATTTTCTTCTTCGATGACATGTTCTATACATTTTTGCCCCAGAACTAAATTTCGGTGAGGTGTTGTTTCTTCTGAAACAGGGTTTCAGCTCTCCTATATCAGATATTGGATTAAAATTGCAGTGATGAGGTGGAAGGCGGACAACTTCAACCCTCAAATATCTTGTCCTAAACTCTGAATTCTTCTTGATTCTATCAAAACTTGTCTCTTATTGACGGTTTTGTAATAAACACCAATTCTCGCAACTCATCATGTAAAGTTTTAATTGTTAAATCAATATTCTGCTGATAACGCATGGTGCATGTCAAGCATACTTTTTGGAACCCCACAATCTTTCCTCGTTTTTTCTTGGACATCATTCACAACTATGTCATTGTACTGCAGCATACGCTGTTTTAGTCATCTCGGACGTTAATTTTATGGCTCCAGTTTCCCCGGATGTCGATTTCAGAAACAGAAACACATTTAAAATTACAATTTCGTCATCAACCACAATCTCAACTTCTTCGTAGATGGACATCGCAAGTGAATAACAAATGTGAAATTTTTAGTATTTGGTAAGAAATAAATTGTAATAGCATGTATATTGTACCTCGATTAAAATGAGAAATAAAGACGAAATAGCTTCTGCTATAAAATCTATGCAACTTTCTGCTAATACAATGATGAGTGTAGAAATAATGAGCAGTGATATTTTTTTACAGTTTAAGAACTGACTTAGATAACTGTGTTTATTTTTCACTTGAACTGGATGAATCTACAGATGTGGTTGACAATGCCAAGATGGCTGTGTTCGTCAGAATGGTTTTTAGTGATTTTACAATTAAAGAAGATCTTTTGATGTTTATTCCACTGAAAGGACGCACTACTGGATAGAAGTTGTTTTCTCATTTAAAAAATATTATTTCTTTCGAGAAAATTCCAATATCGAAAATGGTAGGCTTGACAACCCATGGCGCTTCAGCGATGGTGAGTTGTGATAAGGCTCTGGTGGCGTTATGTCTTTAAGATAAATGTTTTCTGCGATTTCTCTGTTACCACTGCATTATCCATCAGCAAGCATTATGTGGAAATTTGCTGAAACTAAACAACGTTATGAAACTGGTGGTAAAAATTGTGAACAAAATTAGAGCTTAAGCGTTACAAAGAAGATTATTCAAAACCTTGGCCGATAAAGTTGGGTGTCAGTACGGGGACCTACTCCTTCATTCCGAAGTCCGATGGTTAAGTAGAGGACGAGTGCTGGTCTTAATCATGTCCATCTGGCATAGTTCAATTTTTTAAACAACGCGATGAACCGACTCCGGAACTAGAAAATTCAATCTGGCTTAGAGATTTTGGTTTTCTTGTGAACATTACAGAGAAATTAAACGAACTTAATTTGCAGCTTCTGGAGAGAGACAAAGAAATAACGAAAATGATTTCTGATATAAAAGCATTTATCAAAAAGCTGGAGTTTTTGGGAGCAAAACCTAATTAACACCGATGCCAAGCATTTTTCTATTCTTTCAGAAAAGATCTCAAAATCCATTAGGACCCTATGACAGCAAACATCATGTAGAAATAGTTTCTACCCTGAAGGATAACTTCAAAAATTATTTTAAGGATTTCAACGAAATGGCTTTAGTAGCGCAGTTTGTTGTTTCACTCTTTATGGAAATTGATATCCAAGAGTTTGCAACGTGTGTTATGCAGAACTTTGGCGAAGACATCGCTGCAACGGAAATGGAAGTAATTGAGTTTCTAAATGATTTAGCCTTAAAATCATTAGTCTCAACAACCAAATGTATCTGTCGTATTATAAGTAAAAACAGATATTCAGTTCTATGCCGTATTGCCTTGAAAGTGAAAGCATTATTCAGTTCAACCTATTTGTGTGAATCTTCGTTTCCCAATATGAAGTTTATTAAGAAGAAATATCGCAATCGACTTACAGATGAACATTTGGATAGTTGTATTCGAATGGCTGTAACAAATTGTACTGCAAATATTAAAAAAAATATCGATGAGCGTGAGTGTTCCCATTGAACGTGCTTTTTTATTTCTCAATGTTTATGTTCATGATAGTGCGTTACTTTTTTGTTGTTATTATTAACTATTTTTAAATCTTACGTGACATGCCGTTGTGGCTGGATAAAAGTTTGTGTTTATTTTTCAAACACCTTCGTTTGGTAGGTAAGAATGTAGTTGTGAACAAGTACGTACTAGTAATATTAGTTATTTTGTTATTAGTTTATTAGTACCTATGTATTATGTATTACCAGTTAAAGTTAAATAGTAAAATAAATACATATAATGATAAATTAACTGTGGATTATTTCATTTGCGTTGCGTTACGTGGCTTCCGTGTGGGTAGCTCACTGTTTATTCCAAAATTAACAAAATAGGTCAACACGTTGAAGAGGTTGGCGACCACTGTCTTAAACCTTTAAATTGGAAATCAGTTTGAGCTTTCTGTGTTTTTAATTTAGAGCAGCCTATCTAATGGGCAAATTCAACTTGAAATCGAGCTACCTCAAGTAGGGATTGTTTTAGGAAGATTTATAAAAAGCAGACAATTATGACTTAATTTAACAGTTTGATCAGAGGAAATTTGCCTACTCTTAAAATACAACACTCCGCACGGCACAATTCCTACCGGCTAATATCTTGTGGTACACGTGCTGAAAAGAATGGTCTCTTCCGCTTTACAACAGGCGGATCTTAAACTAATTCCGAAATCAAAACCATAAAAGGTTATAAAAACGGTATATTGTTTGGAGAACTTTAATACAGGTAGTAACCAAATCTTATCTGTACCTGTATGAGTCTACCGGAACCGTGAAGTATTATCAGGGCGGTATAAATTGGGTAAAGTTTATGGCTGTACCAAAAATAGTGATACAGCTTTCTTCTCACCACTGTCTGAGCGAATACGTACATAATTATAAACATCATGGTTAAAGCGATACCGGTTACGCCGGTAATGGTTTGAAAACACCAATAGTAAAATTTCGGCAACTCGTGAGTCCTAAAATAATGTCATAACGTAACACCAAATACAAAACTAACAGGAGAACTTACGCGTGAAAATAATTTCTAAACAAACAAGTCAAATCGTCTGCTGTTTGTGTCGAAATGTGATAAAAATTAAAAGCGTGTCCGACAATATGTATTACTGAAATTAAAAAAAGAAACAACGGTCTTTCGTGCGCAATAAATATTATGTTTTAATATTTATAAAATAAAAAAATTAGGTTTCATACCAGTAAAGACTGCAGCCCAATTGGCGATATACTTGTGTATTTCCACAACAGAGTCGAATGGGAAATACCTATTAGCTACGGTATCTCTCAAGTAAGTTATGGAGTTTCTGCACATAGTGACGAAAAGAAAACCATGAGTGAACATTATCGCTGACGCCGCACCTCTTGTAATCGATACGCCATACCCTGCAATTCTTCTCAACCCAGAGTGTTCAGCCTCCACCGAATAATCTAAAAAATCAAAAAGAACCATATTCATTTATTACACTGGTGTGAGTAGGACAGTGAACTCGATCTAAAATGAAATATCGATTTTGTTAGGCAAGTTTTATTTGTCATACAAGTTAATACTTTTTTTTTACTCTTTGAACAAAGTGGTTGTGATATACCGATCTAGCTTGCGGGAAGCGTCACTTTACCACATCAGTTTCGTTTCGCACGGATCGGAGCCACTTCGGACATTTCCGGGATATTACCGCACGGGTTTGGGAGCAATCGGATGTTTTTGGAGATATTCCCCACCACTTGAATTTAGTACGTTTGTCAGTGAATGTAGTAGTGTTGTTTTGCGAAAATGTACCCACAAACTAACGGTCGTAGATAAAGTATAGTATACAACACGTTTGGTAAACTTTTTAAGTCACTCGTTTATTAAACACCCGCTCCGCTGAGCTCCGCTAGTGTCAAATAAACTAGTGAATTAAATGTCTTTTACCGCACTTATATAATATATATAATATATAATATACTATTTACTACCGCAATCCTGCACATTTCTTAAAATGGTAACTTTTTGTGTTACATATGGCTGCGGTAATGGGGTATGGAGTGTCTTTAGAACCATTAAAGATAAACTTTTCTAAGTTTGAGCTACTTTTTTTATTAGAAATTTAATGATCCAACTTGCATATTTCCACAACTTTGGAAGTTACAGAGTGATTTTAAACTAAATGCATTTTCGAAAACACCCTGTGTCTCGATCGTTTCTTATGAGATTAAGAGGATAAAAAGAAGTTCTAATAAATATTTTTATGTAGAATTCATTGCTGTACACAAAAATTTCTTTTAGTGTTCCGTTTTTAAGGTATAAACATTAACATATCTGATAACTTAAATTGAACACGCCGTATTTTTTGTGTACTAGTGGTAATTTTTTCCTTTTCAATTCATCCCTTTTGTTTTGTCCAATTTAAATAAAATCAATCAATCAATCAATATGGGCCATAGTACAAGTGCCAAAATTTATTGGTGCTAAAGTTAATTACTCACTATAAGATGTATTGTTATTACATATCCGTCAAAATAAGTTTATTGCCATATTACCCGATAAATAATAACTAAGCGTTACTATTTACAAATCTTTTGGACTCCTCCTGCATCGGATGTTGATAAATCGAACTTGCTGACGTTTGACCAACCATTCTGCAGTTTCGGTTAAGCTCTGAAGAACGACGGCGAAACGACACAGGAGGAATCCCGAAATTTGTAAATACTATTACTGTGGAAGTTTTTAATTGAGTTACTATAAATAATATAATATAATATGAAGCGCTACCTTTAACGGTATGATTCCTTGAATTGTTTTAAGAAATTTAAGAGGTTTACGCGAACGTAGTACGTAATCGCATTATTTTTGATATACAGAGTATTAAAAATATTAAAGAAGGCTTTTCCTCATTTTTGATGCTTTAAATATGTTGTTGATTGTTTGATAGAGGTCAAAATACAATTTTGTTTAAGTAAAATTTTTGTTTTTTTATCATTATTATATACTAATTCCTTTTAGCTTTTAGCAAAATATTTATAAATTTACTGTTACAACACCAACAATATATTTATAGGTTAATAATAATTAATACTCATTCCCATATGATTAAATTTTGCATTACAATATTAAATATGAATAATGATGACCAATAACACAAATAAGAAACTTAGACTTAATGGAAAAGACATTTTTTTACACACAAGGCCCCCAAAATGCATTAAAAATAGCTGCAATATTAATATAATTTACACATAAACATCACCATTATAATTTTGATATAATTGGGTTTTAAAAATTTCGAATTTCGTGTGGAAAGAGTATTAATTTTTGTTGACATTTTAAATATACTTTTTGTATTTTAACAGTAAATTTATATTATTGTTAAAAAGATGAATATTAAAATAACTGAAATATTCCCAAAGATGCAATATTATGTCCAGTTTTTATTTCTTCTACTGATATATAGCTAGAAAAATTTCTTAAAAAATTCAGTTCAGAATCTCAGCGACAAACACAAGAAAAATCGGAACAAGGTGCATGGTGCTTTTAAAAATATTGCTGAAGAAATGGGTCTCGATGACATTGGCGAATTAAAAAAGAAAATCCATTGCAGTACTGACTGACTAGTGCACAATGGACAAATTTCGAGTGGCATTGTGAGTGAGAGGCAATGCGTCGGTTCATCAACGCGTGTTTTGGCTATTTTTTCTTGCAATCAAAGTAATGTTTGCATTTAATTTATTGCGAAAACACATAGCGCAAAAGGCCCTCTAGCGGCGACACCAGTAATCTGATTCAATCTGCTCGAGGCAGCGTCGATAGTCTAACAAGAGCCCTTTTCAAAACTCCAAGTTTGGGAAAATTACGTTTTAGTTGTAAGTTTTTTCACGACAATTACTTTTCAAAATAGAGCCGAGTGTCCACTTTAATAACATACTCTGACTATTTTTTTTTGTAAAATGGAAAAATCACTTCTCTATCAAGCCTGGTCGATTCTAGTTTAGATCGAGTTCACTGCGGAAGTGAGATACTTGCAGTACGCTCGTTCTGCAAAAATGCACAAGAGCACCATTGTATACAACGACAGCCAGAAGATTTCCCTGCATTTAATTTCGATGAAACGAAGTACCCTATTCCGGTACGAGAGGTAAAAAGATTGCTCCTTTTCATGATATTCGACTGCCTCTTCTTCTTGCTTCTGATCGATTATTCTGCTCGAATGGTTAGCGGCAATTCCTTGAAATCGGCTTTCAATTTCGCTTCTGGACCTAAGCGGAAATCACAATTCAGCAAATCGGCGGAATTTTTCAAGAAATCTTACTCGTATATATTTTCCATTGTTTCTTTGGCAGTATACAAAAAGATATTCGGGTTACTCAGTTTCAACCCTTGAAAGTCCAACCTTGCGTGGTTCAAAGTTTTGATATCGTCCCCAATAATAAGTTTAAAGTCCGAAAAACTCAACTCACTCTTATGTTCGACACCCGCCTTTTTTAACATCGCCATTATGGACTGTTCTATTTCTCTGTCGTCAACTTGTCCCCCAACGGTCTCAAGAAATGACCTAACAATAAATATTTTTGATAAGCTAGAATATACCGGGTGTCCCAGTAACGGAAAATATTTACGGTCTTAGGGAGGCGGAGCGGCATAGATTTTTGAATTGAGAAAGTTATTAGTAACAAAGACAAAGTGCGGGATATTTTCCAGTTGTTAAAAAGAGCTTTTCCTAAGCTATCAAAGCTATCAATCGTGATATGAGGGACGCTATTGCGATTGCTATCCTTGTCGCCTGGTGGTGTTTTCTAACAATCGCAAAATAATAATTTTCAGAAAAAATATTAAACGCATTGATATGACCCTTATGTCATTATATAGTCAAATAAGGACCTTACAACTCCATATCTTCATCCCAATCTAAAATATGAAAAAAAGAGCAAAACACAAAAAAAGGTGGATTTTCGGAAAAATTTTCATATAACGATTTACGAAAAAAGATGGCAAATGATATTTAAAATCAAAATAAAATAATTTTTTTAAAATAATTTCGAAGATCACCAAATTACCCAGCAGCTGACATTTCTACTTTTTGAGACGCTTAGCCGTTATCAAATAATTAGTATTATCACTTATTTTTTCGTTAATTAATTAATTAGTTAATTACTAATTCAACTAACCAAAACTAATAAATTGTTGCTGGATTACGATGAGTTTTAATTAATAATGATGCAATAATACAGGTAGCAGAGGCTCGTCAAAGTCATTTTCGAATCATAAGTGGTCGTTAGTCGTCAGTGGTCTGAAAAATAAGTCAAATTGCTGTCTAAAAACGGATGTCTTATTAACATCACAAAAGAAACCTTCGAACGTCGTCATAAAATGACTTAATTAATTCCAGATAGGGACTTTAATCTTGATAATTAATTTAAACTATTACTAATGTCTTCTATTTAAAGCCACGATGAGAGGATGTCCAAATAGTGTGTTAAAGTAATATGTTTCGTTTATTATTTATTTTAGAGAAAAAATGTTAAACAAAAAGTTATAGACCAGACTAATAGAAACAATTATTATTATTCAATTATTTTTAAATATATAGTGATTCAAAAATAGTTTGGAAATCAAACTTATATTTTTTTGAATGGGACCCCCTGTATATTATGACATAGACACTCCCTTTTATACTCAATAACCGAATGTAAGATTGTTCTTGTATATGCTGCAATTCATGGCAGTCTTCTTCAAAAGAGATATTTTATTCATTCTTTAAATATTTCAAAACGGTTCAGAATGTATTGTAAAAAAAGTAATATGCATAAATAATAAGGATTTATTTCGATTTTACATATTTGGCATCCTAAATAATAATTTAGTATTTTATTTGGTAATTTTCCCATTGGGAACTTATTTGACTATATAATGACTTAGTCATATCGTTCCCATCTGGATCGTTATCACGTCACCCATATGAAGTTTGATAGGTTAGGGGCCTAGCGAAAACCCTTTTTGACAACACCAAAAGGTTAAGAGATATGGACATTTATTGAAACTATTGAAATGAACCCATAATACATTTCGTACAATGAACGTTTGCCTTATCACAAACTAAAGTTTGTTGTCAGTGGCATTTTGAGAATATTTTATTTATACAATTTTCCGTGTGAAAAGTCGAGGGGATTTTTTTAAAGAAATTAGCTTTTGACAAAATTCTAAATGCAGGAAGCCAGTGTTGAGACTAATTCTTTGCTAAGTAAATTACTCTAAAGGGCAATTCTACATTGTTTTGGGTCATATTAAAAAAATTGCCCAAAAAATATGTTTGTAATTTATTAAGCAATATGTTACAATTTTAGCATAATTTAGGGATGCTGTTGATACTATGTATTAAAGTAACATGTTGTGGTGTTACGTGTAAGACACAATCTTGCTCCCACTTACTCCATTTTATAAAAATATTTTTTAAAGAACTTGCCGGGTGGTCAAAAAAACGGAGAAAAATGTTATTCGTTATAAATTTTGACCTATTAATATATAAATTTGTTTATTTTTTTTTATAGAGCGGTAGTGTAACTTAAGTTTGATTCATATAAGACCATTGTTATTATTTTTGGCATTTCAATAGTGAAAGGTATTGTCATAACTTTTGTTTACTATTGGTTGTCATGCTCTTTTAAAACTAAGACTATAAGACTATAAATAAAAAACTTAAATGAACGATCTTATTGCAAACCAATGGTTTAACTTTTTTAGAGCTATGATTAATGCAAAAATTGTAACAAAAACAGAGCAAAGTACTTAACCGAATGAGACTTTAGATATATAAGAACCCTGTTATTTCGTTTCGTTTATATCGTTTCTTTCAAGCAAACAAACTTAAATATTTTAAAAAATCCGCTAACAATATTTAGTTTTAGTCTATATTAAAATAACTTTTTTTTTGTTAAATTGATACTTTTGGGACATCTTGTTTTTTTTTATGTAGTTAAATATAAATATTTGAAAATGTTTCTATATTTTGTGTAGCGTGTGTAGAGTTTTTTATGAACTCCCTGTATAATATTGTATTAAAACTTGATGTTCGTAATACTTTTTTCTTTTTATTGTTGTGTTTTTATTAATATTAAGTAAAATTTATTGGAATAAATAGGAACTGAGAGTTCAGATTTTCACGAAATTATATATTTTTACATGACAATTGTTTCGACAACAGCGTGTCTTTATCAAATGTAATATTTACAAACTACCTGCTACTACATACACAGGTATTTAAATCTAATTGATCATTAAGCAATACATTTGAATGTCTCATTTTGTTAATCTCCATCGCTTCCAATAAATTTAATTTTCTACATTTTGTGGCTGTATGTAAAATATCAACATTGTCGTCAAAAATGTGTGTTTCTGTGTTTAAGTGTGTAGCATAATTTGAATGTAGACTATTCTTTTTAAACGCTCTTTTACGTTCGTTAATGCGTTTTATTAATTAATTTATCCGAAACCTAATACAGAACACGAACAATTTAAGACAATTACATACATAGGAGAACCTAGTGAAAAAGTTTCAAAACATTTGTCAAAATGTGGTTTAAAAATAGCTTTCAGAACTAACAACACATTAGAAAAATTTTTAAAAAACAATATAACGAAATGTCCAAAATCTCAAAAAATCATATCAATATCATATCAATCAAATTTATATTGGATAAACAGCTAGATCCTTCAAAAAACAATTACCTAGAATCTAAATATGCTACACACTTAAACATAAAAAAACACATTTTTGACGACAATTTTGATATTTTACATACAGCCACAAAAAGTAGAAAATTTAATTTATGGAAGCCATGGAGATTAACAAAATGAGACATTCAAATGTATTGCTTAACGATCTTTACCTCTTCTTTATTGAATTTAAATTCTCACAACAACATTAATTAAGGTTTTATTCTCATTTTTCGGTAAATATAGTAGCAGGTAGTTTGTAAATATTGCATTTGATAAAAACACGGTGTTGTCGAAACAATTGTCATGTAAAAATATATAATTTGGTGAAAATCTAAACTTTTAGTTCTTATTTATTTTGATAAATGGATTTTCATCAAGTAAAAGCCACCTCAGATGAAAATTTATTGGCATGCCAAAAAAAAAGAATTAGTCAAATACCTAGGGTTTCCCTGGACCCTCGGTATAGCAACGAACAGAATACGTACTTTATGATCAAAGTAAAATCTTTCGATCTTAGATATCCGGTGCCATCTATGTCATACAAATTAAAAAGTAGCTTGGCTTTTTCTTCTTCGGTTCCATCAGCAAAAATTATGAGCAGATCAACGAACTCGCGAAAACATATGAATCCGTTCTTATTCTTATCAACCAACATGAACATTCTTCTAACGAATTCGTTTTCGGGCCGCATATTGAGCGAATCTGCGAATTCTGTCAACGTCAATTCCGTATCTATTAATTCTTTAGCCAGAAAACCGTCGACACGCAGTACTTCTTTTTCCGAATGGGCTATCTGAAATGCCTGGGCAAACGCGACCCTGAAAAACATTTCTAAAAAATTCTGACGGTCTTGTTTTGTCACGATTATGTTTTTCGCCGCTTTCCAGTTGAAGTTGTTGATGAGCTCTTTTTCGAGTTTGTTGTTCGCCGCCACGAAAACATCGAACTCTTTCATGAAAGCCTTCCGCAGGTATTCGTAATCGAATTTCAAAACCTGCAAATGTCTTCGTCGTTTAAAAAATCTAAACCGGAAACACTTACCAGATCGTAGTTTTGCGGGAACTGCAATATGGTAGTTGGTTCGTCGTAAATGTTTATGATTTTTACAACGCATTTAGTTTTGTTGGATAAATCGATTGCCCGAAGTGTTAAGCCAGAGTAATTTTGAATGCATATCTGCTTTTCCTTCGATTTTAATAGCAACACTATTTGTCGAAGGGGGTTTTTGGGAAGCACGTATTCGTTTACTAAAAGTAAGAGGAGTGATTTGCGATTAAAAGGCCTCGCAAATAACGCCCTCACCCATAAACATCGGATATTTTACGTTCCAGCTGGATTCTATCGTTTGTCTGATCCGATCGTGTCTTTTGCTCTCATGATTTTTGCGAATCGAATCCTTTCTTCGTATAGCTGCATAAATAACTGCGATGTTTCCTAAAATAGATTTATTTATTATTTAGATACTCTATTGCAAAATTTATAATTATTGATTCTGAATTTGAGAGACAATTCTTCTGTGTTGAAATTTAAAGAACTTCGAGGGTAAACTGAACCAATTCCGAAAACTACTGCGGTTATACAGTGGATGGCCTAGTAGAAATATGCCGCGAACCGACTAACAGATGTCCGTGAATATATTAGTGTGGTTTTGGAAAAATGTACCCAAAAACTAACGGTCGTAGAAAAAGTATAGTCACTCGTTTATTGAACACTCTCTCCGCTGCTCTCCGCTCGTGCCAAATAAACTCGTGAGTCAGATGCCTTTTGCCACACTTGTTGCATAATATACTATGCTTGACAAACCGTGTTAGTTTTACAAACCACCAAATAGTAAGTCAAATAATGTTACAAGCGGATTAATGTTATAATACAGGTGTTTGTTCAAGAACCTGTAGGTATTCGTCTCTAAGGTAGGTGTGTCGGCTCTAAATAATGGCTTTTCTAACAAAAATTGCTTCATTATCGTTTTAAATTTGATTTGTGGTTAAAAGTAGATATCTTTCTATAGAACATTTAATAGTATATTATGCAACAAGGCGGTAAACGGCATTTGAGTCACGAGTTTATGTGGCACGAGCGGAGCGAGTGTTTAATAAATGAGTGATTTAAAAAGTTTACCAAACGGATCCATGAGAGAAGAAACTCACTAGATCGGTGTATAAGTATTTTACAGAAGGGAGTAGAAAAAATAATTAATATTGATCTTCTTACTATTATAATTTCGGAAAAATTTTCGCACATAGATTGAATGTACTTCATAAATTCGCATATTCATTTAATTTTAGTTTCGTTCCAACTATCTTGGCATTTTTCGGTCTCCATGTTTCAGTTTCTCCTTTCTGGCGGCAGAATGTAGTGGGAATGACAGTTTTATAATGTCCCTCAATATTTACTTTTTTAGCAACGGAGACCGAAGTATTACATAAAAAACACACATTTGACAAATATGACAATTAGATTTTTTGTGGAATTTTTAAGCTTCTCTGAGTTTTGCAGTTTGTATTTTTAAAATTAAAATCGTTGTGAGAGCTACCAGAATTGCTTTCGCGAGCTACCGGTAGCTCGCAATCGGCAGGTTGGCGACCGCTGATCTAAGTCTAACTCTTGACGATCAGGTACTTACGACTATTCTACTACAATACTATATTGTAGAACTAAAATTCAGCACACATTAAGCAAATTAAAGCAGGGTAGGCAGGGTAGGCAGGGTAGGCATAGCAGAGCATGTTTAATCGAAGAAACACAACATAAAACTGTCAGAATAAAGTTAAGACATCAGTTTGGTTCGAAGTTCTTTTAGTTTCAACATTTCTAATTTCGTGCGAAATTCTTATATTCCCTATAGAAGGTGCCCCAAAATTTGTCGATCAAATTAAACCGAGGGATCAGAAGATCATTATTTCCAATTTTAAATAAGCCGTCATCTATTTTGTTATGGATAGAAAAACATGTTTGGCGAAATTGCATATGTTTTTTCCTAGATTAAACGCTAAACCGAAAATAAAATAAAAAATACCTATTCCAAAGACTGCGATGCTGACGAAAGTTAATATGAAGGAAAGCGCGCTACCCCTAAAATAATCGTAGGAGGTTCCTTGGACGCACGTTTGGTTTAAGAGCTGTTGATTTAGTTGTGGCAATGCGTAATAATCTCCGCCGCTTCCTGGGATCTTTTTTAATTTACACTTCGAAACTAACTCAACATCGCCCTCGACTGCCGCCCTAAACGGGAATTTAGGTATGTCGTCCACCGCCATCTTTGTAGTTGCCATAATGATGTCATAAAGCGACGTTGATTTAATTCTTGCAATTTCTAATGGCGTAAATAGACTACAATTATTAAAAAAAGAGAGAAATAAATGTTTTACAATATCTAGAACTTGTTGAATACGTAACTTGTTATTCGAATTTTCAAACCAAAATCGATCACCATCCCTGATTCGCCGAAACTGGTCCAATATTATCGTTTTGAATAATTGACCGGGTCCATCTGTTGTCTCCAGTATCCCTCCAATCCAGACATCGATACTGTTAATGTCATTACGGTATAAATCTTTCAATCTATCTATAATGCTATCATTCAACTGAGGGTTAGCTGTACGGAAGTGTTCCCAATTCAAATAAGGGTCAAGGCCGAATGCTTTTCTGGCCATATTAAAATCGGGCAGCCCGTGATCTCTTCCCCTTTGTACGTTAAGGGCCATTAGATCCCTGCGAGGAAATTCCAGCGGACCGAAAACGTTGCCCCGTAAATCCTCGACGATCTTGTGATCTTCCCTCTCACAAAGTTGGACAGACATGCCCATTAAAAGCTTATCGATATCCATGGTCTTAAGGATAGGTTCATGGCCCCTCCAGAAGATGTTACACGTTCTAACAGCTGGCAATTGCCACTCTGCCGATTGATAAGAGCAATCTTTTGAAACGTAATCTCTCAAGTACACCCCTGGGACAACCAGGGTATGCCCGAACCGAAAAGCCGCGGATTGGAAAAACTGATCTATTTGGGGATCAATGGCAGGATCGTATTTGTAAGGGTAGTCGGACAGTCCTCCAGGAATAAGTACCGGTAACCACTCGTAGAGATAAATTTGTTGTTGAATTGCGATTGTCCATTTTCGTGCCTCATTAAATATGTGTTCACTGGACCAATCCCTGTAATGAGTGCGAAGTCTGGCAGCGAGATAGTTATGCCATCGGAACCATAATATGCCGAAGGTAAGGAGAAATGCGTTTTCATTACCTCTTGGGTTTCCCAGTTCTGTGGAAAAAACGGGCATTAAGAAGAACTATTGAATATACAATACGCAACTTTAAATAACTGTTTTTGAAACATCAGTATCGATATATATTTTTTTGTTAAATATCTATAGTGCAATTTCTTTAATCAGAACTTATTTTCGACATTACTATCTGCTGCATTTAGCGCAAAGAGTGCTATTCGCTTTCTTTTTTAGTACATTTTGTGTGTAAATATTTTTGTAAAACATTTTTTTGTATAAATTTCCTTTAGCTTTAAATAGTTTAAGCAAAAATCAAAGCAAAGTTTACGCTAAAGCTAAACGAAAAAGCTTAATTCAAAAATTTGGGGTGCAAATTTATTTAAAACTGGATCGAAATATGAAATTGGAAGAGGTATGGTCTGTTCATAGATATAATAAAGTGACCAATTGCTTTTGAATGGGGTTATCCAAGGGTGATCATTAACATACAATGCAACAAGATTATTACTTAAAGTTTCTTTATTTAAATTCAGGTAAAATTGTGGTCCGTAATAGAAAATAATTTTATATCTGCCTGTGTTAAATATTTTTTGGTTTGGTATACTACTTAGTTTAAGTTTATTAATAATCATTCGTATTTCGTGTGTAACACAGCGTGTGTTGAATCGTGTACGAATTATGCAAAATATGTGCGAGTCTAGTGTATCTCAGGAGATGCTCCCGCCCAAATGTAGAAAACATTATTCTATTGAGACTAAGGAAGTTATCAACAATGTTTATTTGACTCTCATTGAACGTGGTGCCAGCAAGCAAGCATATTTAGAAGAAACGGCCACATTGACGAAAATTCCAACATCAACTGTATGGAAATTTTTGAATAATCCCATTTCAGCGAGGAAAAAAAGAAGCGATGCTGACATTTTCTCGAGCGTAGAGGAAAGTGATCAAGATATAAAACGGCGTAAAATTTACCAAATATACAAGGAACAAAGCATGCTTACATTAGATATCTTAATTAGGAGGCTTGAAAAAGATGAAACCGGTGTTAAATGTGGCAGAACTACTTTATGGAAGTGTATTCAACACATGGGTTTTAGATTTAACAAAATTTGACCAAAGGCAAGTTTTAAAGGAATTTTTTAGAATTCGGAAATGGCGACGGCAATATCTAGAAAAAAATAGGATTTACAGAGGACAACAAAGGCTCTTACTTGGATGAAACCTGGTTCGACACTTATGATACCCCGGAAAAGGGTTTTGGGTTGACTCAACTGATAAGTGTAAAACAAATGCGCCATCACAAAGAGCAAAAAGAATAACTATTTTGCATGCTGGCCCCAAAGATGGTTGGATTCTTCTCTGGATTACCATGAATACACCACCGCTGATTTATTTGAAAGTTGGTTTAAAAACAAACTAGTTCCAAAGATTCCTCCTAATAGCGTCATTGTAATGGACAATGCAAGTTATCACAGTAGACAGTTGACTAAAACCCCTGTCCTCATGTGACACAAAAGCAACAATGCAAAGCTACATGTATAATAACGACATTTATTTTCACGAAAATTATACCAAAAAACAATTAATTGAGGTTCTACAAAGCTTGAACGTAGAAAAGGAATACGTCTGTGATAATTATGCAAAAAATCTAGGGCATACAGTTTTAAGGCTTCCACCTTACCATTGTATATTTGATCCCATTGAACATGTTTGGCACCAACTAAAATCTACCATTCGTCGTAACAATGTTTTTCCCCGTGTTAACTACAATGTCCTCAAACATATAGAAACCGAAGTTTTTAACATCCCTCCACAATATTGCAAATAATATAGAACAAATAATAATTAGAACAGACGACGATATACTGATATATTATGTGAATGATATATTATGTGAATAATTTTAAGTAATTTAAGTAGATAATAAAAATAATTTGTAATTTTATTTTAGATTTAAACATAAATTCATACCTAAATAAATAATTATTGTTTAGTATCTTTCCTAACAAAAGCCCAAATAATTAAATTCTAAGCAAAGTACGGACCTGTTCGGCCATATTTCATTCGTACAGCTTGCCCGGGTCTTTCCTTAATTCGTATTAGTTAGTCACTTTCTTGTGTTTATGAAGAGACCATACCAATCTGGTTGTCCGGTGCCTACACTTACTAAAAAATCGTTCAACTGAATCTGTTTCATGTCTGTCGATATAATGGGCATGATAAAATGGTGATGGTGGATTGGCCATTGGTAATTTACGCGTATTAAATTCCGGAAAGAGTCCATTGTGCGAAGACGCCAGTTTTCCGTCCGGATCGACCGTTCCGTTCGCGTAAGTTCGTAACTCATCGGCCCACATTTTGCTGGTACCATAAAACAGTCCGCCGTCGATATACGGTGTAATTTCGTTCAACTAAAAATATTAATAACGTCATTACAATAATGGGTTTTTAATTTAAGGTAATACGGACTTGCTGCCTGGGGTTGTTTGGACTATATCCTGTGGTCGGGTCGTAACGGCTTCGGAGGAAAGGCATTTGCGTGTGCCCGGTTAAATTCTCAAAATGATGGCCCTTGGGTACCTTGATATTGAAATATTCGGGAGGGCAAGCTGGTCTTTGTGCATCTAATATTTCTTCAACGATTTGTTGACCTATTTTTTGTATAACAATTATGTGTCAAATCAGTTTTCCTGAATAACTGAAAACTTGTAAGTTAGGAAGAAACGGCTTTAAGAAATGCCTGGATGAAAACCATTGAATCAAGAGAAAGAAGAGTACAACTAAAGAAGAGAGAGACCTCTTAGGAATTAGTTTAGTTTACACTTGATAACGAATAATATCTGAAATGTTTTATGTCACGCCTACTCAGTGTAAATAAACTCAGGCGCTCGGATTTACTGTATATTAACTCTTATGTGCTTCCAATGTAAATACAAAAAACAACTGGTTAAAATTTTAAGAATAGTATGATAACTGCAATTGAATCCGGTAGAAATGGCAGCGTGGAAAACAATTATAAAAAAACTTGGGCACAACTTAAAATTGTGTTGGACGATAGTGCGATAGCATGATTCAAACTATTCTGTCCAACAATTTTATTTAATATGTATTTATTATTTATATAATTACAATAATACAGTACGCAATACAACAGAACATATTCATATATTTTGTGTTTCAATTTCCTTACTACTAGCCTGTACCGTTTTGATTTATGGCCCAAAAATGCTTTCGAGTATGAAAAAATGTTAATAGCATTATTACAGCCATGACCATTTAGCGTTTTGGTTAGTTTCGGTTAGCGATTTGAACTGTTTTTTTACAGGAAATTATTAGTGTTCTCCAAATACAAATTGCCAGAGTCAAAAACAGTCAAAATATGTTACAACCACTTAATTCAAAGAAGATCTAACGATTAAAATAACTTTGCAAATTATCCTATGGCAAACGATTTACTCTCAAAAAGTCAGGCAAAAATATGAGAAATATAAGACAATGTCTTATTACACTTATTTGCCTTTATAAATTTTTTGCTTAATTGCAAGTTGATATTTCAATGGGAAACAAACATTGCCTTACCAAAAAATACAAAAAGAGCGTTTTTTCCATTTTTCGAAACTGTTCCAATGCTTCCGCTCAGTAACCTGTCGCTCAGTTCCAAAGGATTTGGTTTATTTAAATAATCGGGCAAATACGTATTGTCTTCGTAAGAAGCTGGCCACCTTCTAAGCAACGAAGTATCAACCGCGCCTCTTCTTGGATTGGCTAAATTATTGTACCATCCATTATAACCCTCGTACTCGATATCCATTGTTTTTGTCGGAGACACTCCGTCTGGTCTCCAGTTCCCGAAAAGCAGCCAGTCGCCAAATGCCCGTCTCTTCGTTCCATTCCACTCACCTAGCGGTGGTTTTTTCGTAAAATCAATAGGAATAGGAGTTGTAGGTGTTGATGATGTTGTCCTTGAAACTAATGAAGGCAGTGGTAGTGTTGGTACGTCTAAAATTTGTAAGAATTGTGTTGTCCTCCCAACCAGTGTCGGTAATAGTATGATTATGTTTTGGAAGAATTGAAGGAGGTACTGATGAGGTTATGTCTCCAAATAGTTATGTTCCAAATACCTCAAAGTATATTCGATATTGTGTTGGTACATTATGAAATGATAATATCCATTCAAGTAGTGGTGAATATACTTTCTCCAATGGGGGGTGCTAAGATATTGCTGGGCAGTCGTTCAAGATTAAATCTTTTTACTTTTTTATAAACACATGTAAAGCGCAACTTAAAAGCAGTATGTCGTTAAAGGGGAAAGTGAATGATGCAATAACCAAAACGTATCAACAATTAGCTGAAATATTAACGACAACCAAGAAAACTTGTACAAAAATATACACAGTAAGTAAGTAAAACAAAATAATTACTGGATAACTAAAGAATACCTAAACAAACTTAAGGAAAAAGACAAGCTATACGTTAGATAACTTAAGAACAAGACTCCAGAAACAATACGCTGAAAAGAGGTTTAGTGAAGCAAAAGAAAACTCTAAGAAGGTCTGGAAGATTTTAAATGAAATAACAAACACCAAGGAAAACAAAACCAAAAGAATACATCAAATAATTAACGCAACTGGACAACCGACTAAAGACGATAAAGAAATAGCTAAAGAATTTAATATACACTTTTCAAAAATTGGAGAAACTTTAGCCAACAAAATAAAGCAACATTCCAATATGAATTTTGAAGAAGAAGTTGTGGCTAGCATGTTATTGGAACCAACAACGATCCTAGAAATAAAGGAAACGATTAACGCATTAAAAAATATTTGTGCTCCAGGCATCGATGGTGTGACAAAAAAAGATCTGCACACTAATCAATATCATTGGACAAAAAATGGTAGAACTTTCTCATAATGTCCTGCAAACTGGTAACTACCCTGAAGAACTGAAAGTGACTAGAATCATCCCGATATACAAAAAAGGAGCGCACGACGACATGAATAATTACAGACCAATCTCCCTACTCAGCACTTTGTATAAGGTACTGGAAAAAATTATTAGGGCAAGATTAATAAAATTTATCGAAGCTAAAATTAAATTTGACAACCACCAATATGGATTCTAAAGTAAAAGTAGTACACAAGGAGCGGTTGTTGATATGCTGGAATTTATGACCAATGAATTGGATAAGTAATAACAGTGTTTGTTGATCTTTCAAAGGCGTTCGATACTGTCAATATAGAGCGAATGATGGGAGCGAATGGGACTTCGCGGGGTGTGCTACCACTTGATTAAACTTATTCTACAGCCAGAGAGCACTGTACAACAATAAATAGTGAAAGCAGTGAACGGCTTACTTCCAACGTCGGCATGGCAGTATTAGGGAAAATACTGTATTTGCTGTATGTACAAAGCCTAAAATATGCAAACTTAAAAGCAAGGTACTTCAAATTTGCTGATGACACTGTTTACTTGGGTGATAGTGCGGAACAGATTGAAGAACTTGTTAAGGAAGATTTACAGCAGTATATAACAGTGTAAATGATATTTAAACAAACAGGAAAAGCACTAACTGTAACCCAAATATAAAAATAAATGAAACGGCACTCAAAAGAGTGTGTGAATATAAATACATAGGGGTAACTACCTCTGAAAATCTAACTAAAAAAAACAAGACCGCTGCTTTATAATAACTTCGTAGAGCTACTACTGAGATACTTGTCAACATGCTGGGGAAACACCAGCATAGCACAGCTAAATAAATTACAAAGGCTACAAAATAAAGCACTTAAAGTAATATTTGAAATGAACTTTAATATGTCTAGTGAAGAAATCTACACAACCCTACCTTATTTAAAAATATGTGAACTTAAGATATTAGAACAAACAAAATTAATTTACTTAATTCAAAACAAACTAATTAAAACAAATGTGAAACTGACTGAAAATGGATAATGTTACGAAATGTATACGCAAGGACCAAAAAGAAACAAGACTCGCCCATATACAGAAGCATTCAACTATTTAATAAAATACCACAAACTATATTAAAGAGCACTATCAGGAAAATGTGTCATAACCTTAAAGACATTATAAGCAAAAATAGAATATAAACTTATATTAACAAAGTGTTATATTTAATTTTACTAGAATTTTATATATATTTTTTCTGATACTGTTTTTGTAAGGCCTCGGGGCCAGTTTTATTGTTAACTGTTTAGAGGTCTGAAATAAATTTTAAAAAAAGTTTCACTAATCTCTTTTTTATTTTAAAAATTTTAACATATGTCAAAAAATACTGTTTTGCAAATAAGATGGGTGCATACCACCGGAAAGTAAATTCTTTGGTTTAAAATTTTGAAAAAAATGTATTGTAGTATTTATGGACGCCGCATGATGTGCGCAGATTCTACATGAAAATTATTGTTCACATGAACATGAGTGCGGAAATGCGTAATTCTAGGCGTACAAACTTTTTTGCTTCCCTTACAAGAAAAAAAGTTGCATTTTTAGTTGGTTAATTTGATAAAAAAAAAGTTAAAGTCAGTGGCGCAAATTTTTGGTCAAAAATATTAGATCTTGAGACGCCACTGCACTTCATAATTTTAATTTAATTAATCCTAAATGAACCTTTTATCACAAACAACACTACCAAATTTCAACAACGGGTCAAGGGATATTCATCATATTTATTAAAAACCCCCTTTATAAAAATTTACTTTTAAATTACGCTTTAAATTATTCTAACGTCATTTTCGGGCGCCCTGTGCGACATATTTGCAGTACCCCTATAAAATATGCGTTTTTCAATTACTATCGATTTTTTTGAAAATTTTATATTGAATTATATAATAAATACATTTGATGTAATCACGTCAAATTTTCAGATAATAGTGACAATAGTTGTCCTATAGTAGATCTAAGTAAAGTCGGTGGGACACTATTGTATGTCAGGGTAATAATTAAGAAGTAGGGCATTTAAATTTAAAATTAATTCTGTCCGAATATCTACATTGACTAAATCACTATATACTTAAACTTTAACATCGGCAAAACTGCCAAAGCTAGAACTATAAAATTCAATGCCCGTGGTTTTTTCAATATGCAGAATTCAGAACTGCCAACAGCAATGTCGTCAGATTTCCCACTTTTAAAATAATAAAATTATAACGTGTAACGTAAAATTTGACAACATAGCTGGTACATTTTTAGAATTCTGCATATTTAAATTTTTCGTTCCAGTTGTCACCAAACAAAAAAATAAATCGACAACCGTGAAAAATTGTACCAATCATGAAAAAGTATAGATGATTAAAGTGTGGCTGCAATGAACGATAGGAAAAACACTTACTATTGATTTGAGACACAACTTCAATAAATATTAATATTTTTAGGGTAAGAATTTCCCAAAACGTCACGAGAACTGTTCGCATGTTTAAATACGTTTGCTTTTACTGAAAAATTCATGATTTAACAACTCGGCGGATGCGGTAAAATCATATAACCGCAAAATCTGCAGTACTTATATGTTACTTATGACTTGCTACCTAAAAAAATATTTTTATAAAATATAGTTCGAATTTGATAAAAAATAAATTGGTATTAGATTTATAAACATTTGGCAATAACCTTGAACTTTTTCATTTTCGGTCATCAACCTTCTGACACAATATATACATTAACGACTGAATGGTGATTTATTGTTTGATTAAAATTTATTTAAAAAATAATGTATCCATTCCACGATGTTGATCTTAAACTACATGTTTAGAAGACGACAAGGCGACATACGCAACTCAAACAAAAGTGCAATTGGGGGTTCATGCTTGAAATTTAATGACAATGTTACTATGAGAGAAAATTAAAAATTAATAATAATAAAGCGTACTACCAAAAATGTTTTTTATATCCCACATAAATTATCCAAAAATTAAATATATTCAAAAAAGGACTTATTATTATTATTAATTAAATGGAACCTAACCACTAAAATTGTAATTACGTAAGTAAAATAAATTATATGAAAATCTTTACGGTTATATAAAGCTTTAATAAAATATATATTTTGATTTTACAGTCCAGTTGAACCCTTTTTTAGAAATGCCTTAATGCTTTTAGAGGTGTGCTATTATTTTCGATTTTTTTGATGCAGGGATGAAACGTTTGATGCAATACAGGAATGAGAGGTTGAATGTGATTATTATTTTTTTGCCACTGGCTCAATTCTGTGGTTTCAAAGTGCACTTTTTACTATACAAACAGTCCCTGTTTTCTTCGTTTCTCGCGTATCTTGTTTAATTGCGAGTTATACAAATAAGTGACTGTTGCCTGTGCTAAAATTGAAACAATCATTGGATCGCGTGGTGATGTTTATGTTTTCGTAAAGATAATTGTGTTTAATGTTTGTGACAGTTTATTAGGTCGATATCCAAAATAAAACCGATACAAAGCGTGATTGGAAGAAACGCCTTCATATTCGCTAATCTGGTTATTTTATTTCTTATTCTTTGTGACAAAAATCTACAGGGAGTAATCAAGCATTAACGAGTATCTTCAACATAAAATTTAATAATATGTTACGGCAAAATAGACGTAGATACATAATTCTTATAATAATACATAACCATCGCTACATAAAATTTTACTTTGCTGTTAAAGTCTGTTGATAGATATAAGAATGACTAACTGAGACGAATTAATGAAAGACCCAAGCAAGCTGTAAGAATGAAATATGGCCGAACAGGTCCGTACTTTGCTGAGAATTTAATTATTTGGGGTTTTGTTAGGAAAGATACTAAACAATATTTATTTATTTATATAGGTATTTATGTTTAAATCCAAAATAAAATTACAAATTATTTTTATTACCTACTTAAATTACTTAAAATTATTCACATAATATATCAGTATCACTATCGCAATCATCGCCTGTTCTAATTATTATTTGTTCTATATTATTTGCAATTTTGTGGAGGGATATTAAAAACTTCGGTTTCTATAAGTTTGAGGACATTGGAGTTAACACGGGGAAAAACATTGTTACGAGGAATGGCAGATTTCAGTTGGTGCCAAACATGTTCAATGGAATTAAATATACAGTGGAAGCCTTAAAACTGTATGCCCTAGATTTTTTGCATAACTATCACAGACGTATTCCTTTTGTAGGTTCAAGCTTTGTAGAATCTCAATTAATTGCTTTTTGGTATAATCTTCGTGAAAATAAATGTCGTTATTATACATGTAGTTTTGGATTATTGCCTTTGTGTCACATAAGGAAGGGGTTTTAGTCAACTAACTACTGTGATAACTTGCATTGTCCATTACAATGACGCTATTAGGAGGAATGTTTAGAATTAGTTTGTGTTTAAACCAACTTTCAAATAAATCAGCGGTGGTGTCTTCATGGTAATCCAAAGAAGAATACCATTTTATCAATAGTTACCATATTAGGCACAATATGACAGAATTCGCCCTTGAACTAATTTTATAGAACGGAAATTGCTTAATTGTAATTCATCGGACTATATCTAACCCATACGCTTACTAAATTACATTTTTGATCATAATTTTTTTATTAAAATGACCGACCGAAAAGTCAATTTCCAAACGGTTTCTTTTTGAGGAGCTATGAGATCTCCATCAAAAAAGTATTTTCTGAGTATTGTTAATACTTACAAAAATGAAAAAAACTATAGCTTTTAGCTAAATTATCATTTATTTTATTTAATCAAAGAACATTTAATTAAATTTTCGACAGAAAACCTCTAAACAGACATGTTTCGATTCCCACTAGACTTATCTATCACAATCAATAAAGTGAAAACAAAAATGTGATTTGATTAATGATTAAAGACAATTGCCCGTCATAGCGTTTTGGAGGAAGGAAATATAGAGAAAAATGTAAGAATTGTTTAAAAACATGTACAACCATCCCTGATCAAATTCTATAGAATTATTAGCCACTTGCTACAAAATAATTCAAGACCAACCCATTATTTCCTCAACTCAAAATTAAATTACTTTTATAGCAGAATTTTTTATCGTATAAAATTATAGTGGATAAAGCATGTGCATGTGCTAAAAACTTGCATATCCCTAAATTATTCGGATTATAGTTTAAACGCTACGTTCTATCGAAAAAGAAATTTAGATGTTTCCAAACATGTTGTGCATGATTTTAACGAATAATTAATAAAAAAGAATTACAATTCGGGTACCTACTTTGATTAATTTGGGTTGATTTTAAATAAATTGCCAATAAAAGCCAATTTGAAAAATTCCGGGTATTATTGCATATAATGTTATCTTTTTCCCATTACAGACGTCATTGACAAAGGTATTCAGGTATCTTGGGCTATTAATAAAATCCATAAATTTAATTAGGTATAAGATTATTGACGTTGCCTGGTACCTACTGTAGAATTTATTGGCGCCAATAAACGGATAATTTACTGAAAGTGTCTAGTGCGGATAACCCTAAGAAAATATATATCTGCTGCCATTCAAAAACTTCCGATATCAGTTTACCCAACGAAAGAGAGCAAGAAAGAACGAGGTATTAACTCGTAAGGGCTTTGAAATGTGGACTCCGTATTTGACGATACAAGACGTGAACGGCCTAGAAAGTGACCGATTCATAAAAATTTTTGGAAACGTAGTTGAACATTGTTTGGCGGCCGGTATTGGAATTTTAAAAAACCGACCTTTTAACAGTGTAGAAGATGTAGTTCACGCCGTAGTTACATACTTGGATAATTTGAAATTGACAGGTAAGTCAATCTCTTAAAGATGTCCCTAAAAATAATTAAAAATAGTTATTCTTCGTTTACAAGCTTTAAATCAAAATGTGTTAGCGAAAATGGTAATGGTATTCATAGTTTTTATTTACAAAAACTATGGTATTTGTTGCAAAAGCTTAGGGGCTTATAGACAAATCAATTATTTTTTGTTGGGTTCCTGCCCATCGTAATTGCAAAAAAAACTGTATTTCTTTTGTCATGGATTTTTTAACAGGAGAACTTTCTTAAGGTAAAAACAACTCTCCATTATTATTTTCACTCTCCGACTCCGAAAATCCGAGGCGACTTCCAGGAAGAAGAGTAAAATTAAATTAAACTTTTAAAATTTACAGGAAATTCATAATTAAAATATTTTTTTATTTCGTTTACACAAAGGCAGCGCCAATTAAAAAATTACTAGGTATTTAGTTATGTTGTTCTGTAATTTGCCTTTTATATGAAATTTATTGCAGTAAAAGCCTGCATCAAACTACTTATACTGCAAAAAACTTGTTTCGAGTTGGCTTTATGATATCACACCACCTCGCTCCAAAAATATCCTCTTCCTTTCACGGGTTTTCTGCTAAACTTACCGAAACTAACCAAATACAAGATATTTATCTATACTAGCAGTGTTGCCTAAGCCATAGGCACTTTAGAAGACATCAAAAAATGTTGAGTAATTATATTCCAATATGCGCTTGCGCGAGTTATTTTAAGCCAATAAAATCTACCATTTCAAATTTCGCAGTATTTTTCAAAAAAGTATAGTTTCGCATTATCCCAAATTCTAAAATTAATTAAAGTTTTCATCTGGCGCCCAGAAATCTGGCCACACAAAGTAATATTGTTTACTCCTAAATGTTGATTGAATATGAATATGCAACACTTAAACAATATTTCTTTGAAAATCAGTCTCGCTGGGCATTTTTAAAGGATCTGTATGGCAAAATTATTGTCAGCTATGAACCCTGCGACGCACAAAAATCTGTTCCTTAATTGATTAAAATTAATCAACGTTAGAACGGCTGTCATAAATTGACTCGTTATTTCCACAGAAATTATCGACAAAAGGCCTTCAATTCTTTTTAAACGTTCATGAGATAAGAGTGAATTCTTAAAATAAAAAAAAAATACAATAAGGTTTTATATTTCACTGGAACTTTCCGTCATTGCTTAAGCTTGTTTTTGTATAATTAGAGATGCATAACCCGTAATAGATAAATTATGTACACTGATTACTGAAACTTAGCAATAAGGTTTTTCTAACGCATTTGTGGCATTTTTATTTTAGAAAAAGAGAAGATTCTTCAACTTTACCCAGACAGCGTAAGCAAACTGGCAGGTTTTAGCAATTCCATGCTAGAATTCAACACACATCAAAAAATAGTAAACAGTTCAAGAAGTTTACGGTTTGAAGAAAAGAAAAGGTTAAAACAGTTGAGCAAGGACTACCGAGATTATTTTGGTTTTCCATTCATAATTTGCTCAAAAGAGGATGATATAGACACTATTTGTGCTACAATGGAATCGAGATTAAAAAACTGCAAGGAGAAAGAAATTGAGATTGCCATGAATGAAGTGAAGAAGATCTGTAAATTAAGAATACATGAGATAGTGCAATAATGTGGTTTCAGCTGATTGTATCTTGTTCAATGTGTAACTGTGTGAGTGAACAATAATTTTTGTATTTTGGTTCCTAATTATTTTTCTGTTAGTGTATATATTAAGTTTTTATTTATACATATGTATTAAGAAAATAACAATTTTTGTAAAATATGTACAGAGAAGCAACAAGAATCACAATTTTATAAATAAATTTTAAAAATCTAATATTCCTCTTTTGTTAAAAACAGATTGGGATAAAACCTCAATCCCTCAATTGCATCATCTCTACAACATTTTCCACATTTCTCCGCATTTAATAGCCTTTCTTTGGCCAAAGTAACAGATATTCCCAATTTCTGAGACAACTCTTCTGATGTCAGTGAACCATTTTCTTGAACCTACAAAATGCATTCTTTTACTAAAATTGTAAAAAAAGCTGAAAAAACTAACCAAAACCGAAGTTATTTCAGCCACACTTTCATCATCCATGCTGCTCAACTGCAATACCATTACACCAGAACTAAACTGATACAACTTTAGAGGCAAATTTAATGTCTCCATTAATTTAGATGCATTTAATACATCCTCGGGAGATAAAAGCTCTAAACCTCTTGCGCGATTGAGTCGACAATATGCATCAGTTAAGGTCATGATTCCACCCATTTCCTCTACATACTTTGTCAAAAAATCAGACATCTCCTTAGCTAAACTTTTATAATACTGATTATTTGTTTTGTATGAATCTCGTGTGACTGGATCATCGATCCCAAGACTTAATAAATAAGACTTAAACCTGATTGTCTCGTCTTCAGTGATCTCTCCTTGTTTCTCCTACAAATGAAAAACTTAAAGGAAGAAAAAAAGTTGTAAGAAGCTTACCTTAATCTTGACAGATATAGTATGTGATAACCTAACCATATCTTTTGCCATACTCATAAGTTTATTTAAGTCCTTAAAAGCAATGGACAAATTTTCATCTGTAGCTTTATGTTTCTCCTGCAAACTTCTTTCAATACCAATAATACCAGTTCTAAGCTTAATCTCGGTTAATTGTTTCTTCTCAGTTACTTGAGGGATATGAGTTTCCCAATACCTTTTAGTAAGACAATCATTTAGTGCACCAAGAACATCATTAGTAAAACCTTCTCGAAACGATAATTTAATGAAATTATATATACTATGACTCTGTGGTCCATCAGAAGTACTATCTGAATCTTCTGATAAATGCAAAACTACTTTACGAGAACGTGAAAAACTGAAAGTGCTTGGGGATGCCTCTTCCACATAAACCACCAACTCCAATTTTAATGCCAGGCATGTTTGTCCCTTTGCAATGATACCAGGACGACCCCATAAAATTCTATGTGTTGTTATAATAAGTTCTCCCCCTTCAAAACTTGTCTTTATATCTCCATCATATAACCGAACGTTGGTTTCACAAATTAAAGTCGATTCCTGATCTAAGAGTAGCGGGGTGGCATATTTGATACGATTCATATCTACAAGAACGCATTAACAGCAAATTTTTATTTACAAACTGCTTTAAACGTATACTTTATGCAAATGTCAAATTTAAGGGGTTAGGTTTAATTTTTTTATTTACTTCTTTTGGCCATTCAATCATCAGAACTTATGGAAAATAACTACATAAGAAGGATTCTGTGAATGGCATTGGACCTTTCTTGTCGGCTGACTTGACTACACTATCAGGATCCAAATGCATCTTTATTGCGCCTTCCATTAGGAAACTTACTTAAGCCGCTGTCTAACCAGACGCGAGCTAATAATCAGGAGGAAGGAAGGAAGGAAGTATATAAGAATAATTTATCCATTTTCGCCTATTTTAACCGAAACAGATAGAATTATCCGATAGATGCATGATGTGTACTGAGCACATGTAGCTAACATGCGACAAGAACGTTTTCTCTCTCGGCAATGGGCGAATGTCGAATGGCAGATTGGTTTGAAAGGAATGATAAGTACAAGTTAATGTTTCTCTTCTGTTTTAAGTGTGGGCCAACCAATTATTTTTCTTTAGTATATAAGTACATCTTGCAGCTCAAAATCAAAAATTAGATGTCTGATGTAAACAAATAAGTTATTCTTATAATTACCATTATTAAAATGGCTGAAAATTTATTTTGTTCTTTTAAACAGTTGGACATCTGTCGGTTATGCGCAAATGTGGTAACAACAAAAATGAATATATTTACGGAGGACTTTCCTAAGATGATTGAACTTTTGACTACTTTAAAGGTACTCGTTATTTTAATAATTCGTTGGTTGTTATTTATTTTGTAAATAACTATAAACATATGACTACAGGCTGTTGCCACACAATGTAATTTTCAGATAATTTAGTAAAGCACGTTTTCAGGTCAAATCTGATGACAATTTACCTCAAATTTCATGCTTAAATTGTGCTAAAGACGTAAAGGCTGCTTTTTTGATTAGAAGAAAAATTATACAATCTTATCGAGCTTTAACCTGGGAAAACAAAGTAAAATTGCAAAATAAAATTCAATCTAATTCTTCAAAAAATATTCACCGTTCATTGAGTTATCATTATGTGAAATCAAATAATGTGGCCCCTGAATCTGGTCATCTGGACACTGTCATAAAATCAGAAAGCCATAAAATTGATTCTTTGAAAAATGTAAATAATCATGTGGATAGGTTTGAGACATGTGGGCTAAATAAAAGTATAGTGGAAAAAGATCAGATGCTTAAATTAGAACCAACCACTAGATTTACACAAAGATTACAAATACTGGAAACCACAGAAAAACTGAATGGATTGAAACCAATGGATAAAAATGACCAAGCTAACATAGCAAGGTGGTTAGCTAAGAAAAAGAAACTCAAGGTGGACTACAAAAAACTTCCTTGTAAACCAAGAGACAAAGAACCCAAACAACTATATTGCAATCATTGCAAACTTAAGTTTGGAAACAATACAAGTTTTAAAAATCACATGACAAGGCACAAGCATAAAAAATGCCCAATTTGTGAAAAACTTATCAGATCTACCTACCTAAGGAAACATTTATCAATGCATACTAGTCCTCCAGTTATTTGCGAAATTTGTGGGGTAACCTGCAAAAATGCTGCAAGTCTAAAAATGCATAACTTTTATTATCATAAAAGTCCAGCATTTTGTGTTTGTGAGGATTGTGGGCGCTCTTTTAGGACCAAAACAAAACTACTTTATCATCAGCGGAAAGATCACACCAAGGAAAGGAATTTCAAATGTGAAACTTGTGGAAAAGCTTTCTTTTTAAAAAGTAAGTTTTGTTTGTTTAATAAATTATTTAAGCACACACAAGATAATGTATAATTGTTTCAGTGTATTTGACCAAGCATATTAATATGAAACACATGAAACTTAGACCTTACATTTGCGAATATTGTGGGAAGGGGTTTTCTGGAAAGCATGCCTTAAGAACACATGTAAGGCAGCACACAAATGAAACTCCTTTTCCATGTACCCTTTGTGGTGAAAGGTTTAGACAAAAGGTATCTTTAAGAGGCCATATGAAAAGTGTGCACAGCATTGAAGAGGAAAGTAACTTTTTCTGTGATGAATGTGGCAAAGGTTTCGCGACTAACACTGCCCTAGATGTTCATTCACGTCTTCATAATGAGATGAAGTGTCCGCATTGCTCAGACACTTTTGCTGAAAAAAACTATTTAGATCACCACATTCAGGCTGTTCATGTAGATTTAAATGCTAGTGTTGATGAAAGTGGCTTTCGGTGGCTAAACTTGTAAATATCCTTTCTGTAGACCCATAATTTAAAAGGTCACCTCTTCTGTGATTCCAGCTTTTATACTGCGGATGCTTTAATTTTGTAACAAAATGGAAGATTAAATAAAATTTTCTTTAAAACCATCTATCTATTTATTTTATGTTTGGCATAGATGAGAATAAGAAAATCTAAGGGGTGTCCAACTTCTGAATTCATCTCGATAATAACAAAATTGTGATGTAATCCTCCCTCTTTTATGGTTACAATCCCACTAGCTTTTTTATGTTTCCTTTTATACTCATTAATTGCTTTTATGCAGTAAATTGTTTCATCTCCAAACCAGGATGTGGTGGCATTCCGTTTGAAAAACGGGATTTCCTTTTTCTTCACAATCTCGTGGAAAACCATATCTGAGTCTTTTGCGTAATTGCAGTTTCCCTCAATAAGCTCAAATTGCGCAGCCGTTTCCTTTGACTTTTTATTTTTAACGGCGATGGAACCATTTAAAAGCAAGATAGTAAATATTATCATCAAGAATGTTTTCATCGCATATAAACTCATTAAACAAATGTCATTTAGACACATCAGTCTATCAAAATACCCTTACAAGTTTACTTTCGACAAAGACCATTCACTTATGGGCGCCAAAATATATCAAAAAAAATTACAGCTAAACAGCCAAATGAAAAAGTCATTTTTGCTAGAATTGTCTGGAATTTTGGCTGTGCACGCCCAACGATTGTAAGCTTATTCCTAGTATCATAAATTTGATACATTTATTTTCAGTGCTTTTTGGTGTATAAAAATAGAACTTTTATATTTCTTTGTAAAGCAATTACTCCTATTTCTACAGCAATGTCTCTATTTGTAGACAGTTCTTCAATTAAATTTTCAAACACAATTTCAGTGCGCTGGGTATTACAAACGCAACAGAACTTCGAAACGTAATAAAAAAACTGCAACTTTAATTCTTCCCGATTTTTGGAATAAATAAAAACACAAAACTAGAAATGATAATATTCTTATTTGATGATTTTTTGTGCTCCTTATAAATAACCAATGCAGATAATTTACAAATTAACAAAACTTATATATTAATAATGAATATCACGTTTGAAACAATACTCAGAGCACAAAGAAACATAAAAATGCGCAGCATAAAATGGTATTAACAATCATGCTAATAAAAAAAATTATATACGTTATTTTCATTATATGCATACTGATTCCTAGTCACTATATTTCAATTACAATGTATAGTAATTAAAATTACGTTTTTCTTTTATCATATAAACTCTCAAGAAATATACACAATTTTGATTTCAAAATGTTCATCACTGGAAATAAACAGCTTAAAATTAATCACTTTCACTGTGCATACACGTTTTTCATTTTATAACTGTGTTCTATACAGTCTATTTCCGACCACAATGTACGCACCTCTAAGAAGAGCTGAAAAAAAAAGAACTAATGAAATGGATTACACCCAACAAATTTTTCCCTTTTTAATTAAGTTTTGTTCTCAATCAGTCAATTGAACTTTGGCGGAACAAGGAGTTAAATTTTCATGGCTATCTTAACTACTAAAACATAAAAACATGTTCGGGTATCCAATATTTTTCACTTTCATCATCTAAGAAAACCAATTTTCACCAGTATCATACCAAACACACCAAAAAAAAATCCATTATTACTGAAAAATATTACGAAAATTCGTATTTCATACCTTGTTTCACAGAATATTTCGTCAAATTTTGATTATTTAATCTTTTTTATATATCATGTTAAAAATATTAAAAAAAAAACTACTTCTTTAAAAGTGCCAATATATTTAAAATTATCAGCTGCGATTGTTCATTATACCTAATTGCATCTTTTTCTCGGCATTATTTGAAACTTTTTAAATTAACTTTCGCCAAGTTACCTTAAAACTTAAGGAAAAGTATATGAAAAATGAATACCATAGAATTTTTTTCAAAAACTTTGTTGTCGCCGCCTGTTTGGAATACAGTAAAGAAAGATAAACAATTATAAATGTGTACAACTCCGACTTTGCAAATTGTATTATTAATATTTATAATTAGCTTTTCTATTTTCATTTTTTCATTTCATAACTTCAAACAGTATTGAAAATTGTAATTGAAAATGTTAAAAAAAATGCCTAATTTAAATAACATCTTATCTTAAAATTTTCTAATAGAACTATTCAAGGTATATGTTTAGTTGTAGCTTATTTGCTTTTCAATTTACAGTTATTTTTACATTGTTGTGGTATATTGGGCAGATAAAATAAAAACAACTTATCGAAAACTCTGAATCCAGCGCCCAGACTAAAAAGGACGGGGTTCCAACTCAGTCAGGAGTAAGAACCTTGATTTAAATTCTTATGGCTGCCACATGTGCATGTTTAGAAAGCTGCAAATTGGCTGCAGTTCGTCAGTATGTTGGGTACTGGATGTTTGTAGTTTTCTACGATGTACAGGGTGTTTAAATTATTATTATACCATTCTGGACGAAAATCAATTTGGCATATCTGTGAGAGGTGGCTATGAAATCATATAAAACATAATTTTGAACACTTACGGTTATTGTTAACAAAAAAACATTGAAATGGATTGAAATTAATTACGTAATAAAATTCTGGACCCACTGAAAAAATATCAAGTCTTGGTATGAGACCAAGAGAGCAAGCAGTCACTATTTGTACCTTTGCGCCCCTTTTATTGAAATGTTTGTCCGATCATGGAAATTTTTGTATCTTCATGTTCCAATTGTCTATGAGTAAATAGACAAATGTTACAAATCTTTTTTTTTTTTTTAATAAACTTTGTTTTGGATCTAAAACCTTTCCGATTAGGTATGGGAAATTGATATAAGGTAATAAAAACGCGATTTTTGAAACACTCTTCAGGTCACAGACAAAATTGTTCTGCAGATTTGATATTCCTCCTTTTCCGGCCCAACATTACATCGAACTTGAGACACTCCATACATTACCACTAAACTCACCTGATTCAGCCAATTCTCGTCCGCCAATAGTTCATTTAATATACAAGTGGTGTCCTTGGTTTGGTCGGAAGACCGTTTTTCACTAACACGTTTCGCACACTCTATATACATAAGATATTTCTGATGTATCACTTTACTCGAAAGTTCTACGCGACTTGCACATATTCTACACATGAAAAAGTCCTAAAATGAAACGAAAGCTTGTTGGAACTTTGTTTTCGTTTTTTTTTTGACAAATATTACCTTCTCGTTTATGGCATTGGGATCCGGCTGACAACCTTCCAACGTAGTCGCGTTGTAAGGCTGGCCATACATTAGCACTCTGACAGCGACCGAGTTCTTGGCGCACCCGGCGCATATCTTCGTACTAGCATCGACTTGCCCAATTTCCCGAATAATGTTGAAACAAGGCCACGTGCACACCGCCATTTGTAATGACGTAGGCCATTTCAACAGACTGAGAAGTTTTTGCTTTTTAATGTCGGTAATTTCGTCAATGGTTTGGACGTTTGTTAGGAAATATTCATCTAAAAATGTAATTGTAATGTAATGTAAGTGAAGTAACCTGTTTACTACATTCGGCTAAAAAAATCAATTTTTCTTATGAAAAATATATGGTTAAAATCATTTGTTTTTCCTTTTTTTGTCCTGATCTCGTTATTGGGTTGAAACAGCCAAACGATTCAAGTAAAAATATTGGTCCAATATATTTTTTTCAGGAAATTTGTATCAAAGAAACAAACTAAACCTTAAAAATTAATAAGCTTTTTGATTTTACTTTTCCATTTTGCAATTTTCTTCCTCACAAATAGCTCAATATTCAAAAAAGGACAATATTGATTTTAAAAGGGAATTTAATGCCGTACAAGGTTTTTCATAAAGTTATTTTTTAAGTTTTAGTTGAACCAAACTTGAAAAAAAAATGAAATCCTAGATTTTATTCATTTTTCACCCAATTTTTCCACTCAATGGATCAAATTCATATTCTACATAATCAATAGAATCACTAAAAATAATTTTAAATAGAACAGTTATTTATATAGTTACAATATTTTACGCATTAGTATATTATATTTGTTAATATCTATTTATAACTTTCTATTTTAGAACCTATAGTGGGGACGAACACAAAGGCAGTGTTCTTACGCTTAGTTAAAACTGTTGTTATTGCTATTGTTATTTTTAAAATTACTTTTAGTGTTTGTATTGGTATAATTTTTGTTGATGTAGAATACGAATTTGATAAAAAATGAGTGAGAAATGAAAAAAACAATGTTTTGCTCAATGATCCTGAATAGGTTTTTAAAAAATAACTTTACCAAAAATTATTCAAAGAACTTTTTTGTAAAGCATTGAATTCCCTATAAAAATCCATAAGGTTCCAAATTGCAAAATGACAAAGTAAAACCACCAAGTCATTACTGTTTAATGCTCGCCTGAAGAAAATTTTCATTAAGACCGTTTTTATAAAGAATTGAATTTCCTACCAAAATACATTCAGATTACCTTAATCCTTGGACTATTTGGATCCAATAATGAGATCAGAACAAAAAAAATTAAAATACAGACCTAGATAGACCCCTTCCCATCAATATTAAGGGCTCAAACTTTCACCGCATTTTTTTCCTCATTCTGAATTATTTTATGGAGATATTATTCACAAAAAAAAATGTTTTCTACTGTTTGCACACTTATTCCCCATCGCATACGCGAAGGCAATTTAAAGCATTTCACGCACCTTTCTCCTGGAAAATTTCCATAAGGAAGTTGCTGTCAAGCGCTTGTGATATTAGAGTCTGTATATAGACTTCGAAATTGTCCTGATAGCTTTCACATTGCTTCATGCACTGCTCCTGGAATTTTGGGTCGATTATCGTCATCTCCTCTTTGAGGAACACAACTATCGTTTCCAGCTGCGTCTGTGACTTATATTTCACTGGGACGGACACATATTGCTTCTTACTTTCCGGCGTCCAGGAGGTGTACTAATGATAATACCAGAGTTATTAATTGTCACTAAGATAGTATTTTTAAACATAATTTTATAAGTTAACAAGATTAACTTATAAAAATCATAAACATTAATTTTTATTCAAAAATACGAGTTGGTCGCACAAATATATTTTTTTATTTTTCATTAAATATAATACTAATTGGGGATCAACAAAAAAAACTCACTGTTGATATATTCCTGTAAAGTGTAACTCCATTCTGTTCAAATGGTTCATACTTTTGCAGCAATGTTTTACCATCCACCCTCCAAATCGGGGGCCACTCTTGCCCTAAGTCCGATTTGATAACTACAAACTCACCGGGCTACAAACGAAATTCAACCTAAGCCGAAAATCACTAAGAAACAAAGAAAAATCTCGTTACCTTAAAAGGATTGTCATCATTAGCAACGAAACTATTTTGCATCGAGGCTGCGATATTGTCTTCCAAGGTGGGCACTATTTGTTTGTTCTTGTGGCTTGGTTTTTTCTTAGGCTGTTCACTGGGGTAACCATCAGAATCGTTGATGCCCGCACCTTGCGCCGCGGCCGCAATAAGGTTTTTCATTCCCTTTTTGGTTTTCGTACCGCCTAGGAAAACATGTTTCCCTTAAGTAAACTTCAATATTAGGAACAGGCGATTTGAAGCAATTGTCAAGTTTTACTCTTTTTCTTTGCCAGTTTGCCTTTCAAGATTTCAATCAGTTTCATCGCAGTGATCTAGATATTGGAGGTAGAAAAACCATAATACACTGCAGTCAGTTTAAATATTTAAGAGTGATAGGGCAAAAAAAAAGAGTTACAACACAATTAAGTTGACTCTCTACGTTGGAGTGATAGAATTATGAAAAGGATCAAACAAACGATAAAGAAGTCAACCTTTGGAACAAGGAATTATTAATGAATAGAACTTTCAATGATGCACTGGCTTCATTCTAGATATTAGCGAAGGTAAAATGCTCACTGGGCTGCTAGAAATAAAGAAAACAGAAAGTCCACTAGGAAAGATGATATACAGAAGGTATATACAAATACTACTTTGCGGAAAAAATACTGCTTAGTGATGTGTTTGTTCACTGTCTTATAGCCTCACCATAAGTAAAACCCAAAAGTTAATATAAATCTCAATTTAGGCAAAATAAAAATTAATTCTGTACAAAAATCATTAGAAGTACAACAAAACGTATTTAAAAAAAGATTGTAAAGAACAAACTTCAAACGTTCAAAGCTCGAAAGTCAAAACGTCCTTACATATTTCGAGATTCGAAAGGTTCATTAAAAAAATATATTTCGGCTGCTTTCAACGAAATTTGTCCGGCAAAAAATTAAAAATTTGAAGAAATTAGTTTGTCTGCACCTACAGTAGTTCGACGTATTGAAACTGTATCAACTAATATGTTTAATAAATTAAAAGAAAATTCTTTACAATTTAAATATTTTTCAGTTGCACTTGATGAAAGCAATAATATAACTAGCAACCGCTCAATTGTTAATATTTATACGTGGAATTGATAAACAATTTTGTGTAATAGAAAACTTGAAACTATTAGATGTTTTTAATATGCAGGATCTCAAATGGAAAAAAATAAAAATGTAACAAAATGCGAATTTTAAATGGATAAGCCAGTTAGCTTTTCTTGTAAACATTACAACTTACCTCAATAAATCAAATATAACATTACAAGGCAAAGGAAAGTCAATCAACGAGCTATTTACAAAAATCAAAAAAATTCCAGCTTATATTTATACATATGTAATTGTATTTTCGTTTTCTGTTTCCTTTAATTAAAAAATTGTATTTTTTTCTATATTTATTTTTAATAACATTTATACTCATATATGGTATAAAAAAAGCACTATTTAAGTTACATTTGGATGTGCAGCCTGCATAAAAAGTTTTACTATGAAAATGGCCTGCCATTCGAAAATGGTTGCTAACCAATGCACTAGACCATTACCTTGTCTACCCCTGCCTTTTTTCTTAACAGGAATACCATCCTCTTCAGTATTGCTAGCAGCAGGTGTCCAGGCGGGATCAGAATCTTCAGAGTCCTGAAACTCAGGTGGTTCCTCAGGTTCATTATCATCCTTAATAATGTCCGACAAATTGTTCTTGCCTTTCACTGCACGCTTGGTCTGTTCTCTTTTAGGCACATTTTCTACTTGTTTTGCTGTAACAATGGACAATGAACAAGACCATTAAAAACTATCCCAAAAACAAATATTATTAATCTATCTCAATCTTAAATAGTTTTTATACAAAAATATCCCTGAGGGCTAGGGGCTGAATAAGTTCAATTACCACTGTCCAGATAGTGAAACCGCACACTCAATCATGGGTCGCGATTAGCGTAACATTCGATGAACCGAATATTTAGTCAATAAATATATGAACCACAGATAAAGTAAACTTGCTAGAAAGGGTATCAAACTCGAAATCAATAAGACTCTTCTCTCTCTAAATCTTGAAATTGCTTCCATCTTGTCCCCATTCGAGTTGATACCCTTTTAAACATGAATTCATAACAAAGCTGAAAATCTTCGTTTATCTTCTACCTAGAATCACATTAAAAAAATTGAAAAATTAACGTCAACCTTAGTGAAACTATCAAACTCTTTTCAACTACAAAATGTATCATCGGACTAACTTTCAGATACGGAAATTTCAGTTCTTGCAAAAGGTTCCAACTTTGTCCTTGCTCCATGTATTATCCCAAAAGGGGAAATCATTTAAATTGTCGAGTCTATCCTAAACAAACTGCCATCTCAAGCAGCTAACAAAATTCGATACGAAACAGCAAAAATCCTTCAAAAATCAAAATCTCCTAAATCTAATATTCCAAAATGTATTGTTCTAAAATCTCTAAAATAAATTCTAAAATAAAATTCACAAAGTAAGGTCGCAAGGACTTGATTTATTGTAAAATCCATTTTTCTTATATTTACGGTCTGCAGATTTAGAAGTAAAACTGTTCTGTGTTCGAGGTTTATGAGTAGGACCGTTACAAGGAAAACTGCAACCACAATCAAATATAAAGAGTGTGGGCCTAAATAAATTGTTATTTTGAAAGACTGCCGAATATTTCAACATGTTCTGAATCGATTCATATATATTGGACCAACTAAAGTTTTAATGCTACATTGATTCCACACTTCCATATATCATTCTTCTTTTTTTTTGAGATTTCAAAATATTTCTGCAACCATTTTCCAAAGTTGTTTGGTTATTAGTGCGTGTCGATATGTCGAAATGACAGCTTCATCGGTGATGATGAAAATTTATTTGGTCCAGGCCATAACACTTAATATGCATAAAATTTAAGAGCAGATTAGAAATGAAACACTGTCTAGTATGCTACGTGGCTGAATGGACACCGGTAAATCGGATTTATCCCGACTATGGTTGACGCATCTTGGACCCCACCGTAAGCTACCCAAAGTAGATTACCTTTATCTTTGTTCTTGTCCCTTTTATTTTTCTCCCTAAACTCTCGCGTTTTGTCCTTATCCGTCACTTTGGCTCGTTTTCTTTCCGTCGCTCCGCCTGGTTTGGAAGACCTGCCATGCTTTTGTTGTTTAGACAAAGGCATTTGCAACGGTTTGTCCCTCTCCTTGGTTGGCTCCGCCGACTTTGGAATTTGTTTCCTTCCACCGAAAAAATCGTCTTCCGAGCTAAACCCGTCGTCTGAACTATCAAACGTGTCTCTTTTTCTTTCTTTAGGCAAAGGAAAGTACCTAATGTTTAAAAACAAATTACCAACTCAAAAATAACTCACATTGTTGTTGCAAAAACCGCACCAATTATTATGGTAGAAACCAAAGACACTATATCGAGAGACTCGACCACATTTACCCAATTTACTATATGTAAAAATTTCGACTTTTAGACGTTACATGGTTTGGGGCTATTGACATTTAAAATTTGGAAGTAGAATTTCGGTGATTTCGCGATTGGAAAAGTGTTTTATCGCTATTAACAAAGATAAAGATAGCTTTATTTCCATAAGACCTGAGTTGGAAGTGGTGTATATTGTCAGTATAATACGAATGTTAATGATAATAATGAATAATAATGTTATATCAATAAGAAATATGTAAACAATAACAAACAACGAAAACGTATTAAAAGGTATCACAAGAAAAAACATCCTTAATATTTCAATAGGCGAGGCGTAGCAATTTGTCTTTATGAGTGCATTTGAATTTTGTTTGACTAGCTATCTCCTTCAGTTCGATAGGCAGTTTATTATAAATTTTTACAGTCAAAACAATTGTACTGAATATCTGAAGTGTCAATAAAGAGTGTTGTGGAAATAGGTCTCGACATGAAAAATTCCACGGCTTAGACAGTATAGTCCGTAAAATGCATTTCTGCATCCTAAAAACTTACTCCGCACGTGGGGAACCTCCCCAACAAACCAAGGCGTAGTTGAGACAGGAATAGATATAGGAAAAATAGTACATTTTTAACAAGGGGAAAGAAACCTGATGGCGGAGCCTCCATATGACAAAGCAGTAAACAGAAAGTTTTTTGAGAATGTGGTACACCTGTTCAGAGGAATTTTACAACACTTTTCTGTTGGATTGGGCTTTTATTGAAACGTACTTAATAAACTTTTATTTAAATCCAGTGTTGAAAAGGCGATCATCTTAGTTTTACTTTCATTCAATATCAATTTGTTAATGTTTGCATAATGTTTTATTTGCTCAACAGTTGTCTTGGTTGCGATGCTAAGTTGCTCAGACGATACCGCAGAAAGGGTAGAAACTGCATCATTCGCAAACGAAAAATAAGTATGGCGGAAAGATGAAAACACATCATTTGTAAACACTATTAACAATAAAGGACCATGTAAACTTCCCTGAGATGTATCGTAATTCACTGACCTGAAATCAGAGAAATTTCAAATTTACAGAGAAAATTCAAATCCTAAGGTATCGCGCAATTTTAGCCAACTGAGTACGACCCCCAAAAATAGACCTTAACCAATTTAAGGCATTACCTCTAATACCATATGAACAAAGCTTGTCCACTAGAATATCAACATCGAGCAAGTCAAATGCTCTTTGTAGATCAAACAAAACACATGCCGCCTTTATTCTAGTTTCCCAAAATTATGCTTTTACATAAAGAGAGAATGGCATCCCGCGTTGATCGCTTTTTTCGACAACCAAATTGCATGCCGGAAAAAAGATCTCGAGCTTCCAAAAAAATTTGAAGTCTTAAATGCAGTGCTTTTTCGAAGGTTTTTGAAAAAACGGATAGGAGTACTATAGCTCTATAATTTGAAATAATTGTTGCAGCGTTTTTTTATAGAGTGGTGTGATTTTAGAATGCTGGGAAAGGATCCATGCAAAAAGGAATTAATGAGATACGTCATCGACTCTACAATAATGTCGACCACATGCCACATTTATTTAAAATGGTTTTGTGCTCCCTTGTGTGTGGAAAAACCAGTGGCGATTATCCTTACTTCAGTTCTCATAGGTAAGATACACGCATGATAACATCGCACAGCATAAACTGAAAACTTTGATATTTAGAATATGATTGGCTAAGCCAAACCAGATCTACAGTGACTTTGTTGTTTGAAAGCTGTTCGCTTATTTGTATATTTTTGGGAGCCCTTTTCCCAAAAAACGCCAAATTTTAGCTCAATCACGTCATTTTTTTTATAGCGCTCCATATCTTAAAAATGTTATTTTATTAATATACATACCTATGATATTAATATGTTTGCTCCATGTTAGGCATGATTTTTAAATGAATTGATTTTTTATAAAATTCAATGTGATTTGGCAACACTGCATAATATTAGATTTGTCTGCAAAGCAACAGAGTTGGCGCGGAAGCATCAGTAACCTGCAAGCAGTTGTAACCTGCTTATGCGCAGGTTGGTTGTCGTCGCGCCACTGTGTTCGTGGCTGTTGTCCTCATTGTTGCGTATTTCTAGTGTTCTAGAACGTATAAATATGGAAAGAAGACATTGTGTGAACAATCCAAATAACTTTTATTAAATCTGTGGTAGTTATATCATAGTAAAAAAAGGCAAACTTTAACTTGTGAAAAATGTATACCACGCTTGTTTTGGTGTAAAAATCGGCGACCAAGGCAAGTCCTGTTTACGTTGGAGCATTAAGAATCTGGCAAAAAGGTAGGAAGAAATGTTTAAGCTTTGGTGTTCCTATGGCAAGAGCCCACGAATCACAGTGATGATTTCTGTTCATGTAATCTTCAAGGATTTGACAGACAAAATTAGAAACAAACTGTGTATCTCGATCTTGACTCTGCTATTCAACCAATTCCTCACGGACCAGATGTACCGATACCTACTGCCCCAAAGGAACTAGAAAACGTCATATCGTCAGAATCACAGAGATCTAATTCCGACCCAGATGACTCAAATTTCACAATGTCGAGAAAAGCGTTTTATTTAAAGAAGTAATTGATAAGTTTCCTGGGAACTCTAAGAACGAAGACTATGGAAGTGTTGTTACATGTTACAAAACTTTCATTGTCTAGGTTGCAATATGAGTTTGAAAGTGCATTTTCTGTATTCACACTTGAACTATTTTTCTGAAAATCTTGGAGCAGTTAGCGAATAACAGGGAGAGAGGTTTCACCAGGACATTAAGGAAATGGAACAGCGATACCAATGCAGATGGAGCAGAATGGTTATGTCAGACTACTGCTGGATGTTAGGGATATGCCCTTAAAAACACTAAGCCGAATGTAAAGACAACGTAGCTCTCTGGCAAAAGGACGAAGATTTCATTCAAAAAAGTCTGAGTCTGAGTCACTTTTTTAAACTAGAATTTCATTTTTTTACTGAATAAAAAAATAAATTATTTTAGAAATATCGTTTTTTATACCTTTATTATTTGCAAAAAAAACCTTACGTGATACAAATAAATGCAGATGATTTTTGAAATCAGCCTACCAAACTTAGATAAAATCAGTTTTCAAAAGAAAAATATCTCTCAAAAAGTTTAATTTTGTAGACCTGTGTGACCATAAGTTAGGGAACAAGCCATCAATAAATGTATATTTATGTTGGCTGCCAGTTGAAACTTATTAGATATTTATCAGGTCTCCTTTGGATATTATGTCTTTGGTACAAAGGACGAACCTGTTAAGCTAGCGGCTCTTGTCAACAATGTGACAGATATCTTTACAGAGTGCCAGAAACTTTTATTTCCCTATAACTGACTGTTTAAAATAAAATCACCTATTTCTACAAGAGGATCTTAATAGGTTTTCCCAATAGAGTTACAAACTGTCTCATCTTTGAAACCTATGCTTTAAAATAATTAATAATACTAACATCCAATTGAAACCTCTTGGATCAGAAAACAAAATAAAAATAAAAAAAAAACAAACCGTGGATCATCTTGAGGATCTCCACTGGTAGTCAACCTAGTGACTAGGCCAGGAGGTGGTCCAGTCAAGTGCGGTAAAGTTGTTGTTGGCAATGGCACGCCCCCTGCTACGCCATTAGTATCAGGGGGCCCGCTCACACCCCCCGGCTGAGGCGGCGGTTTTACACCCGTTTCTTCCGTTGGTTTTCGAGTCCATGCGGTAGTTGTCTGTTTTCTAGCACCTGCACCTCCTCCTAAATGATAACACTAGTCGTTCAACCCAACAGACTAAACGAAAATTCAAAATATTTACCTCTCATCGAGGGAGGTGGTGAAGTATCCCTTTCACCCTGAAGGAACTTAAGGTAGCTGCTCATGAAGCCAGCCCCTGGACCACACGGTTTGTCTAATGGTTTTGGAGGGACAGAGGCCTGTTTGGGATGCTGGTGGTTCATAGTTATTGCCGACCGAGGTGTTGTATCTAAAATGAAAATAATTATTACAAAATGTGCCTGCATAATATAGCTAACTAATTTAGCAATTTCAAGTGAAAGTGGGTTAAATGTTATAAACTCTAAGTATAACTAGTAAAGTTCTATAACAATACTTAACCCAAAATCAACCAAAAAAATGTATTATATATAAATAAATACCTCCAGATAAAAAATTAAGCTCCTCTTCTATGTTTGGAACTACTACTTTAGGCTGATCATCTGGCTGCTGGTATGGCTGTGGCGGCGGGTGCTGCGGTTGATGAGGCGGCTGCTGAGGTGGTTGCTGTTCATTGTAGTTTGTTAATGGTGTCAATTCAACAGTGGAAGAGAACTCCGAAGGATGATTTGCTATATGAAAAGGGGCGAAGTATGGCAACGGAGGGGGAGGATGGTGTCCATGAGGATGTGGTACCTTCATGACAAGAAATTAATGAGCCAAATTCCATAATATTTCATTTATAATTTTTTACCATCAAGCCTTGGTGTTGTTGATGTAAGGCAGCTTGGGTGCTAAATATTTTTGATGAAGGAGGAGGGAGATTCCATCTATCAAAGTCAAAATATACACCGTTCTGCTGCTGCTGATTGGCACCAGAACTATGGGCTGGAGGAGGCACTCGATCTAAAATTTTAATTAAAGTCGACCATAGTGCAAAACAAAATCTTGGTACCACAGATTTGTTTTACCTGGATGGAGTCAATTGAACTTACTTGTAACGTGTACATCGGGTGGAGGTGGCGCTGCTTTCTCCACACTTTTCCTTCTCTTTACGGGAGGTTTAACAATTTCTTGTTTAATCTCAGGCTGTTGCACTTGACATGTTTGTTGTTGCTGCAGGTTCTTCACAATACTCATGGGGTCTCCCCGACAACTCGATAAGTCTTGTAAAGTAACCTGGTGACCACTATTGGAATCAAAATATTGTTGCCGTTGACCTTCAGGCTGTCTTTGTGCCAGCTCTATAGAACTATTGTTGTTGTAATTATTCGACTGAGAGTTAGGCTGACTGCCTTGAAATTTTCTTTGTTGTTGTTGTTGTTGCTGTTGATTCTGCCTTTCATCCCAACAAGCCTGTATACAACACAAGGTAAATTAAACTAAGCATAAATGATAACTGTTATTGATTGATATTCTACCTGATTTGATGGCGGATTTGATTGGTTCGTATGTTCGTATCTTTCAAAATTTTTATCTGTGTTTAAAGCTCTTGTAATAACAGATGGATAGGCAACATTGCCACCAGTCTGAGAATTAGGTCTGGGTACTGATACATCAAGGGGTGATGGTGGTGCAACCTATAAGGGCTTCATTATACCAACTGACATCAAATCCATGAATAATTTACTACCTGTTGATTACTGGAATTTTGCTGTGGCGAAGACATGGAATTCATAGGACTATTATACATTGGGTAGGCAGGGCTCTGGGCATGACCCAGCGGTGATGCTTGGGAATGTGCTTGGAGAGGACTTGGTCTACGAGGAACCACAACATTGCAGTCTGCGCCATTGGAACTAGAAATTTGTAAACATTATATTTAGACCAATAATGTACAACACATCGAGCAATGAAATACGATTTACTGATTCTCGTTTTCAAGAATCAAGATAAAAAAAAATTATGTGCGGCACTCATGTCGCAATAATAAGAGGTATAGAGTTATTTTAAAGTAAAAACATGTCAAAGGATGGAATTAGTAACATAACATATTTACCTATTTGGATACTCTGGGCCACTTTTAGGTCTTTGAAAGTCCTCAGAGTTTGAATTTGGTGGCTGCTGCTGTTGGTAATGTCTGTAATTATGTTGGAAATGCGGCGGCCTTTTCCCAGAGGCATTACTTCCAGAGTAGTTCAAACGTCCTGGGGCATCCATTATAGAGAAACTAATGGGGGAAGACTGGCTTTGATTATCTTCATTGCTACGTTGTTGCTGTTGTTGTTGTTCACGTTGGCTTCCCAACTCTGAGTAAATTTTAGTTTGCGCCTTGGTTTGAATTTGCGGTGTGGATTGAGGTTTGCTTGGGGGGGAGGTAAAAGATTTTTCAATAGTACGTGATGGTGGGTTGGGTGAGCTGATAAAAGCACGGTTGGGTGCTTGTGGAATTCGGTATTCCTTTGTTGTAGATGGTGATGAAACAATGCAGGATTGTTGTAGATTGGAAGTATTTGTGGAAGTGAAGGGTTTAGCATTGTTATTTTCGGAAAGAGTTACTGGCACCTGGGAAATAAAATAATCGTTTTGTACAAATCTGGATAAAATCATGAAGCGGTATGATTTCTTACCTGAAAAAAAGTGCTTGAATTTCCTTGCGAGGAGTTTACCTTGATAGTGGCTGTGGAAACCTGTGGGCTTTGGGCCCGATTAATATTTGCCGCCTTCGAATTGGCAACCAGCTGTGAATTTATATGATTATTTATCGACTGCTGGGCAACAGCAAAGTGAGCATTGAAATTTTCATATGCTACCTAAAACATATTATTTAAGTAGTTTACAAACTTTTAGCACAGATAGAAGTAACACACCCCCTTGCTTGTCGTTGTAGCAACCACACTTTCATGTGGCAAAATACCAAATGGACTGTTTTGTTGCCAGGCAGGTGCCCCTTGCTCAAAGAAGGCTTGTGCTTGGGGATGAAATTCGTTGCCTTCAGCCGACTGTTTAGCAGCTGCGGCCTGGGCTGCTAAAGCCCTATGCTGTGTTACCTTTAATGCAAAAATCCGATTATATATTTTTCATAAACCTAAGGTGAACACTAGAAAAAAAATATCCTTACATAGTAGGGTTATTTTCTATATTCTTGTCCACTTCATATTCACAATAACTGAATCAGTAAGGGGTAGGTTTCCTTAACTACTTTTCTTAAAATGAAAAAATTTGAGAAATAGTATATTATGCAACAAGTGCGGTAAAGGATATTTGACTCACGAATTTATTTGACTGTTGCATTCTGTACTTTTTCTACGACCGACCGTTAGTTTTTGGGTACATTTTCGCAAAACAACACTAATACATTCACTGACATGACCACCAGAATTGACAACCGTCAAAATTCAAAGCGTGGGAAATATCTCGGAAAACATGCGATTGCTGCCAAAACCGTGCGGTAAAATCCCGGCTCGGATCCATGGGAAACGAAACGGACATGGTAAAGTGACGGTTCCGGCACGCTAGATCAGTGTGTAATTGGTATTTTACAGGCGGGAGTAGAAAAAACATATTATTCAACCCATTGTATATAAAAAATATACCCTCCTTCCTAAGCGTTTTTTAGTCTCAATTACCTTGGTTGGATTAGTATGGCTGGTTTATGTATTGCTCTTAAAATCTTGAATCTGTTAACTACAATTGAATTAAACTAACCTGTGTGACATAATGAGACTTGGCTCCGCCAGCCGCTACTGCACCAGCTGCGTGGAAAAGTGGGCTAAAGACAGTTTCATAGCCTACAGGAGGTGGCGAAAGAAAGCCACCTGGCAAAACAGCAGTAGTTGGAGCGGCTGCAGAAGCAGCTCCAGCTGATCCTGCAGTGGTGGTGGAAGAAGCAGCAGCAGCAGCTGCAGCTGCTGCCGCTAAAGGGTGATGCTCACCGGCGGCAGCTTGCGCTGCCAAACGGTTGTATGATGCATACCATGGGCCAACAGGATCCATTCTGGTAAAACCTTGGATTGAGGAAGCTGATCGTCAAAGGAAGCAGTTGTTGGCCCATCCCATCTAAAATGTACAACAACAAATCCTTAGACATTGATTCCATTCATAAAAAATTCAAATAATTATACTATTGGAGTTCATTAAAATCAAAATTGAAAACAATGGTCCTTAATAAAAATAGCAATATTTTTTTATAAATATATTAAGGATAATTAGTTGTCCGAGGATAAAATATTACCTTACATTCACCTTTTTTGTTAATTAGCAATCTCAGTACTAATGTTTTAAAAGCTGTCACACCATGCAGAGTGCTGTCAAAACAAATAATCGTGAAACATCTTATTTCTACCAAATAGAAATAATTTTCAAATAAAACCTACCTAACATCAGTTAAGGGAGGTTGAGTATGTATTCAAAGAGTCTTTGTATAACAAATATACCCTAGAATTTGAATAATTCAAAATTCACACTGACCCCTTTGTTTCAATGATAACATCGAGATAATTGCGGTCTTTAATATGAAACAATTTTTGGTAACCTTGAACAAAACTTATTACATCAATACTGAATTACTATCTTTTTGTTTTCGGTACTTCATTAAATGTGCCGCGATGATTGTTTTGGTCCAGCATCGGCCAAAATTATTAAGGTAACGTAAGAAAATGTCTGTACCGATGACAACAATTCCCAAAATACTTCGAAAACGTTGCTTTGTAACAAGAAAAATCAAACCAATAGTGACCTCTGACATGGGAGAATCAACGCTGGCCACTTCAAAACAAGTCTTGAAATTAACGACCTTCTCTGAAGAAATTTCTCGTTACAATAAAATGGGCCATCTTAAATTTAAACCGTCTACAAAAATACTCACTTCTCATTTGAAATAGTAATTAAATGACAGCTATTTGGTTCGAAATTTTATAAATATGGCTCCATGAGATGTGTGGAGACTGTCTTTTCATGAAGTTCAATAACATATATCCGTAAACGAGCAGCACATTTAACACACGCGATTATCACCGTTTTCTTTACGATTTTAAATTTTGCTATTATCGGCGCAAAAAAAATATTTCTACATTTTAATGGGGTTTATTACTCGAGTTTATGCGCCACTTTCTACGACAAACTTTCTGTCGCCATTTTAGAATTTTACTAACAATAAGAAGCGCCATCTTTTGGAGTCTTCTGTTTTGGCGGGCAAATCAATTGCAATGACTATTCATATTTGATTTGTTAAAAAAATACGCTTTTTTACGCCGAAATAATAGTTATCAACAAAAGGCAAATGTACGAGTTTTATTGCTAAGATGCTGAAAGAATTATAAAAAGTTAGCGAATTTTGAGACGCAAATTAGATGTCCTTGTTATCTTTTTATTAAAATACCTCATTGACAGATTTATTTGAAACTAAAGATATTGGTTAAAGTTATAATATTCTCAAATAATTTTGGGCGTCTTTATACAAAACGAGACGACCTATAGTTTCATATGTGTGGTTGGCCAGTGGCGTAACAAAATTCTACAATACGCTTTTCCAAAAATCAATTTTTCCTTTTATCAATACTGCTTTAAAATAAGGTCGGTTAGTTTATTTAGTATATGTATTGCAACCTTTAATAAATGACGTGGATGAGTTTAAATATAAATATACAGGGTATTAGGCAAACTAACTTGAACCAGTTTTTAAATAGGTATTTACAGGATCGGAGTGAGGTATATTTTCGGTAGTTCAAGACATAAATGTTTAATTTTTATTTTGCTCTTTGTGAGATTTAAGTAACAGTAGCTGCATCGAACCATATCATTATGGCGTGATATTGTTATTATATTAATATAGTTAATATTGTCTAACTATTTTGCCTGCATAATTATTGATTTTGTAAAACAAAAAGTGTTGCAAATATTATTAAATATTACATAGGGCAAAAAAGCATTCTGAAATTTATAGAAACGTCTTGCCTGGTCTAAATTATAATCGACTTGGGATGGGATTTTCAACTAACTTGATCTATGTTTCTACATATGTTATTACAAAGCCAATACAGTCTGATAAGTAATCTTTTTGCTTTTTCTAATTCCATAAAATAATCTTTAAAAAATATCAAACGTAGCTGTTTATTATCTATACATTTGAATAAGCAAAAATATAACAACAAACATACAACAAAATATTACAAGCCTGGTTGGTTCGAAGTTATTTGTATTACATTTTAATCATAATAACAATAAGCATTAGTTTTGACAATTATAATCAGTTTATTGAGTTGATAAATACATATCATGTGTGCTGTTGCTCCAATTGATATCTATTTCTTTAAAACCGCTATAAATTCTGCTAAAAAATTAAGTACGGATCTGATGGCCAGCCTATGTATTTCGTTTTACAGGATGCACCAAAAACAAATGTGATGCTTATAATAAAAGTTGACTATTGTGTGTTTACACTCATTTTTAATTGATAAGAAAACACTTCATAATTTCTTCACTTCTTAAATTAGCAACAAAATTTTCATATCGTGATTTACAAATATATAAGCCGCCGCTGCCGTGTTTCTCTACGGATTTTCATATGTGAAGTATTTCTGAATAAATTATATTTATCCAAAACAAACCAAAACCATTCAACTATTTAAATTATCACTGAAAATGCAAAAGACCACTACGTAACTTATAACTTTACCCTCGTAACACGAATATATTGAGTCCAATTATTATATACGGATTCTTACACCAATGGCGTACCGAAGAAAATTGATTACAGATAAATTTGTTTTATATTAAACTACTGTTTTGCGAAAACTGGTAAATTGTTTTATACATGCAACCATATAGCTATTAGATATGTAGTGGCCCTACCATCGTAACAATTGATGCGCGGCAGGCGGCATTCATATTTCATTTTCTTTCTAAACAGCGATTTCCACAGATTAAAATCGTTTTCCCAGAACATTTAAAGAGATTTAGCCATATTCTGAGAAAATACTGCTGTAAAAATGCCGCATCCAAACTTACCGAAGATCTCTTAGAGGCCGTGTAGGTTGTTGAATGAAACAGAATTTTTGGATAGGAACGAGATTTTAAATCTTGCGCATGCGCATATTGAGCGGACCTTCTCAAAGTGTTTTGTCATAGTTGCTCCATAAGTTTTTGTATTATCAGTATTAGGTAGGGCCTCTTTAATCTCTAGTAGCTAAATATATGCAACTTATATTGTTTTCCTTTGCAACATTAATATATCGGTTCACATAGATTTGAAACATGCACTCAAGCATTTTTCCTCATTTTTATGGTCAATATAAATCGTGAAAAATATTAGTTGATAAATATAATAAAAAATTGTATTTTTCTTAGAGATTATATAGCACGATAATTTTTTCCCATAAATTAACTTGACAAAATATATTTGATAATGAGATTTTTTACAAACATAATTGCGCCAAATTGATCAAAATTAGAATTTTTTGAGAAAAATAGGAGGATAGGTCATTTTTTCGGTTCAGTTTTTAGATTATAGTATACAGGGTGATGTCATGGGTTTTCTACATACTTCAATTAATTATTGGTATTTTTTTTATTTTGTCTTCATATCAAATATTGAAATGAGTTAGCAGTTATTAAAACACATTTTTATTTAGTGTAGGTAATATATGATGAAAGTATACTAAAACAAAAACTCAAAATCACACAAAACACATAGCAGATTATAACATTTATTGTATTTTTTGAATTCAATATACTCAGCCAAAACTTTATTTTCTATTAAGGGAGTATGTAAATTAAAGGTAAGATTAAAGATTATACTTCCTGAAAATGATAGCAGTGGTTGTACTGAGTGCGCAGCAAAATAAAGTCACGGCTAAGTCTTATTGTTGCAGTAAAACTAAATATAACAATTAACTACACACTAGTCAGAAGGTACTGTGTAAATAATATAATGCATGCTTTTTATAAAAACTAAAAATAAAAAACATATTTACATGATTTTCATAAAAATATCTTCAATATCACCTTTATACTACTAATATCATATTGGTAAGAACTTAACATCCAGACTAGAGAAGGTAATAAGATGTTCTAAATAAGGGGCAAGAAACAAAATATCACAATAAGTTTTTACAGGAGCATTCAATATACATAGTATACCTTAAGATATACTCTTCACAACAATATGTCTTTTATATTCAGTTACAGTTTTCCAATTGTAGAACAAAATCATATTTCCCAAACATAGACTGGGCTAATGAAATGATAAAAATGTCCATAGTTATCTTTATAAAGTCTTTTAAACATGAGATGGGGATGTTAAACCATGGGTAACGGAATTTTCTAAAACTACATCCAAGTCGTCCAATGGTAACAATATTTGCCTGAGAAACGTCAATAATCCTCTATTTCTCAAGAAGGAATTTTCTTCATACATTTCTTGAGTTACCCTACAGGAGGCCATTGGCACGAGCATTCTGTGTAACAAATGCTCTCTAAAACCAACAAAATACAATCACTTGACGGTTTTGTGAATTTCACTATAGCGCACCTGACACTTAAACAAATGAACAGTTGGAATTGCCCATCTTTTCCAAGTGTTTTACTAGTATGCATCATTTCATCAATTAAGTGACAATAGCACCTCCATACTGCCACAGTTTGTTGATGATTTCTTTCTAAGCTAGCTGTCCTATTTCCTGACACTTCTTCCATGAGCTCTGATTCAAACTGTTCTTTGACGCGAACTGTAATAGTTTTAATTGCTTAAAAGCATGAAAACTATAAAAATTAATAAGGGGTTCGCTTGATGGAAACTGTTTCCCATCTAGTTAAAATTTGACAGGGAAATATTTGTTTGCGATGATTTGCAATATTTTTTTTAGATCAAACACCATGATTATTTGCTTGCAGTTGCTATTAATATAATAGTACTGTTCATATTGGACATGGGAATAGATTACTATATAGATACACTAAATACTGGCAAAAATACCTATATTTGTTAATAAATGGATTTCAACAGTTGCTATATAAATACAATATAGAAACAATTTTACCAAACTAACCAAAACCACTTCATCTCTTAAAAATCAAAAAAAATATTTTTTTTTTATAAACTTTAATAAACAAAGTAATTTCCAAAAAAATTTAATTTTAATTTTTTAAAAGACATTTTATAGCACTTACCAAAATAATCCCAAAGATAGTTTTTACCCATAAACATTCTGACAGATTTAAATCCAAGTAAGAATACATTTTCAAGGCAGTAAACTAATCCATTCTCACCACACAACAGTGCCGTAAGGGTGGTGTGCCTTTCAGAACTACGTCTGTAATGCCATTTCACAATGTTATTTACACAGTCACCTTAAAATTGGCCCAAATATAATTGCTGAAATTTTCTGTTGCGTCTGTAAGTACCGAGCATGTGTTGAATTTGTGAAGGTTTGAGATCAGTTCTAGCCGGCATTGAAGGAGACTTAGATCTCAGTTGAGTTCGTCCTAGGCTTCCCGTGGGCCTTAGTTCTTCTTCTTCCTCCTTTCTAGACAATAAAGTACCAACTAAGAGTCTCTCTATGGAACCGTCATCTGCCCCTCTCCCTAACCATCTACCACAAGCAAATCTAAAAATTATTCCCAAGTAGGTGTAACTACTAAATACAACCGACCAAAATCTTTACCTATAAGTGTGACCAGTAATTTCATTCCGTACTAAGATGTATTCCACCATCAGCTTAGTATAAAGACCTGAATTATCATGACCTATTCTCAATGTAGTTAAGACCCCTAAGTTAGTATGCCTGTGTTCAAAACTGAATGTGTTTTTAGGCACAGTAACTTTCTGTGTTTCCGATAAAGTTCCAGAGAGAACAATCCAAACATTGGAAGATGTATAAGCTCCTTTTTTATTGGTGACTATTGCAATTCTATATGGTATCACAGTCATGGGATAGGTACTGGTAAAGCAAAAGTAATCAACGGCATTTAAAGAGAGCAAATGATACAAAAACTGTTCCTTTTCTTCTTCGCACCTTAGAAAGGCGGATCTTTTGTACAAATTTCTCAACAGTTGCTGGTCCGACAAAAGGGTTCGGAAATGCTTCGAAAGTTGTTTCTTTTCGAGCGCGAGTCGTACCCAAGCTCTGGCAAAACCGATTCCGGTTTTAACATCTGCCATGCTCTGGACGTTGAAAATATCAAAGAGGATAGAATTGGGCAGTTCTGGAAGATCTGTGGATTGCTGATCCTTTCCTAAACTGGGCCAATGTTCCAGGCTTCTTGCTAGATGAGGAAATTGCTCTGGAACAATATTCACAATTTTTACAATTTTTACGTCGAGAGAAAACTGTAAATTGTTCATCTGACACTACTCCACTGTCAAATTAATATCCCTTTGTAGCACTTCACAATCATCAAATGACCATATAGGGCGGTAAATTGTTAAATCATCTGCAAAACTGAATAACCTGACTCCAAATAATGGCCTATACCGTTCACCAGAAGAAGAACCAATTTTGGGCCCAGATGGGACCCCTGAGGCACATAGAATATTACATCTATGATAGCCAAACTTTTGAAGTTTGTTCAGTAATACTCCTTGGTCCAGCAAATCAAAGGCATTGTATTTGTATTGTATTGAATTGTATTATACACATAAATAATATGGGTTGCTTGCTTTCAATTTAATGTTTATAATTGTTTAATATTGCAAAACAAATATACTCACCAGATGGAAAATAATTATTTTCCTTTTTGTTTAATTGCCAATATTTTTCCTGATATGCCAATATATGAGACCACAGGGCAGATTTACCCCTTTTTCTTTGAAGCCCGTGAGCCCAAACCCTCTCCAGAAAATCACACAATGAAGCTACCAGAGTACTTTCTTCAACGGCACCAAAACCGTCGGACCCATTGCTTCCCGACAGAGTGACCCCTTCTGCGCCCAGTTTGGTCAACAACATCCTTTTCGTTTTAATTTTGCAATCCTGCAAGATATCTTTGTTCTATCTGAGGGCGAAAAACATGTTTTTTCTTTTACCTTTAATAACTTTTCAACAAATGTCCAATTTGCTTGAGCAATAAGGGCGGGTGACATATCCTGACTATTTTGCGTCTTGGCGTTTCTGTCATTAGCACCCACGGGAGGTTTGCCAAACACCAAACCTTTTTTCAATTCTTTGGCTCTCGGTATACTTCCTTTATTAATCACCGGCGTTTTGTTGAGTATGTCCTTGTCGAGTATAGGAAAATTACGCGAAATGGAAACTTTAGTATTAGATACCTCCCTTGGGATGGGCGATTCAAAATCGGGGTAACGTAATCTTCGTTCTAAAAGCTTGTGAGTATCGTGAGACATGGTGCAGGGTTCATATGAAATGGATCTCATCAGATTTTCTCCACCGTATCGTTCTTTCAACAATTTGATTCTGTTATCAAATATCACCAGGTTGGTTTCCAGTTCATCCCATTGAGATAGAATTTTATTGTCGATCATTGTAGCGAACATCTGAGATTCCAAAAACCTCCACAGAAACAACCGATCTTGCTCTGGTTGATCTGAGAGGAATGAAGCTTTATCGAAGTTTTGCATAGAGTCACGGTTGTTAAACCAGTCTTCTTTATTCTAAAAATTGTTTGGTATTATTAAACTTAAACCCATAGAACAACCGCAAAAACTCACATGATTAGTTGGCAATATTACAAAATTTTCATAAGCCTGAAAGATATGCACAAACCTATTCAAAAACGTTTCTCTGATTGCATTATTGAACCTTAAATCTTCAATGTAAGAGTCAGTGGGATGAGATATTTCATTCTTATCTAAAGCCACTCCCGTTCTTCTAACTATATCAGCTATTCGTTGTAACGCTTCTGATCTGGCTGAACCAGGAGGAGATGGAGGTCTGTCATTATCTAGAGTATCATGAATAGAAAGTTTCCTTCGATTTTGCGGCTTTCCTGGTAAAGTAGAACTTCTTGATGTGATTTCCTGAAAATTGTTTTAGCAGAAACATTTTTGTTGTAAGACAGCTTAAACAGATTATGCAATAAAATGAATGCATTTTCAATCAGCTTTTTTCAACTGAAAGAGGTAAACTGCTGATGATTTTTATAATAATTAAAGCAAATTATATCACAATAACAAAATTAGAAATATACCTGAATATTTCTATTATTTTCAGATTTTGGCACATGAACTCCATGTTTATCCAAAATAGACCAAATTTCATCTGTGAAAGAGTCCATGTGGGGGAATGAAACCATTTCTTCTGGTAACTGCACTTTACATTTATCAATATCCACATAACACAAACTAGCTTCAGATGCGACTTTTATGTTTTCAGATGATGCATTTAAACCTAGTGAACAGTGAAATTATCAATCCTTAAGAGGATTATGAATATCATGATGTTGTTTACCCATTAGAAACGGTACAGGCGCATCTAAAAAATGATGTAGGGCGGCAGGTAATACTGGAACATAGACGTGAGGCCAATTAAAGGGGAACAACAGAGCTGTCATACCTTCTGCCACAATCATTAATTTTTGGCAATCTACATTGAACAAATAATTTAGGAACATTTAAAAATATAACTTTTTTACATTTTACCTGTACTTCTTAGCAGTACTTGATTTTCAAGTAAAAGACAAGTAAACAGCTGAACAACAATATCAACACCCAGTAACACAAATATCACTCGTAAAGGGTAGTCAAGATGTGGCAACTCAAGAGGTGGTGCCGGATTCTGAAGAATCACATTGGCTAAGGGCAAATGGGGATCTGGCGGAGGCAAGTGGACTAAAATGCTTTTTCCTGAAGTGGGTAATTCTATCTAAAAAGTAAAACCAAGTTCAAAAGGGACAGACATATTTAAATTAAATCACTTTTGAATAAAATAGATTTATTATAAATATCTAAATCTAATTTTTTGTACATTATTGCACAAATCAAACATACCTCATACAACAAGTTGAACACATAACTTTCCAAGCTTAGACCATGAACGGAAGTAGGTTTTCTAGGTACACATCTGAGAGGAATACCAATATAAACAACAATATAACAAATCAACTTAATAAATAAGTAAAATACAAACCTATACAGATTTTCCAGAAATGTTCTAGCTGCATGTAGGTAAGCTGCGTGACATATAATGCCAATACTTTTTGATACGAATAACCTATCTTTGGTTATGTCATAGTAAGTCAAGGCAGCCCCATTGGGATTTTGAGTAGTCAGTTTGAAATGCCGTGGTAATGATCTGGATTGGGGACCCTGACTTTGTATTTGTTGAACTGGTTTAACTCTCAAACCGCTCGACAATTCGGTTATATACATAGCCTGAAGAAAAAAGTAAATATATCTTTAAATTATTTTAAGGGGATTAAGTGCTTTAGTTTGTCACTAAGTAATTTTGAATTAAGATATAAAATTAGTAGATATACACAAAAATAATCGCAATTAGAAATTGATGTATTTCATGTAATCATAAATACAGCTTACTTTTCCTTATTTATGCTGGTATAAAAGAAATATCATGACCATACATAAATAAATAATAATTTTCCCACTTACTTGTAACGTTTGCATCGCAGCACAGATATCTCTATTCCTGACTTCCTCATAAAAGATAAGACTGAACCCATAACATCTCTTGCCATCTTCTCGAGTAATTAGAAATGAGTGAAAATTGGGGGCCTGAGTGACTGAATGCTTCTGTGTTCGAAATTTTAAGCCATTTGGTAGTGCCAGCTATAAAATTATCACCATCATCATTAATAAAATTCTCTTAAAATTTTAGCAAATTCTTTGTTACTAACCATGCAAACTGCGGCTGCATCAAAAGGATTTGACTTTAAGTTTTCTGGATAGTGGGCAAGCACTTTACATTTGTAGGAACGTTCCAATGGAGAAACGTGCAAATTGTCCTCTACAAATTATGAAAGAAATGGCATTTAAAATACTACGCATTAGTGGATTACCTGAAAATTTATCCGGTTCGAGTCCAGAATTAAAGTCAAGTCCACAAATCACAAAATAATCAGCAAATTTTGACATATTATCCTTAGAATTTATTTTATGACTTCCAATGGGATGAAATCTAGCGACGTTCGAACCTTAGAGCAAATCATTAGCAATAAATTTTCTTTTTATTGTTGATTAAGGAAGTACATTTACGCTCTAGTTTCTAATCATTTTTACTTCCATTCATATGTTTTTGACTTTGACTTTCTCTTTCTCCTCTATGAGTTTATCTGCGAGACATTGTGTCTGCAACCAGAAACGCGCGGTTTACCCGAACGAATAAACGAAAAAAGTATGCATAATCATGAGAATCGTACTTCAGCTGTTCCTCGTTAGAGGGCAAGAAAAGTCCATAGATAAATTAATTTACTTTAGAGGATAAAGGCATTATTTTCTTTCTGTTTAAAATATAAGGTTTATTAATTAACCTGTAGAGTAATTTTTGGAAAAACATTGGAAAAAATAAACGAGTTGATAATTTTAGACCAGAATTTGAAATTTTAGTTTGATATGTTGACGACTAAGCTTTGCAATTTGCAGTTAATTGCGTTGCGTTAATTTTTTTTTTTAAATTGATACGATTGGGCAGCGTTCAATGGTTCCCATAAGTTCATAAGTTTATGCAAATATTCGAGAACTTTCGAAAGTATTTTCAGACATTGTACTTAAGTTTCTATAAAAATTGTTTAAAGCTCTTTGATTGTGTACCAAGGTCATGGAAATTTTATATATATCTATCTACATGACCGCCCACCTTCTTGTGATGGTTGCAAAAGGCAAACCCATTTGAATTACATAAATTTTCACGGGTCAATGCATTATTACCATGCACCATGCCCGATGAGGAAAAAGCGTCTCAAGTTATATCGCGGCCTGATTTACTCTTGTTGGGATCCCCAGTCCGTAGCGCCTTTCTCAGTGTTTTTTTTTCGTTTCCAGTCTAGCGAGTTCTTTCTATAAAATCATCCGGTCTTGACGAAGATTGCTGTCAATTGTTTGGTACCGTGTGTGACTAGTTTAATTGCAATTTTGTGTCATTCGCGGACTCGGGTATACGCTTTAAGCTGTTTATGTGCGGTGAGGTTAATTTCTTGCGTGTGCATCAAGTTGCAAGTTAACGTTTAAAGCTCTATCGGTTTATGGTGTGATTCCAAAAAGGTTTAAATATTAAATGACGTAAGTAGGAAAAGTCAGTGAGGCCTTGGTCTCTTTAGTAAAATGTTATAATGTTATATATTGTGTAGTATAGTATATGTCGGTTGTATATTTGGTTATCCAATTTTTTTTGCAGCGCGGATCATCTTATTTTTTACATTTTTTACCTCTCGTAAGCTGACAGCAACAACAGAGCAGGATAGAGTTAAGATACACTTAAATCAATCCTTATTCGATTTTTTATTGCTCTTTTAGAATTATTAGGGCCAATAGGTAGTGCCGCCAATAATTCGAACAATATAATCTTGATCTCAAAAATTCAAAAATTTTCGAAAATATTGAAAACTATTGTCGTTTCCGATAAAAAAAAATATGACGTCGAATTGCACTTTGTGTAGTTTATAGGACGTCTGACAGTTTTACATAATCACATTAATTGGGCAGCGCTTCTATTTAATTATGTGCACGTCCAGGCCTACTGGGCCGATTTGGTTTTATATCGGTCATTCACTTCTGCTGGAGATGCATTGGTCAAAAAAGTTTTCGAAGCTCGTACACGCAATATGAGTTCAATTAAAATGGTTTATATAAACATACACTCGACGTATATAAATAAATCCATTAGAAAGTAGTGCATGTTTAGTTTCGATTAGGTATATTTTTAACTGGGAATGGTAAATGTTCAAATTGCACGCGAGCGCCTTAATCTACTAAAAGAGACTGATGCTGTGCATAACGGAGAATTTTAGGCAAAGCATGATTGCTTATGGTGAAGAAACCGTGAAATATTTAGTTTCGACAATGGACATATTATTCATTAAATTTCCGAAAATTCAAATAAATATAAATTAAATTGAATACAAATAAATTGAATTACAACAACAATAAGTAAACGAATATACAATTACATAAATATTTTTTGATTAAACATCAAAGAGCAATACTTAATACAATGTGTCAGTAACGAATCACTAAATCAGGTCCCGTTTTAAAATTTTCAAATCTCGCGGAAGCAGTCCAGTCCAACAGCGACAAGTGGGTGTTTATCAGTTCCTCGAAAACAAACGAAACAAAACGATATATGTATATTTTGACATCAAATTTGCATCCACAACATAAAACGATTTACTGAATCCTCGGAACAATAATTGAATAATTATAATAGGCATTAAATAATTATAGGTATAATAATTATAAGTATATAGTTAGGCTAAAGTCTGGAACATTTAAAAACCAGGTTTTGGATTTCAAGAAAAATGCTCCCACGCGTCCATAATATTTTTTTCTTGTGGATTTTTGTAAATCCATTGTCGAATTGTGTCAAATTTCACACACATCTATAACTATCGCTCTAAATTTTGATGAGCAAAAGAATAAAAAATGCTGGTACCAGTAAAGTTCTTAAATTGTCACAATTACGTTTCTGTCAGTAAAGAAAATAAATATGGCGCATCTAAATAAAATCCAAAGAATTGGAATTTTAAATTTTATTGGATCTGGAGACAAATTACAAGATTCACAGTGCGTCCAAATGAGATAAAATTTATGGAAGCAGAGTATGTAAGAGATCGTCCACGGACATATCGTCCAAAAACGTTCATCGTGCATCTTCCGAAGTTGCTTCAAATATTGATATTAGCCAACGAAGTGATTTGTGTTTATAAATAGAAGAAAGGTATCGGTCGAGCTGAACCAAGAAAATTTTTTCCGATCGCACAGGACAGTTTTTTAAATTATGATGGAAATATGCAAGTTAAATCAATTTTTTAATCGTAAAATACTATTTAATTATGAAGCCACGTTTTGTTTGAATGGTACGGCAAATAAACAAAACTGTACGCGTGCACAAAAAATAACTGTTTGTGCAGAGATTTTGAATAATAAAATGATTGGACCTCATTTCTTCGATCAAAATATTACTGGAACCCAATATTTACAATTTATTCCAAATAGACAGACTTGGTTTCCGCTCCGCCCCATTTTGCTCTAAAAGTGCGTGAATATTTAAATGCTGTATTCCCCAGAAAGTGGATTGGTAGAAGGGGATCAATAGAATGGCCTGCAAGATCTTCAAATATCACTCCACTGGATTTTTTCCTCTGTTGATATTTAAAACCAAAAGTGTATACGGAAAAACCGAAAAATTTAGATTATTTATAATTTAGAATTATATACGAAATAAGGCAAATTAATGAAAATATCCTGAGTAATGTTTTGAAAGGATTTCAACACCTAATACAATAATATCTTTAGCATGCCCTGTTTTTATAAATTTTCTCTCAATTTTAATGACTGTGGATCTTGTAATGGGCGTTTCTGGATATTTTGCCCTAAACCAATTACAAACTTCTCATTTTGTCTGTATATCCAATAAAAATTAAAATTTCAATTCTTTGAGTTTCATTTAGATGCTCCATATTCACTTCCTTTACTGGCAGGAATGTAATGGTGACAAGTTACGAACTTTCCCAAATTAAATTAATATAATGGTGACGATTTAAGATTTATTTTAAAAAAGGAAAAGAAGGATCTCCACTTTTTATATTCTCTGTTTACTGCAAAAAATGGGCGAGACAAAATTATGATGAACGTGTGCGAGCATTTTTCTTGAAATCCAATACTTGATTTTTAAATGAATTTGTTCCATATTTTAGCCGTTCACTGTATCTCGCATATGGCTACTCGACATATAGAGGCCCTGCCTATGCTGATAGTACAGGAACTCATGAAGGAACTATGTAATTTTTTTTTGAGAAGGCCAATTCAACGTGTGCATGCGGGAGAATTAAAATTTAGTTTTTAACCATAAGACCCATAAGACCTTGCGGCTTTCAACAAACAACATGGCCGCTGACAGATCGTCCATGTTTGGATGCGGCATTTTTACGGCAATATTTTCTCAAAATATGTCGGAAGTCCTATTAAATTTTCCTGTAAAAAAGGAGTTAAGTTATTAGCGTCGTATAATTCTGTAATTAATTTGGCGTTTTTGTTCTTTAAGCCCTGTAGATACGATGCAATTTCTACACGTATTCGTTCATGTAAGCTATTTCTTACGATTTTTTTTGCTTTTAAATCAGCGCTAAGTGTTAGCTTTCATAAATTCGTAGGTCTATCCTCCATTGAAATAACTTTGAGATGGTAGAATCGCACAAGAAGCATTTAAATTGAAAAAATGTTCAAGAACCACCTCCTATAGACAGGAGTTGCGTATTTCTTAGGCTTGTAAAAGAACAAAGTATTGAAAACAGAAATTATACAAGTTTGTGAGTACGGTACGGAGATATTAACACAGGGCACAGACTGTTTATATTCGGATTTCAGAGATCGATGTTCTTATAAAAATTAATCAATTTTCCAGAAAAATTACGGCAATGTAGATACACAGACATATGGGGGGTGACGCATGCCCAAAAGATCCGTACATTCTCTACGAAAATATCATAGCCACCTGCGGCCCATCACTTTTTACCGTAGTAGAGCCACTATATTATCTCAGCATACCATCTGAAAAATAATTGAAATATATTTCACCCATAATGATCATCTCATTTCCTTTATGGATTGGCATTCTACGAAGAAACCATTGGCAAAATTCACAAATCATTGTCCGAAATAAACTGAACAGAATTCATTGAATTTCGTGTGTCATCAGGTATTGTCAAAGTTGCAGTAATTTAATTAAAAAAATGTTTCTTACAAAAATGTCCCAATAATAGTTTTTAGATACTCCTATTTTTTACTACAAATACCATATAAGAAATATTCCATTTAGAAAAAACTGTTTGATACAATACTATTTTACAGCAGCAAGTACACATATAAATTCGACGACTAACAACTAACCAAGTTAAAGTGATCAGCAGATGATAATAAAATGCGTTGATCTCAACTGCTGAGGATGCGTAAACTAGCATTGTATCAATTTCCCATGAATAAAATACTGGATGCCCTAGCAAAGAACTTGGTTACGTAAAAACTTGAATTTCAACCTTTTGTGGGAAACGAACTCTAAAAACATTTATTAGAATGTTGCCGTCTTTCGGGAAACTATTCACAGTTTGCATGTCCTGACACCGTTTCTATCAATTGAACTGAGGTGGCTTTTACTTAAGGAAAATCCATTTATCAAAATAAATAAGAACTAAAAGTTCAGATTTTCACGAATTTTCAATATACAGTCCATAACAAAGAAGGAATAATAAAAATTTCACCAAAACTTAAATTCTGTAAATATTTAAACTTGACTCTAAAGCTAAGGCGTCACAAAATAATTTAAAGTTTAAGTGAATCAATAATCCTAACGATTTGTTTGGACACGTCGGACTTTAGGATTCATCGGATAAACTTTCTCAAAGACTGCGGACCTCCTTTTCCGGCCTTTCAATGTCCCCAATTGAAGAAGAACGGGATTGTGTGAGATCGACGCTGCGACTCCTATGATAGCCAATCCTGCCAATGGCAGCAGCAGTTTTTTCAATGCGAGACTCTGGAAAAAATCGTACTGTTTAATAACGATCGAAATGACAAGACCAAAAATTAATTTACAATTGGTCACGCAATTTTGTATGGGTTTTTTGAGATTAAATTATTTGCTAAAATGCACTTTGTGAAATTATTTTAATCTTTTATCCTTGTTTGAACAAAGCGAGTGTGATAAATTTAGACTATTTTGGACGCCGACCATCTAATGATAATTTTATGCTGGTGTTAATTAATAAACATTTTTTTAAATAGTCAATTCTTGTGTTGCATATAAATAATAGAAATCATAACCCAGCAGGTTTGTAATAAACTAAAAATAAAATAATAATATAAATAATATATAAAATAAATCAATAAATAATAATAAAATAAAGTATATGTTTGCGTACTATTTAGAAATAAAAATAAATCAGTATTTTGGCAACAATTTGAAAAAAATGTTTAAAATTTTTTTCCTTTAGGGAAATACTTGTTTTTTTGGTAACTAATACTCCCGACAAATGCATACTGTTATTTTCTTATCAATGTATATATTTTTAAAACTTTAGTAAGTTAGTAAGTATTTTATGTAAATATTTATAGAAAATTTTCTTTGACCCTCAAATAACAATTTCAGTAAGAACATTTATCGGTTAATGAAGTAATTAAACCCCAAGAATAAAAAACAATTTTACTCATTCTTTTCCAGCAAAACAAAATTCATATTTCTTTCGCCAAAGATAAAAGAAGATTACTGTTTGTTGTAGTGGTACATTTGGTCTGTACTTGTTATTATAAACTTTTTTTTCAATTGACAACTCCTATACAAATTGTAAAAGCATTTGTCCGTATAGAAAATAAAAGCATTATTATTAATATTATTATACAGGATGTTTCGAAAAGCCGCCAAAGCTTGGCTAGGGTAGATCCCTTTCAAGATACTGGGTATTAAATATTTTGAAAAAAGAACTGCCTTTTTACAATATGTTACATTTTTTGTCCGATTTTGTTGAAATTTAGCAACTTCATTTATAATGATAAAGGGCTAATTTTGCTTCAACTAGATTAAAAGTGTTAAGTCCAGTACTATCCCGAGAGTTATCTGAAAGAATACTATTTTGCAATTTTTGTTATTTGCTTTGAATAGGCAACAAAAACTAAAACACCAGAGTTGTTTTCCTATCTTGCATCGTCTGCGATGGAAAAATAGACCCTTCGTCACAATAAAATTATTTCTTCAAAATTAACACAAAGCAAAATTTTGAAATAATCAACATCAGTTTAATTTCCATCTAGTCTATGATTTTCGCAAATCTGTTTTTTTATATGAACACCCTGTAACTTGGCATTTCCGGAACTACATTTACATGAAACTTTTGCCTACTTTTTCTATGACGAATCTCCCGCAGAGCATTGGCGCATATTTTTTTAATCACGCTGCATCAATGCGCAAGACAAAGGCAACAATCCTCATTACTTTTTTTATTGCACAATTTGCGTCACTTTTCAATAAGGAAGTTGCCGTTCCAGTTTAATTCGACTTCACTGACAATATTTAAAAGGCTACAGATTTCTCGGGTTGTGGATGTTGTCATAGTAACTCTAAAACAGGCGTGTTTTTTAATTAAAAACAAAAAAAGAAAACATGACCTCGTTTAATTGTAGCTCATATGGTTGCTGTTGTTTTTGTTATCTAATATTGAAATCAATTTTTTTTCCGAATATAATTTATTTTCTAGGAACTCAGGAACAATACGTTCGACGTCCTGCCACTGCTTTTTTGAACAAAATACGACCTGCTTCGGTTGAAGAGAAAAGTAAACGATTTAGGAAGTGTACTATTAAAATATCCGTCGAATGACGTAAATATGTTGCGTTACTGTTGAGCAATTTAAATTGATAGTCCCTATCTTTTCTCGGTAAATCCGTATTACTTAAAGGTTTCCAACTCATTGGCGCGATTTGTATGTTTGTTATTAAAACGGAAGCTTATCGGGCTTTTTTCGTCGCTGAAATGGGATTATTCACAATTTTCCATACAGATGTTATCGGAATTTTCGTCAATGTGGCCGTTTCTTCTAAAGATGCTTGCTTACTGGCACCACGTCCAAAGAGAGTCAAATAAACATTGTTTATAACTTTCTTAATCTCAATAGAATAGTGTTTTCTACATTTGGGCGGGAGTATCTCCTCCGATACACTAGACTCGCACATATTTTCCATAATTCGCACACCATTCAACACACGCTGTCTTACACACGAAATACAAATGATTACTAATAAACTTAAACTAAGTAGTATACCAAACCAAAGAATATTAAACACAGGTAGGTATAAAATTATGTTCTATTACGGACCACAATTTTACCTGAATTTAAATTCCGAAACTTTAGGTAATAATCTTGTTGCATTGTATGTTAATGACCACCCTTGGATAATCCCATTCAAAAGTAAGTTGGTCACTTTCTTATATCTATGAACAGACCATACCTCTGGAGAAGTCCATATATTTTTAAGTAATTCATTATTATGATTTTGGTTTATTTTTAATGTAACTATTAACGCCCATTAGTCGTTATAATCAAAACATTCGTCATAATCAACTTATTTCTATACGACTTTTTTTTTTGTTCGACGCAACCTACACAAAGTGTTTTAATAAGATTTTGATTTGAAAAAATTTCTAAATATTTATTAAAATAATATTTCTGATTGTCAAAAACCGATTAAAAATATTTAATCACCGTTTTGCCCATTTCTTTCTATTACACGTGAAAGATTTTGATCGAAATTTTCAAACATTTCCGATAATTTTGTAAAGTATACTTGGTTTAATTAAAAAGGATTTTGATTGAGATTTTCACTCTTTTCCAACTATATTGTTACGTTTCAATATTAGTAAAAATGATAGCATTTCAATATGTTCCTTTCCAACCACGCTCTCATTCCAAATGCAAAAAAAAATCGAGCTATAACAAACTTGTAGTTTAAATACGACTACAGAGGCAACATATGTGTGAGGAAGTATTTTTTGGACATAGTAATGAAAATGTTGAAATATTAAGTATTAAGATGTGTAATTAATATCACTACCACCTTTTTATCCTCCCTTATGTTGACAAAGAGATATTTTCTCTATTTCCTAATCTAAAATCTAAAATCTAAAAAAATCTAAAATCTAAAATGTCCAGTCAGTGATCAGGCGTTTTTATCTATCAGATACACATATTTTGACGTTTGTCAGTTGTGATGGTCACGTCACAAGTCACTCAGTGGATGTATTCGTGTTGTTTTTTCCAAAAAATAATGGTCGTAGAAAATGGAATATTTTGCCTCAAGTTGCGTAAACGCCTCTTTAGTCAGAAATTTGTTTTGGCACGAACGGTGCGAAACGAAGCTTGGGTTTAATAAGCGAGTTTTCGAGTAATTTTATCAATATGTTGCATATTATACTATTATTGCAGGAATAAAGGAACCATTATGGTAAGTGTGATATATCAGTTGTTTTTATAATTACCTTATAATTGCCCATTGCACCACCTCCGCCGTGTCCTTCATTGTGCTGTACATGATATTCCTCCTCGTAAGGAGGTGCGTAGGGTGGCGGATGCTCATAAGAAGAACCATATCCGCTGGGGCCGTCATAGTAGCCATGTGCGCTGGCTGGATAATGTGGCCTCACACCGTTATATGCGGGAGAGTGTCCTAAATATAAAACGAATTGGGTATTCCTTGAAATTTTTCGTTATTTGAATCTAACCCGAGGGACCTGCAGGGCCATACGCGCCTAAACCTGGCCCGCTTGCTTCTGGTCTGGAATGAGAGTATCTACCACCATCAATTCCCGTTGGTGGATAGTCGATACCTGTGGAACAAACAATAATAATTGCAATTGGTTAGTCCTAGAGATAAACTGAAGCAAAAGTCGTAAGATCTGTAGAAATAAACACCTGGAATATCGAAAATTTTCTCAATAAAAGCCTGTTATGTTATATTAGTTATCTTTGTTTTTAACCAAGCTTATCCTAGTACCGTTTTTTTTTCACGAATAATTAAGTAACAACTTTTTTGAAAATCGACTCCGTCAGTAAGCAGAAAACATGATTTAAATGACACAGAGCTCTACTTTCTGAAATTGACTTTTCGCGTAAAAGTGATTTCAGGTTTATACCAGACCCATGGGACGGAATAAATCACAATTAGTTGTTTTCGTTTGTTTTAAGAATTTTTATGCGAATTGATATACTTTACCACCTCCGTGAGAGTTTTCTGGGTAGCGTTCGGGGTATCTGTTTGGTCCATTACAGCAAAGGCCTCTTTTTTGTTTGGCCTCCGAAGCCATCTGGTCTCTTTGTTTTGTTATTATCTCGTTTTCTAGATCAACACCCCGCCTTTCTTCGTTTGTAAGTAAACTCTGCAAAAAAATAATATAATTAATTAAGCACCATATTAAAAAGGTCAGAATTTGATTATTGTAAATCAACAAACTAGTGTAGGTTGATTTGAAAATAAAATATTTTTTACGAAAGATTCTGCTTTTAGAAAAACGGTCTAGCATAACGGCCCACTGTAAATTTTTGACTTTGTTGACTTTGGTTTTTTTTTTCTAAAAACTGTTTATCTGACTCATTAAATAAACACGCTAATTGGAAAACAATTTAATATACTTTAGCATGAGTTTGAATTTGTCAACAGTGCTGATCTTGAACTGAAGTGGCTTTTACTTGATGAAAATCCATTTAAGAAAATAAATAAGAACTAAAAGTTCAAATTTTCACGAAATTATATATATTTCGATATGACAACTGTTTCGTGTCTTTATCAAATGTGATCACATTCGACTTCCTACCACAACTTCGATACCAGAGCTTAATGTTGCAGTAAAGGAAGAGAACACAAGAAACAATAGCGAGTGACTAGATCTATGCACAATCGAGTAAGAGATGTTAGAAGGGCAAGAGGAGGTCATATTAAAAAATTTATTATTAAAAAATAAGTATTGAGTTGCTAATTGTCAATAACCCTATTTGTGTTTAGTAATAAAAAATGCTAATTTGACTCGTCCAGTTATTTTACTATGCTAAACCGAAAAATCAGAAATAAATGTTAATCAATTTAAGCTCGTATTAAACCATATTAAATTGTCTTTCAAACAGTATTTTTTTATTTGATCAGTAGTTTCCAAAAAAATAAAAATAAAATTGAAGTCAAAAAGTTTACAATGGGTCGTTTTCTGTGCACGCAAGTTTATTATGATCTTAGATGTTTCCAGTGATCTAACGTCACCAAATATTAAATATCACAAATGAAAAAATAGTTACGTGGCTTTTAGAATTCGAAATTCCATCTGCTCCACAATAAAGGCACATCAGAACTATTACTAGTACACGTCGCCACAAACTTGTCATGATAACGAATTTACTGCGTTTCACATTTCACTAGGAAGCCTTCGTTGAAACTATTGTGAGTGATATAATAGTACGTTTATATATGGCCTGGATGTGCAAGAATTTTAAAGAAATGTCTCCGGACGTACCTATTTATGAAATATATTTTATTGTATTTGGAATTTGTCAGCCACCTTGGCGACGATACATTTTCTCTCCATTGTGCGTTGTCATCCGACCGTGTTCCGCAAACTTCATACTTCGTTGAATTTTTCTGTTTCCATTCCTTGATATGTACAGGGAATCCTACAATTAAATGTATTCTCGAAATTCTGTTTTTATACAAATAATAAGTGACTTTTTTGTGTTATTTTAAATTTTAAAGGTCTGATTTGCCTTTTTTTTTAATTGTTTCAGAATATGAATAATGTCATACATTTTAGAAGATCCCGGCGCTCTTCGACATCCAGCCTTTACATCCAGGTAAGTCATTTTTGCAAATATAAATTTATTTATTTATTTATTTATAAAGTTATTTTAAGCAGGCTATTTAAAAAAAACGACTTTATAAAATTTTAACTAACTAACCAAAACGATTAAACAGTTCAGAAGAGATTAAAATATAAATATTCAAATATTCGAGCATGAGCCTCCACTTCTCTCATTGCCATATATAGGAAAAGAATCAGTAATAAAAATGGGCGGCATCCTGTATACATTTTATAAGTCAAAGTTTGAAAAAATATGCGAAAAATCATGCGATCCTTAAAACCTAGAACGATTTGGCATTTTGAAATGTTGAAAAAATTTGGAGGGCGGGCAAATGTTTAAACAATTATTTGTTGTTTATTATGTTGCCAGAGTTAAACGATTAAGAATATCTTGGTAATATTGTTCTTGCTTCCGTCATGGGAAATGAAGTGAATTTGATTGATTAGTGGATAACTTAAATTATAATGATGCCTCTGTACCAGATGGGCAGAACTTAAGATTTTGGAGTGATTTCGGTATTTTTTCTTAAAGAATGATTACAATTTCTCGGAATTTATATTTGCCCTTACCAGCAAGGGAGAATGACGAACACTAAATGTGCTCCTGAATATCGTTCTTGAAATGAAAGGGGTTAATTAGCACAGAATTTCGAAATGAAAATGTAATTATGTTAAAAGTCTAGGAAGTTTTTAAAGAACGCATTTAACAAAAAAAAGTTAATTTTGTTAAATTTATTTTCTCTGTATTTTCATTGTTTATTTTAGTAATCAATTTTCGTAAAAAATATTCCCAGTATTCCCACTTTTCTTGAAAAAATTGCTTGCTGACAAGAGCATTTTGATGCCATTTATGGACTACATTAAAGAGGTATCATATACTTATCAGCAGCGTAAATTTAGTTTATTTCAACCTACCGATGAATATAGAGTAAGTCTGGGAGAATCGGCCCATGTTTTTTTAAATAGTATAAAATAAAAACCTAAAGGGAAAATCATTTAACATCATCATTATTAAGACACAGAGGTGCCAGCAGGAGCTTTTTGCGCTTTTGATGTGACGATCCCACATTATTATTATTATTATTATTATTATTATTACTGTATCTTTATTTTATTAAAAAGCAATAAATGTTACAATTTAATCAGGAAAAAAAACTGCAAAATTGACCGTCTCACCCAAAGCGTGCTTTTAAGCTGAACATTTTTTATACAATCTATCTAAACATTCGCAGTCCTTATAAACTTTTTTCTTATATTAATACTATTTAGTTTCCTAAAAGATACAAGCTTTTTAGACAAATAAGACTGATAATTCTTTTTTAACGTTTTGTAAGTAAAGTTGAGAAGTTAAAGGTTTTTCAAAAATTTATGCTTTCGACTCTGTTTCTTAAGCAATCCATATAAGCATCGACAGAGCTAATTGACATGTTTTGTGAATCCTAGGTTAGTATCCATCCAAGCCCCAGATCTTTTGCTTGTTTTAAACTCTATGTCATCGCATCAACTTTTGATGATTTTTTATATTATCTACTTGTTTTCGGGGTCCAAATAACATGTCACCGTCTTATTCGCATTAAGCTTAAGGTTATGAGTTGAAGATATATCCAATCCAATAGATTTTTCGTTTCTTAATAATCCTTCGTTTCATCATTGATTCAGTCATTGTCTGTTTTATTTCTTCTTTCTTGTGCAATACGTCTTAAACATTTGTAAAGGGTCTGAAATAATGTTTTTAACGTAACTTATTCAGGAATCGCACAAAAATCTAGCAAAAATTAAAGTAACAGTGACCTGGGTTTAAAATTTCTAATATAATAAAATTAAAAAAGGTGATCTCACCCACTGAACTATTTTCCCACATAGACTGAAATTAATCTAAATGAAAAACCATATGTTTATTGTAAAAGTAAATGTTAGAGGGTTTATTATTAAGTTCTATGTCAAAAAAATATTGCATAAAGCGTTTTTCCGTTACGATATAACTAATTCTTAAATTTACCTTGTGTAGTAAATTCTAAATAATCTTCGCGAAAAGGTAGAACAGGATTGAGAAAACCACAACCTTGTAAATGTTGCGCATATACACGCACTTACACACATTAATGTTAAAAATTTTATACAGTTTGCTTCCCAAATTTTAAATTTGTGTCAAGCACGTAAATCTTTAAAATTGTCACATCTGGAAGTGGCAAACCAGGATCTTGTGGAGGCCATTTCGTGCTTTCTGACATAACTTACAAATAGATTTACAGTAGTTCCCCAAGCGCACATTCTTGCCATTCGATCTTGCTCTAACGGCATTCCTTTATTATTGTATTGCGGCCATAAATTTTACGGAACAGATATCTACGAGAGTCGGCCGCGAATTGTTATTATATTGCCATTGTGCCGTTTCAGTAGCTGACAAATATCTCCTTGCGTCGAGACGTTTGAAATTAAACTCAAATCTAACAAATTATGAAATAGATTCTGTACAGAACCCAAGTAATTTAATATCATCCATCATCCGCAACATCTTGCCTCAAATTTGATGACGAAGAAGCACAATCCTTTGTATTCCCAAATACATATTGCTTTCTGCATTATTGCCATTTAATAGGGTAAACCAAAGCGTCGTGGTTTGAGTACGGATATAAAATATTAATGTTATGAATCGATTGCATCCCCATGCAACAGAAGCGGAAGCGGGATTATTGGGGTTTTAAAACCACACGTGTTATACAGGGATTACATTTATGTTCATGTTTTAGCTTATAAATATTGCATCATGCTTGGCAAACGTTTATTGAGAAACTTTTTTTGTCATTAATAATCCATATGACAACTTTTCAACTAGTATAAACAATACATTTAAAGTTGTCAACATGAGTTTTCGAAGTAAACATACAATGTATATAACAGGTTACGCATACACAAAGTTGCATTCACGATCTCCTATCTTTCAGCTTTAGATTTCTTTTTACGGGGATATATGTAAAATGAAGTGTATAAAACGCGATACGCGTCTGTAGCAGAACTTCGAGGGGCAATTGATTTAACTTTCGAAACTCTACGAAGGAGAGTAATAATTCTTTTAAATGCCATTAAAAAAATAAAAAAAATGTGCGAGTTTTGCATTCGAGAAAATGGTCTCCAATCTGAACAACAGTTTTAGGCACCATACTATGTTAATATTCTTTAGATATAATGTTATTTCGTATTAATTAATGTAATAATGGACTATAATAAATTGAAAATTATTTCAAATAGTAGTTCATAACGTAAAACATATTTAAATAACTGAAATTTAAACTACTAAGTTTCTTGTATGTTCAAAATTGTATATTTATGTTTATTTACAAATAAAATAAAATAGGAAAAAATTAAATTTTGAGTTTAATTTTCAAAACAACTTTATACTGATCTATATCTGTAAAAAGTTCAAAAAATAATATACATAGGGTTCCATTTAAAAATGCATATATTTGCTTCATAACTACCAAACGGTTAGAGCAAGTAAAAAAAACACGCCACTCTTCAATAACTTAAAAGACAACTGAGATACGAGACTAGTCTCAAAATAATTTTGTTGACGGCATCTTTAATTTCAGAAAAAAGTAGCACAGTGTCTCGTATACAGCAACGTTCTATTGCAAAAAATAACCGGGATATCCCACAAAAGTGCCCAAAATGGGATACGCGGTACATTTGTATGCATTAGCTGAAATAACATAAAATTAAAAAACTGGGAAAAATAATAGTTATAACAAGTTTTAAACAGTAATTCTTAACAAAACAATTAAACAGTAAAAAAAACTTCATAAATCCCGCTTTTCAAGCAGCTTTATTTATTGCGCTCTAATTATATGATTTTGTGTTATATGGTTGTTTGTTGTTATTATTTTCTCAACAAGACAGCTTTTTTAATATCCGTTTAAAAATCATTTAAGTACTAATTGAATTAGATGATATTGGGTTTCTCATTATCGGCAAGAACAATCTTGTTTGTTCAATGTTGGTTTGAAATTTTCATCATGGACCGCTCAGTGTTGCACGTTGTTGTTTAAAGCGGAAAATTGTCCGTTGGGCCGTTCGCAAACACAACCCTTTCCTTCACCGCAGGAGGCGGACGGGTGGCGGGAGAAAACATCGCCTCCCCCCCTTAATTACTCGGCAATGGACGCCACTTGCGGCCATATGTGCATTTAATGTAAATGCCGCGCATTTTATTGGCCCATCAAAATGTCCTGCGAAAAGCCATTTGCCGTGAAATATGTGTTCGGATTGCAGTACTGTCGGAATTTTGAATATTCCCCAGCTCAACGTACACAAGTCTCTAATATATTTAGGAAATTCGGGATGTTTTACTTTAAAATGTAAAATTAAAAAAAATATTTTTTGTTGATTTCAGAGTATCATCCGTATCCTCAATTAAATTGAAATTAAAAGAAGAAACGGGGCAACATTTGAAATACCACTAGACTTAATTTTTAGAAGAAATTTCCACACTACTTCTGGATTCGTAATGCGTCGGTTTTCGGTGAGTCAAACTTGCTCACGTTTCGCCAATCATCCTGTTGGCTTCTTCAGAGTTTGACTGAAACTGGCTCGCATTTTACTCTGTACCTGCTTATATTTTGTTTGAAAGGGGCGGTGCTAATAGAGGGCCATAAACACTGTCTCGGATGACTGATTCCCAAATTGGTGACAGAGTCGCGGTTAAGATTGTTAGGTTGTTTATAGATTTCTATAGACTCTCGGATTTTTCGTCGGTAGCAGAATTGATTACATGGTGGAATTTTGTTTTTATGGAATAAAATTCTTGCATGTAATCAATTCTTCTACTAACGAAAAATCCGAGAGTCTATAGAAATCGATAAAACCAAAGATTCACAAACCAGGATTACCTATTTGCCAGCACCATTGGTTCTCCAACATATTCTGTAGCGTCCTTATTACAACCATTTACAGGGAAAACTGATGGTTTCCTACTTAATTCCTTTCACTTCATCGAACAATTAAAAAGCATTACATTAGATGCACAAGATATTCTGGTTAGTTTCGGTTTACTAAAGTCCCTGTGCCTGAATCTCTGAACATCATTTCAGATATATTAAAATCCAAGAATCTGGAACCAAACCTTTTCTTATAACGGTCACATTTTTGAATAAACATCAGGAACAACATCAGGAACTATCACCAGTCATTGTGAATATATTTATGGAAGCCTTTGAAGCTCTGGACACCTTCCATCTAAAACCAAAATTATGGAAACGCTACGTCTATGATACTTTTGTTATTTGCCTCATGGTCAATAATCCTTAGTAGATTTTCTTAGACATTTACCCTACATACGTTTTACCATTGAATTAGAACCTAATAATAACCTCCCATTCTTAGATATTCTTATCAACAGAAAACCTACGCACACAGACCGATACCTTAATGCATTGTCACATCACAATCCGGTTCAAAAATCATCAGTTATCAACTCTGTTGTTTACAGAGCCGTAAAACTATCTCAGCCCGAGTCACTGAAGCCAGAATTAAAACACCTTACCTATGCTCTTCTCTCAAAAATTTCCACATTAATGATATTAAGCGTTCCATCACAAAATACACTTCACTACAACCTTCCAATAGCAATGAGGCCGAAAGCATCCCACACTTGCCACTGTTGTCCTTTATATCAAAAGTTCTCAAGAAATGTATTGCAAAAATCAGATATACCACTTGTCCAAAAATCCTTCAACATCTTCGATCCGTCAAAGACAAAATTCCATTTGAGATGCCAGGAGTTTACAGCACTCCATGCATATGCGGCAAAGAATACATTGGAGAAACCAGACGAAAAATATCTACTAGATTCAAAGAACATGAAAGAGCCTAAAGGCTAAGACAAATAAACTCATCAGCAGTTGCCGAACACAATCACGAAACCGGACATAAAATTTAATTCGATAAAATTAAAATTCTTGCATGTAATCAATTCTTCCACTAACGAAAAATCCGAGAGTCTATGGAAGCCTTTGAGAAGAAAGCTCTGGACACCTTCCATCTATAACCAAAACGCTACATCTATGATACTTTTGTTATTATATGTTATATTATATATCTATAAGCAACCTATCAGGCCTTTACCTTTCACCAATATGGGAATCAATCATCCGATGTGTTTATGCCCCTCAAATAATATATAAGCAGGTACAAGTAAAATGTGAGCCAGTTTCAGTCAACAGGATGATTGGTGAAACGTTTGCAAAAACCGACGCAGGAGGAATCCATATAGCTATACGGTTTACTCATCAAAAAGCTTAAACATAAACGTTCGTTTTATGTGATGATAAATTTATCGGTTTGTGAAGGAAAATAAATATTAATAATTACAGATCAGTTACAGTCACCATGGTTTTCTCCCAGTTGTTTGAGTACGCATTTTTACAACGACTTTTATTGCATCTGGAAATAAAGTTGAAGTCATCCATGGTAACAACGGGCGTCCTTCAGGGCTCTGTATTAGAACCAGTATTTTATATTGACGGTTCACAGAGTTTGTGTGGCTTCGAGAAAACAGAAAACAGTTTGTTGATGACTTCACGATATCTATGACGAGTAGGTGTGATTTATATCTCGAAGACAAATGTAACGTGGTTTTGAGTGAAGTGAAGTATTGAAATCCAATAACTTATACGTTAATTCACTAAAAATATCTTTTATAGGATTTTATTTTATAAAGAGCAATTATTTGTTGTTTATTATATTTCCAGAGTTAAAATTTTAAGCATATCTTAATAATATTGTTCTTGCTCCCGTCATGAGAAATGAAGTGAAATTCATTGATTAGTGAATTACTTAAATTATAATGATGCGCCTGTACCAGATGGGCTTCATGCAGAACTTGTCAATTGAGCTTACTACCGATTAACTAGACCATTGGCGTAGGTACAAATTTGGACTGGTTAATCTAATGTTAATCCGCTAAGGTTAAGATTTTGGGGTGGTTTCGGTATTTTTTCAAAAAGAATGATTACAATTTCTCAGAATTTATATTTGCCCTTACCAGCAAGAGAGAACGAGAGAACACTAACTGTGCTCCTGATTCTCGTTCTTGAAATGAAAGGGGTTAATTAGCACTCAACAAAAACCGACGCAGTTTTGTAAAAAGTACCACTAGACTTGTTAATAAGGGTTATTAATAAAAAGAGCAATATGAAATCAATATAAAAAAGGACCTCAAAAACAAGAAATTGAAGCAGATGGGAATATCAAAAACTATTCGGCCCCAATAATTATTTATGGCGAAATAACTTCAGTTACAGAACGAGATACCACAGCTTCATTAACACCAAGTTCTTGACCGTAACAATTTTGATAGTCACTGAGGTAGCCAATATATGTTCTCATTATAAGAACAACCGACAGCCCATTTCCTTTAAGATTCCTTGGTTACCAGTATACTACCTCCGTTACATCCACATCTTTATCGCCTGGAATACGGCAACCACCGTTGTTGGAGGATATCCTTCTTATCTAAAGTAAAAGATAAAAATTATCCAAACACATTGGAATGAATGATATGCGCCTGCTCTATAACTAAAAGGGTTTGCTTGAAATGTTAACACAAGTTAAAATTTGGAAAATATAAACTTACTGCTCTTTCTTGCATGTTGGTAAACAGTTTCATTTCGGTGGAACCTTTTCGGGAGTTTATAATGTGTTATTGTTTCAGTTGCTTTCTAGTTTGGCATCGGACTTGGATAGCATGTTGAATGAACTTTGCAGAACGCCTCTTCCCCCCTATCATCGCCTTTCGGACAATTTCAGGTGAGATTTTTATTTGCTTTTTTTGCCCTAGATAATTGTTAAGTGCCCATTTATGTAACTTAAGGTTGATGCGCTAAGCGTGAATCTCGAGGGATCGAGTGTTGCCTTTCAGAAGTAATAAAACAATGAAACCACGGAAAGAAAAATGTGACGGCGTAGTTTATAGATTATTCCGTGACACGTACCAAATTGAAACAAATGATTCTCGATTCAGTCTCCCTTCTCGGCCTCGTTCTCCCGTTTCTAGGGCTGACTTGAAACGCGCTGTGACATGTGGATATGGGAACGAAGCTGAAAATTCATCATGTAAAACGCATATTTTTCAGAGTTTCATATTGAAATGGACTTTTCTAGAAGACTGAAAGCGAGGCTATCAGAAAAGTTAAAAAATTTCAGTCTTGACACGGTTTATATTGCCGACGTTGAAATGTAAAATTAAGAGGGTTAAGATTCAGATCTTGACAATTGGTGGCAGCGCCGAATATTATTCTTTTCGGACAATCATTTACTATAAAGTTTTTCATCACACACACCTGCTACATGAACTGCAGTTATAAAAATTGGAGGACCAATTGGACGATTTTGTGAAAATGTTGTGTCTAACGGAAAAAAGAGCAGTTAATGATAGCTTGTGGAAGTGCATCATCTCTTTGGAATCGATTCAAGTGTAAGTGTACCGTACCGCCACTGTCAAATTAAAATCAGGTACCTTAGTAGTCTTTAGGATATACCCAAGTACTCATCCGTACGCATCTATAGTTTCGAACATGCTGTCAGAATTTTCTGACTGACTATCATCGTCTCTAATTATCAACGGTCTCCCTTGATCTATATCGTTCTGTTGATTTGCTACATTCCATTATTTTAGAATACTGGCCTCATTCTTGCATACATAATTTTTGCATTGTAATGGCGATGGCGGTGCGTCATCTCAAGACCTCAACAACATATTATTTTTTGAGTCAGTTCCTTGTATGCGTTCAATAGATTACTTTTTAAAAATAAATGACCTTTTATATTCTTTTTTGAAAACCATTCTCTTATTTTTTTCTTTATCCAGCTACTTGCAAAAAGCAAGCAAAGAGGGTTTTTCAATATTTGGTAAGTTTTTATAAGTTTTGATAGTCGTATGTTTTTTTTTTTTGAACAAAATATCAAACGGATTTAAAATAAAGCTTTTTTGATTGCCCGCATATTTAATTACGTACCCTTTCCCATTAATTGCACTGGTGCCAATAACAATGTCTTATGTCATCCTGGCAAGAAGATGTCGCAAAAATCAGTTTCGTCAATAAAAACGCTTGCCTTGATTCTTTCTAGTTGAAATCCGATCTCACTTCTTTCAAAATTGTAGATAAACTGGTGTGGCCAATATCGCAACGCTAATTCTGTTTGATTTTTTCAAGATTGTCTTGACGCTTGGCTTTACACACGTCGTAAACAATATATCTCATAGACAATTTAATACCTTGGGGTAAATCGCAAGATTTTGGATCACTTTTTTTCAAAGGTCTTCTTAACATGCTCTCTGAAAGCCACAAGCACCACAGCACTGTTTTTGCTCTCCAAAGATAGGTTCCAACAGACGAATTTGTTTTTTTCTATAGTGAAATAATGTTCACTTTTTAACACCAAACGATGTTCACCTGGAAATAGATACTAGACTATTTTAATCTTGCACAAAATTCTTCATAACTTAGGGTTGCTGCTTTCTACTCTAAATAACTTACCAAAAGGCACACTTGTATTAAAGTTACCTCGCACCAATAAAAAACAGCCGCTCAGTATTGAACATTAATACAAAAATTAATTTAACCAATTTGTAAAAGGGATACTGAAATGTTGTTGAAATAATAATTATTCTTTAGGGATTACTTCTAAGAAAACATAAATATAAAACCAAATCTAAAAAATTAGAAGAGATTGGTACCTAGGCATTTTCTGAAAATGCTGCTTTATTTATCTAATTATTCAATTACAGCAGTACACCCTAGTAATTAACTCAATATAACTATAAATGCTGGTTAAAAATTGCCTAAAACTGCTATATATCGACGAACACAACTGTTCATTATACATAATTTTTTAAATTAAATTTACCCTAACCTAAAGGACGATCAATTAGATTTTTGTTTCAATTGTTTTCGGATAAAAACGGCCCTAAGACCTACATAAACAAAAAAGATGAAGGTACAAAAGGAGACCGCAATGCTGGCTATTACATCGACCAGAAAATACTGGTACCACGAAAGTCGAGCGGCTGCGCTCCGCAACTCTGGTGCCCCCTTGTGTTTAATGACGTAGTTTATCCAGTAGATGGCTTCGTCTAACGGTTCGCGTGGGCGGTCCTTAAAGTTCTCTGATATTTTTTTTGCATTTTCTTGGTATCTGAAACAAATGCGCATAGAAAAAGTAGAAATGTATTTTAAAAATATTGTTGCTGTTAATATCATCACTGTATCGGCTGAAACAAAGAAGTGGAAGACACTCAAATAATTTCAGCTAACGATTTCAAACTTGGTGGTTTAATTTTGCTTGTTGTTGAACGGATAAAGACACCAAATTCAAAATTAGTGCATTAGTGTTTTCAGGTTCGAAATCGGAATTCGGTTATACCTATTTTGAAATTTGGCTATAATATTTATGGTCTATGGCAGAAAGAGGTGCACAATTTTTCCATATCGCGCCCCCAGCTGCGTGATGATTGAGAGAAAAGGGTTACAAAATTCGAAATGATATGTTGTTTTACTGATTTGCAAATAAATAGGTAACCTCTACGGCAGAAAGCTCGAACGCCAAATGAAAATAAAGACGTTTTTTTTTCTCGGGAACAAAATAAACTTTGAGAATCCGGATTTTTTTTGCAATAATTATTTAACACCAGTATTTTGAAAAATCGAAAATGAACTGAGAAGAAGACAAAAAAGCGGTATTTGTGGTACTCGAAGTTACCCAAAAATAAAATAAAAGAAGCCAACAAAAATTGAGTTAGTCTTGTCGCGTGTAGAAGAAACCACTCGGCTCATAAAAAAATGTATTCTCAAGTTTTAGTTAAAAAAATTGAGATCTATTATTTATCTTAAAGTAATGTTGCGCCAAGAACATAATGCTAACAATAAGAATTATAATAATCATATAATTATTTTATAAATAATAAATCGAATATAATTGTACGAGGAAAGGTATTTGCATGTCGAAGTCTAGCCTAAACTTTTTTTACTAAACCATTTACAAAACGTCTACTAACATTTAATGTAATTAGAATAATGTAAATATAATAATCATTGAAGTTCATTCTTCTTTGGCGATCTGTTGGCGATCATCATCGTTATTCGAACTTTATGATGATAACTCGGTGGAGGTACACCATACCATTTGCGAAGGTTTGCCAACCAGGAGATTCTCCTTTTATCCGGGTCTCTTTTTTATCTACTTTGTCCCTCATGATGTTTTGTAATAGGCGATATTTATTTTCATTTCTCATGACGTGCCCAAACCATTCACATTTACGTTTTTTAATTGTGAGTAAGAGTGGTGGCTGGCAACTTCTGTTCTCGACTTTATTATTTGTGGAAACCCACATCTCTGGGGCATTAATTCGTTTCTCCATAGTCTTCGATATTGTCCAACTCTCTACTCCATACAGAAGCACCGGATAGATGTAGCAGTTTACTATTCGTTTTTTCAGCTCCAAACTGAGATCTCTGTTGGTGAGTAGGTTTTTCATTGTAGTGAAAGTGCTTCGAGCTTCTATGCGACATTTTATCTACACAGAATGGTCCCATGCTTCAGACTGAGTGCTTCCTAAATTAATGAATTTCTCAACGACTTCATTATTGATGAGCAGTTCTGGTGTTGGAGTTTTGCTGATTACAATGTACTTTTTCTTTCTGGCATTAAGTTCTAGACCATACTCCTTACTGGTAATATTAAGAGACCTCACGAGTTCTTGTAGGTTCTCCAGAGTGTCCTAAAGATGTCCTCAGAGTAGGGATTGAAATAGCAGCTGTGTTACTCCCCGACGAAGTTCTACAGGTTGAGATTTTTTTTCTGCCTCATTACAGGTTGCTGATGATTCGCATGTCCTTGATATCAATTCCATCATTTTACCGAAGCCCTTAGTGTAGCCCACAAAACATGCGTATACGTCGCAGTTAACATCTCTGCATCGCTGAAAGAGGACTGGTACTGCAAAGATTTCCTCACGAGTTCCAAGGTCGTTACGAAATCCAAATTGAGTACCACTCATGTTCGACTCGCATTTTCTGTAGTTTCGGTTTTGAATTATTTTGAGGAAAACCTTCAACACAGGGCTCGTTAGACTAAGTGTTCTAAAATCTTGGGCATTGGGCTTTTTTGGTATGGTAACAAAAGTGGACATTAAACCATTCATCTGGAATAATCCCAGTATTGTAAATTGTGTGAGTGTTCTCCGACAATCTTCTTCTATGACTTTTGGTAATTCCACTGGGATGTCGTCTTGGCGCAGTGCTTTTCCACTTTTTGCCGTCTTGATAATGTATTGGACCTCTGAAACGGTTATAGCTTCTGCATTTATGGATACTGTTTTTCGGGTCGTGTGCCATCACTGAATAGATACATAATGTAGTTCTGCCACACTTGATCATTTATGTTCCCCTACGTTCTTTTCCTATATATACCAGTTGCTTCTTTTATCTTTTTGTGTACATTAAAAGTGTCATGTCGTTTACTAAGGTCTTCTGTTTCTTGGCATGCTTAATTTCTTTTCTGATGTTGTATTATTCAGAGATTCTTTAGAGCACACATAATATCTTCCACTTCCGCTTCCTGATGTTTCGTTAAGATTTTTAAAGTCATATCTCAGAATCTGTTTTTTAAGTGGTAGCTTTACTTGAAAGCGACATAGCAGTAAGTTGTTTGGTGTCTTGTTACGTTCTCTGCAGGAAATTTCCACGTATACAGGCGTCAGTGAAGTTCATTAAAAAATTAAATATCAAACTAATGCAGGGGCCATAGAGATAAAGTTAGCACTATTAACTTTCATTTTTGAAAATGAACAATTATATATAATAATAATAAAAAAGGGGAATAATAATAAACAAAATAACAAATATAAAATGTATGTGTATATTTGCTCCTCACCTGGTATCTTCTAAAAGCGTTTTTGCGGCATGCAGTATACTGTCTCTAGAAATATTTTTGTAATCAACTCTTATGGCGTAGCCTTTGGTCTCGGCCACAGCGATATTGGTGGTTTGGTCTGCGAATAGTGGAATTCCTAGCACAGGTACTCCGCAGTAAATGGCTTCCAGGCTGCCCAGCATTCCGCCGTGAGAAACGAAAAGTTTTACGTTCGGGTCGCCTTAAAATTTCCTATACTGAAACTGTAATTATTAAACCCAACCAATCATCTTACACAAAATATCGATTTGCGGCATCCATTTCTCGAAGTGTATGTTATCGGGAAATCTAAGTTCCTTTGAAAAGTTACTTTTGATCGCTTTCCAGACTACTTTGTACGGTAGCTCGGCGAAAGCGTCGAACATCGATTGCAGAGTTGCTATCGGGAAAGTTTCGGTTTGCATAACTGACCCCATTGTCAAGTAAATCACCCCTTTCTTGTCGGTTCTTAGAATTTCCATGAAATGCTGATGACGGAAGTTATATTGCAATTATTTCATGGAAAACTGTTTACTTACCGAATTTAACGGTTTCGGTTTTCGGATATGCGCACCAGCTACTTCTACTACATTCGGTGGCAGCGGCCTAGCGCCGTTAGTGCTATAATGCGCGTTGACCAAGAATAAACTTACGTTGAAGGCCAGTTGCCGAAGGTCCGGCAAATTACTGCCAAAAAAGTTTCTGGCTATTTCGTTCTGCGTCTCATAAACGGTACTGTGGTACCTGCAATGGTATTGTACGACCAAAAATATAGTGCATTTATTGATTTGACGTTTTAGGTATTTTACAGTAACTTAACAACAGACAACAGATGTTTATTCTGCATCAAGTAGGTCTTGCCTGAGATGGACCGTAACGAATATTTGTAGAAACTTGAATTTTTTTTTTGAAACGTAAATTTGATTAAGCATCGATGCTGCGGGTATTTCCGGATAAGTAGAAGAGGTTATTTTAACATCAGGTGATATGTATCGTTTTCAAGAGTTTAATCTAAATTGCAATATCTTCGTATATATTACAGAGGTATTTGACTGTGATCCTTCCAATAAGTACGTATTTATGTACCTGATTCTCGAACTTTGACTCTGCGAGGCTGTTTTCACTGGATAGTTCAAAGGGTAACGGTATATCTTACAGGTAAGTTTGAAAATAATAATTTTGGTGTTGTATGCCTGTCGATTAACAACATTCTTCTCTTCTTGTATTTTTGTGTTTTCTACATAGTTCTTCGATTTGCAAACAACAACAGTCTTTGTTAAGACCATAGATTATGTTCGCGGCAGATAAATAAATAACGTCACACGAATACAGATAAATATTTATTAGAATGACAATTTAGAAGATGAACTACCTCGGCAAATAAAACAAAGAGGATCCATTTGTCTTCGGATGCTAAACAAATTGTTTTGAATCTTTACAAATTTTATAAGAAATTCAGAAGGGAATTGTAGGAGCCGCAATAAAAAGCAAGTGACATAGAACGTAATAAATTGTTACTTTGTACTATTTTTTTTATGTACATATTTCAAGAATTGCTCGGCGAAAAGGATTGAAAACATACTTATATCCCGCTTGTTTAGTATAGGTAGATAAATTCCTAGGACGGTCCTGGAATGGTTACTTGTAAGGGTCTGCTCTGCAGGGTGTTCTATAAGGGGCTGCAGTTTTGTAGTAGTAATGACGAAGCTGTAAAAGCACTATAATTCTAGTCCAGGTGTAATACAGTAACCCTCAACGTTTTAAATGTGCTGCTTTTAGTTTCTGTAAATCTGTCCGTAAAAAGAGCAAGCAGATGACACTTTTTAGTTTTTTTCTTTTTTTTGCTTTGCAATTAAGTGAGCTGGGTTCGCAATAATGATTTTTTTTAACAGTACTATGAGCAGAGAGGTAACACAACGAAACGTTCTTTCGCTAGCTTAAAAATTTCGCGTGCAATTAAGCGATTCTTAACAACACGAAAACCCGAGGAATTGAGGAAATCGTAGCAAGTGAAATATTTTTAATTGATTTCGGATTACAATAATTACATCAGAATAAGGCATCATAATAAAAGGTATAAACAGCCTTAAAGGTTGTACGAAGTCGGTAAATTCAGTATTAAACAGGCAAAACTGGGGGTGCTAAGCTGGAAGGGGTGGATTCATTTTAACCACTGAATTGTAAAAACTTTGTTCAAAAATGGTTCCAGAAACCTTTCACAAGACCAAAAGGACATCATCAGGAGGGAAAGGGGCCTTGACTTGACTTAACTTGAAACCAAGCACCAGAGCATAAAGTGACACCCTTTAATTTCTCTAAAAAACCGAAAACTTTGATGGTCATTTCTTAATTTACAGATCTCGTATCTATAAAACAGAACAAGTTTTGGGTATGCCTGATTTACACCGAACTACGGATATATATATGAATCGATAAAAATTTATTCAGGATATATTCTCCATTCACATTTTATTAAAAAAAGAGGTGATTATACTGGAATGTTCTATTATGATCTTTGAGGTCACTCTTACTTGGATGTCGTTTGATTCCAGTTTTTCTGGCAATTACGCCTAAAGAGGCCCTCTAGATACTGAAATTGTATTGCTCTGTTGCACAATAATCGATTCTATTTGCACCTCATTATTCTTTGATTTAAAAAAGATTCTTATAAACGTTCCATCCCCTGGTAACAGTTTTCTATTTTTTGAAATGAACTTACCATTTGGCTATCACGTACTGTATAGTATTGGATAGCCGATGGAAAAAGTTGTCTAGCGACGCACGACCAGAAAAATAATTTGGTACATAGGAGGGATTATCTGGTAGGCCGAATCTGTCACCGGTCCACGGAAGATGGTAGCTGCTCAGCATACCCACAACCGGTATCCCGAAGTGGTGACCCCATGCTAACATACACTCTGAAGCAAAGAGTTCGGTGATGATCACATCGTACTTTTTTGTATTTACTTTTAAGTTTCGCATCTGGTCGGAATCGAAGAGTTTTCGGCATATATCTGTGCCCACTGCTTCAGTCATCAAGTTTAGCGTTTCGACGAAGGAATACTCTGCAACGTCTGCGCTGAAGTTATTCGTAACTATCGGTAGGGTACCCAGTAAACTTATTTGGTTGTAGCTGCTGTTAAAATGGAAAATATTATTGTGGTCTCCTTTTTAAGTTCGGGGCTTTTAGCGTCATCATTATAAGTCTGCAAAATATACTGCAACAAAAGTCGTTAAATACAGGGCTTCCTAAAAATTGGGAGACATATTTTGAAGAGTGATTCTGACTCTAAAATATTTCGTTAATAATTTTATATACCCTTAATAAACAATTTTCCCGTTTAAAATAAACGTTTTCGAGAAAATATTTTTTTGTCGTTTTATTATTTAAATATTTAATTAAAATGGTTTCATAAATGTTACTCAGTAAAAATAGCAAATCTAGAGGAGACTTTTTAAAAATAGGCTTTTTTCGCAGTTTATAAGTTTATAAGAACTTTTCTTCTGATTTTGATCTGCTGAATAAGTTGGTTCTCCATTATAATTCGGATCACCCTGTAGATTACATTTAATTGAGTATTATTTTCTAATTAACATACAGGGTAAAACAATTTAAATTTGGAACCGTAGATCGTCTTGTTTTATAGCCATGCTACTCTTCAGTAATACATCATTTAATCTGCTTGAATATTTTACAGTCAATTTTTTTAGAAAACTCTACTGGTCATATAGATGATATGATTGTTTATATTTCGACTAATACATTTGGATAAGTAAGCATTTATGGTCATAAAGGGGATTGTTTATTTCAGATGCTGAACCACCCCTCCAAATATTTTGAGACCCACCGTATTTTACGCAAATATTAAAAAATGATTGAACTATGGCAAACGTTTTTTGCGGTTTGAATATTTAGAAGAAAAAGACGAGATTTAACTAAGAAATGGGACAAGACAAAGCAAAACAAAAAAATACTTGAAATACTGAAAAACTGGTTGTTTTGTTTTATTTGATCTTTTTTTCTTACCGGGAAACTGCATTTTTAGATAAAAAATGGGTGTAGATGTCAACCTCATGTCCACTTTCAGCTAGGGCTTTCATGACTTTCTCGAACATAAAGTAGTGGCTTTTCCCGGGGAACGGGAATATCCCTAAAATACTTGCGGATTCGACGTTCCCAAAGAAGATTGCACACAACACGCACAGCATTAACCGTGCCATCACGCTAACTAGTTACTAATTACATTCACGCGATTTGTAACTGTTGTGATTGCGAATAAATATATTTTATACTGCATGTCCTAATAACAGATTCAGCGAGGTTTGCTTTGACGAGAACGATAGTACAGTTTTGGTCTTTGACCCCATTCGATAAATTTTGAACAAATATGAACATATAGAAGTGCGGCCTAGATGGTTAAATTGTCTAAGTTCGTTCAACGAATGTTAGAAATCAAATATTGTAAGCACCCTCGCCGCGTCATCAAAAACCGCCAAAGAAGTACTAATCAGAAAATCGAGAGAGTAAATTGCTTTGCACACATTGATAAATAAACGTGATGCAAATATCTTGACGGACTGAGACAATATTGCCAGTGCCGGACTTTACCGGTGGTCTTTACCTTTATTTTACCATGATAATATTTTTATGTCTTCAAAAGCATAGATGAAATTTCACTCACTGTATATTAACAAGGTGTCTTGCTAATATTTCGTTAAATGTTACCCATAAAATAACAAATAGTTCTTTTTTTAATGCCGTGACAACACATTGTGTGAACTGTAAAAAGTAAAAAGATGTTATAAGGCTGAACTTCAGATACAACCATTAACACAAGTAGCTATAAATTGTAGAATGCAAGACGCATGCCGCCCGAAAGAATTCCCAAGAAAGCCAGAACAGGTAAATATGCCTATTCCTGGGCAGGCGTTGACAACAAAAATATGACAACGTTGCAACGAGTAAACGCTCACGTCAATGTAGGGTAGTTTTTAAACTCTATTTCTTTCTTTCTGTCTTATGTTACGTCTACTTTTGCTTATTTTTTGCGAGAGCTTTTTGAAAGTGAAAAGTTTAATGTGGATGTAAACAAACAACAGACATGTTTCAGAGGCGGGAATCCTTTTTTTTTGTTTTGTGTATTTGCGCGTAATATTATCCATTGCAGATTCCCAAAGAACTCAAAAATTCGTCGGATGTGGTTTGCGTTATCCTTAAAAGTCTGTCAGCTTTGTTTAATTTAACTATTTACAATGTAATTATAAAAATGTTAATATTGTTACAGTATAATCTCGCATAGCAACCATTCATATTTTGACAACAATAGCATTTTGATATTGGTGATAATTAATTCGTGTGCACTACTTGCATGGGTTTCATATTATCCTTCATATGTCGGTTTTAAACGCTTTTGGTGAAAAATGTATTGATTCAGATTAGTTTTCTCTCCCTATCATATTCAGGCCTCGAATAAAGTCCGCTATTTTATGAGGATTTGTATTATCCAGATACTCACGTTTGGTTTCAGTTTTGAGGGTCTGGTTCGCCTCTCCATGTGTACAATACGGGGCTCTGCCGCCACTTCATCTTCCATTCACATAGGCATGAGGTATTTGAGGTTGCAGTGTCCGGTGTGTATTTCAGGGTATTTCATTTAATAAATATATTGGGTTGAGTCAAAAATACTGAGTTAAACTAATTAGCTTGCATTGGTCATAATCTGCGTGCTTTGGAAAGTGGTAATGATTTACATTCTGTCTATACCGTTTTGCAAAGCCTTCGACACAGTATCGCATAATATTCTTCTTATAAGGCTTGGCCTGCATGGTCGCTTACTTAGCTAGTTGACAGAGCCGCCTTACTGATAGAACTCGGATTGTACAAGTGCATAACTTTTTGTCCCATGAAATATATGTTTCATCAAGAGTTCCTCAAGGTTCCCACATTAGACCATTTTTCTTAAATTTATTTGGGGTATATTTTGTTGACCACATCAACAATAAAAAAAACAAGTCTCTTATAATGCTCGGTTTTCTCAAAAGAAATTAAGAAAATGAAGTCTTTTTTAACCAGGTGTGCCTGTCATGAGTGTCATTACCTTACAAACCACGGGACCAGTACGTTTATATCACGTATACGTATAACAGACACTTTTGCCCGTTAATTTATAAGTATAATGTATAATATATTAAACATTCAGATTATCGCTGATTTACCGACGGATTTGAAAAAGATGCAAAATGAAACTTTTGCATTAAGAACAGTTAATGCTTTAACAGTTACTTACTTTAATTAACAGGCACTCTACTCAATCAAAAACGCCCAGGCAAAAAACCTTGCCTTTGGATTTTTTAATTAAATTTTGCTATATTATTTGAATTGTTAGTAGGCCCTATGCCAATCGTGTCCTTTTAATTCGTGAGAGATTAGCTTAGACGTGGAACTAAAAACAAAGGGCGACGGTAAAAATCCACAGTATAGACGGGCCTAGTTCTTTGCCGTTTTAAATTATTATTCCATTCAGACTATAAAACCGACACGGTAGGTGAGGATGCGATGCACTCCACTTTCGTTTTCATTTGCCGTGGTCGTCCAGCTCCAAAACCTCGTTTGGGCAGTATTTTCTCTTTACCGAAAACTTTTATACATTCTTCAAATTTTAATGACTAGGCACAGGCCCAGAAGAATTTATCACTTTTGCAATTAAATGCTTTGTTCTGTAAAATACCTAATTATACACTAATCTAGCGTGCGGGAAGCGTCACTTTACCACGTGAGTTTCGTGTCCCACGCATCCGAGCCACTTCGGACATTTCCGGGATTTTACCGTACGGGTTTGGGGGCAATCGTATGTTTTCGGAGATTTTACCACACTGTTTGAATTTTGTCGTTTGTCAATTCGGGCGGTCATATCAGTGAATGTATTCGTGTTGTTTTGCAAAAATGTACTGAAAAACTTACGATAGTAGAAAAAGTATTGGTAAACTTTTTAAGTGACTCGTTTATTAAACACTCGCTCCGCTCGTGTCAAGTAAGCTCGTGAGTCGAATGCCGTTTACCGCACTTGTTGCATAATATACTATTATTAATTTCGTTACATTTACGAAATTAAGGACATTTTTATTTTAAAGATATTATTTTATAATAGCATATAATTTCGTTTATAAACTATTGATTCACGGATGGAAAAATGTGAGGACACCATATTCCGGGATATCATCCGTTCGCTTGTTGAATTATGACTGGAATCCTGCATCTGACTGGAATCCTGCAGACGTTTCGCCAAAATCTCACTTGGCATCTTCAATACCGCTGTTTAAGTGCGGACACGTACGAGTGACATGGACGCGCGGCCTCTGAAGATGCCAAGTGATATTTTGGCGAAACGCCAGGCGAATGATCCTACTCCAGGGTCAAACAACGAACGGATGAATACCCGGATTACCAGCAATACACATAGTTCCATCCGTGCAGGACTAAAACAAAACAAGGCTAGGAAAATATCTCGTGCGATAAAATCCCGGAACTGTCCGAAGTGGCTCGGATCGGTGTGTAATTAGTTATTTTACAGACTGGAGTAGAAAAACTAATTTACCTAAAATACCTAATTACACACCTATTTGGCGTGTAGGTGTCAGTTTAACACGTCAGTTTCGCTTCCCACGGATCCAAACCACTTCGGACATTTCTGGAATATTATCGCATTGGTTTGTCATTTCTAACGATCATGTCAGTCAATGTATTCTTGTTGTTTTGTAAAAATATACCCAAAAAACTAAAGGTCGTGGAAAGAGTGTAGTATGCAACACGTCTATTAAACTTTTTAAGTCACTCATTTATTAGCTTTTCTATTTTAAATATGATATAATATAATCCTAAATTTATCAAACATTATAGAACAGGTATTTATTCCAACGTGGTAAATTTTACTAGAATCACAAAACATAATTTCATTAAATAGAAATGAGCGAAGATATGAAATCTGTGAAGAACATGTAGTTTAGAGATTTTGTAGAATATTTCAACAAGACTGTTGAGACATATTTTGAAGTTTACTTTCAAAGTTTATAGGCATACTATTTCGGTTCGTTTAGAATATTTAAAAAGTTTATGTTAAAATTATGAGGCAGCTTACGTAAGAATGATTATTCAATCGGTAAGATTGCAGCTTCGCAGTTATGAAATTTGATCTGCTGTCATTTTCAGCGGATACTAGGTAAAGGTTGAATTCCATAACGATTTTTAGATAACATACTGTTTCCACAAATATTTACATGCAGAATGACGTGTTTCAGCACTGTTACTTTTTCAAACTAACATGGTATCTTAACAAAAATTCATAATAAGTTATATATATATATATATATATATATATATATATATATATATATATATATATATATATATATATATATATATATATATATATATATATATATATATATATATATATATATATATATATGATGACACTATATTCCGGGATATCATCCGTTCGCTCGTTGAACTCCGACTGGAATCCTGCAGACGTTTCGCCAAAATCTCACTTGGCATCTTCAATGCTCGCGCTCCGAAAACACTTCGAACACTATATATATATATATATATATATATATATATATATATATATATATATATATATATATATATATATATATATATATATATATATATATATATATATATAATTTTTCTTGGACATTCGGCCTCTCGAAAACAATTAATGTGTTTCTTCTAAATATTTATTAACGTTTCGATCGTAATTTCGATCTTTTTCAAAATATTCTTATTTTGTATAGGTGACATATATAACAATTGATGACATTTGACGTTGTGTTAATATATTAAAAATAATTTGTTAGTGAATATTTTGTACGTATTGGAATGGCATGCAAAGCAGGTACGGATGTTTTTTATTAGTAAATAAATTGGATAATTTAATTTTGTTAGTTTAAAATTGAATGATATATTTTGTTAAGGTCTTTAGAATCGGTTTTGTAATTAATTGTTTTTTTGTTTTTTTTGCATTTCTATACTTTCATAAAGTTCTCTTTTTTTGGTGTTAGGTTCTGTTAGTACGACTTTAACTTTTTGAAAATTAAATGTTTAGTGTTTTCGCAATGGGTATGAAGAGCTGTTTTATTTTTTTTGTCATACTTATTTCCGTTGATTTTATTTTTTAAATATTGGCTTGTTTGTCCTATATACACACTGTCGCAATTAGAGCATGGAA